TGGTATTCGATTTTTAAAACCAAGGAGTTTTCAATGAAAAAGATTTTAATATGACAGGAACAGTGGAAATATTCTATTCCCGATACTTTTAGTGCAGCCCTCGTATATTCGTTGCCCATAAATCATTTTTAATTTCTGATATTTTCAAATAATGTAGAAAAAACCTTATTTACGCATACTTTTAAAATTGCAAATGGTTGAAAGTGTATCTCAGTATTTATATTTTGGACTTCATTATTAAAGAACAATGGCAGACTTTCATACATAAAATTAGTTGAGAAGGAATGGTAGCGTCTATATACCAAAATATCTTATACCTCGTTTAGACTCGCGCCTCGCGGCTCGCCTCGTACCTCGCCTCGCAGCTCGCATGTTGTTGTGAGGTAACGAGTGTCTGTTTACACTCTCGCGATGCGTTCAGTTTGCGTTGAGCCAGCAACGATGAATGACGTCGAAATAATAGCGGCATCAACTCTTGCCTTAATAAGTATTTATCGATGTTTGACCATTTTAAAAAGATGGAAATTAATAAAAATACGTCGTTGAGGAAGAATATGACGGATGATATCTATTCATCGAAACAGAAACTTTTCAGTTTCATAATTTTATATAAATTGCGAGTACTTATTAAGATTAAATAATATTTTTATATTTATTAATATTTTTATATTTTTATTATTTTATATATAGCAAGATTAAATAATATTATTTTATTAAAATTGTATTTTAAACCAAAAACAATTCGAATGTTATTATGGAAGGGCGCCGTAAACAAACTGAAACGAGACGCGAGTGTAAACACCACGCTCGCGTCCCTCGCGAGGCCCTTTGCCTCGTGCCCAAAAAACCACCTCCGACGCGAGCGCCGCGAGTGGCGAGGCGAGCTGCGAGGCGAGCCACGAGCTAGCGTTTACACTCGCGCCTCGTGGCTCGCCTCGCGACTCGCCTCGTCACTCGCGCGAGTGTAAATGGGGTATTAAAATATTAAGCGTCAGTCCCTGAATAACTTTGTCAAAGAATTTTGTCCTGAGAGGCGTCAAAATAAAGATATTTAGATTTGAACCTTTTTAGGTTATCTTATGTCACTTGGAAAATGTCATGCGTCCTGTGGTTGTTTGATGTTAGCTTAATACATTCTCAACATAATGTACCTACCTACATAATTGAGAGGTTTTAGATTATTGTATCTCTATTATATATTTGCATACTATAAATGTATATTTATGGCATGGCTCCAGGGCCTTTGTTATACAGTGACATTCTCAGAAGGGCTAGAACCCCGAGCCGTAATGCCAGTAAAAAAAAACAGTGACATTTTGTTTTAGCTAGTGCTGCCATAATATTAAATAGAATTGTTACATAGTACTATGATTGACATAATGTATTATTGTAGGAAGTTCTTTGTAAGAGACTTATTTTCAACCATATCACATTTATTTTTTTTATTAATGATAGTATAGTTATTAATAAAATAACTTAATATAAAAATATTTTGTGTTTGTGTGTTGTGTTGGTAGTCTTACAAAGTGTATACGAAAATAGTATGAATATAGTAAATGGCAACTTGAATAGAGTAAACTGATTTTAAGTCCTTTGATATTCCCAAAAATGTTTGATTTTTTTCTGTGGCTTTAATTAAAATACATTTTTATTTGAAAAATCATATAAAAATAATAAAACTCATTTTATATATAAGTTATTTCTAGACGCAATAATTTTTGTTAACTGTTTTCCTGCCCTCGTTCTTTGGCTAGTCTTTGAAAAATAACCCTGTATAATCTTACGGCTACCTACTCTCAGTGTGTATATTTTTTGTATTATGCGCATCCACCTTATATTATATGTATACATAATATATATTAAATTCCTCACAGCGTCTCTTCATAGCGTATCACACTATTAAGTGTGATACGCTGTGTAGAGGCGATGTAAATGAATCCACTCCCCATATGATCCCGTTGATGTCGTAAGAGGCGACAGAGAGAAATGAAACATGAAGTGGTCTCTTCCTGATAAAAACTGCTACCAACACACCTGCCAAATGCGGCAACTATAACAAATATGCACATCATGAGGCAATTTATACGTCGTAGAGCCACGATGCAGCTGTATTTTGGTTGTAGCACGAATACAAATATCTCGCTTCCTATGGTTTTAGCATCTACTATTTGCATTTATTATGAAAATTGTAGAGAATAAAATTCACTACAACTTTACACGCATTAGAACAGGGTAGCGGACATTTCCTGGCCCTAAAACCATGCTGCAGCTATATTTGTAGTATAGTTGTAGCACGAATGGATCGGCTCAACCGGGGTAGGACCACGTTGTCACAGAACACCAGCTTAAAATAGCAGCTTAACACTGCTGTGTATCGTATGGTGGGTGTAGAGAACCAGATACCCTTTTTACTGGAAAAGAGGCATTCTATCTTAGTCCTCACGGGTGACAACGCATCTGCATTTTGATTCGCAAGGGAGAATGTCTATTAGATGGGCCACAGCAACCAATTACCATCAGATGGACTGTGTGCTCGTTTGTCACCCTATCCTATAAAAAATGTATAATGGTCTTTTACTAGTGGCAAATAAACTTAGTAAACCAAATAAAACACATTCGATCGTTGAAAATATATTTATATTAAGTAATATCTTTTACAATATAATTACAAGATTAATTAATTAAATATATTAATATTTCATTTACTAGTTACAAACATGCGTTACTAAGTTAGCGATACAATGGAAAGTCTTTAGATTTTGTTGCCTCAGACCAACAAATAAAGTAGCACTGCTTACATTCAATTGATGCCAATCTCGAAACGCATTGCAAACTATTTTAACTACATGTGTCGGCTTGGTTTTTCCGTCACTTTAAATGTACGCAGCGCTTTTCTTTCAATATTTATTGGAGTGAGTTTACTGCTAGTTCACTTCGTCACTATTGAACATATTCATTCAACAGGAACTAGGCCATTAAAATTATTAATACATCAAGGATAGATATGGCATTATAAAATTCTAATAATTCGTCACCGTTATCGTGTCTATACTTCCATAGAATAATGGACTTTCATTGACATGTAAAAATCTATATACTATTGCCGTATGGTAGCGTAAAAGGCGACAATGGGAATGCCATAAAATCTCCTCACTCCATATGAATGCCATAAAACCTATACACCAGACGTAAAGTACCTTAGAGCAACGTCAAAGGCGTAAAACGTCTGGTACTACGTTCGGATTTTCACATTAAAATAAAATTACACATAAAATTGCAAATAACAATTTAATTTGTGCTGGCAATACTATGAGTACCCATAGCTCTAATCGATTAAAATTTAATAATCAACGTCGCATTAACAATTGAAATCAAACTTTCAATGTGTGTTAAGGTTAATTTCTACAAATATAAGGTTGCACGTATGGTAAATCAATGTCAATATACAGACGTCGTCAGTTTCCATACATTACGACTAACATTATACAACATTTGTTTATCGTAAACAAAAATCAATTAAATACATTAAGTAGTTTAGCTACAGAAAAATTTATTTTGTTTTAGTAATTTTTATACAAGATGTAGTGACATAACTTTTTTTTGGCGAAGGTATATAGGCTGTTTACTTATGCTTACAAAATGAAGAAAGCGACGTTCTTGTTTTTGGAGGTAAGTACGTTATACATGATGTTTTAATTCGTTTCAAATAATGTAATGTTTATTTTGTTTAATTTTATGTAGGAACATAATTAACTATTTTGATACATAGAGTTTTTATTTCTTGGTTTATCACAAGATATATAGTCACGACACCTGGGATAAGTGTCATATTGATGTTAAATATTATATTTATAAACATAAATACAAAAATGATAATATTCTTTAATAATTACATATTACGTAATGAAATAATTTCAAAATTGATATCAACTATTTGTTAAAATCGACGCTAAGCGTTTTGTTAAATGCGTATGCACGTATGCACGCAAAATTTTTTTTATTTATTTCGTCATTGCGTAATTGATTTTCATCCATAAAGAATATATCAAATACTGCAATTGTTTCATATTGAGTTTTATATTACCATTGTGGCACTTGTTATATATTTTCTACTAATAGTTCAAGTTCAAGTATCAAAATCTACTTGATATTATTATTTAAAGTCAGATCAATAAGAAAAGAAAGACGGCACGCTCAGTATACTTTAAGTGACGCCAAAATTAAGCCTGTCATATTGTAAGAACACGCACTCATGTACACCATACGTATTTAAAATTATTTTGAACTAGCATGGTTTTAGGGGCATATGTATGTGTCGATTAATAAATTTTTACGGAATGTTAAAGAAAGACAAATACGTGTACGTAAGTGCGTGTCTAGAAGTGGAGCATGATTTTCGGCGGTACTTGTAATTTGTTTATCAGTGTGATTAGCCTAAACGACGGTACAGGTGCGGAAAGCTTCTGGTTCGTGTATGTGTGTGTGAGGCCAGGAAGTCTTTGTGCCGTTTGTCAGAGCGTGTGGTGTGTGTATATGGTCCAGAGCAGCAGCTTGAATTTGAACAGGAAGTGCGCAGGAAGAAGGTGATTGGGAAGTTTCTGATTTGTGTGTGTGTGTGTGTGTGTGTGTTCGCGCGTGTGATGGTGTGTATGTGTGTAAGAGAGTGTGTGTGTGTGTGTGTGTGTGAGAGAGAGAAAGTGTGTGTGTGTGTGTGTGTGTGTGAGAGAGAGAGAAAGTGTGTGTGTGTGTGTGTGTGTGTGTGTGTGTGTGTGTGTATGTGTGAGCAGTGTAGTTATGTAGCGTGCGTGTGGTGGTTTGAGGTTGGATAGGAAGTGAGTAGGAAGAAAGCGAGGGTGAAGTTTCTGGCTTGTATGTGAGTGTGCGTTATAGTCAGGTAGTGTGCTAGTGTTGATGCGTGTGGTGTGTGCGTGCGTGTGTGTGAGACCGAGTAGGAAGGAGGCAACGAACGGTGAAGATCCCGGTTCGCACGTGCGGTGGAGTTACGTAGCGTGGTGGTGCGTGTGCTGGGCGAGCTGCAGCAGCAGCTTGAGGCCGGGCAGGAAGGAGGCTGCGGCCGCGAAGTCCTCGCCGGCCGCCAGCGCGGCGGCCGCGCGCAGCGCCGCGTCCCACTGCGCCGCGCGCGCGCTCTCCGCGCACGCGCCCAGCGCGCCCACCGCGCCGCCCGACAGCTGCCGCCAACCATACACCCGCTCACGTCCGTGTGCCAACACAACAATATCCTCCACACCCAATTTATACGTACAGAGACTAGAGAGAGAGATAGAGCTAGTCCAAACCCGTTGCAGCTATACTATTGCTGTGGCACTAATGAGTTGGGTCGACCACTGAATGACCGCGCTCTCACAAAATACCAGTATAAAAAACAGCTCAAAGCAGTTGTGTTTCGTATGGTGAGTGTAAAGAACCGAATAACCTTATTACTAGAAATAAGACATTCCATCTTGCTCTTCAAGGGTGACAACACATCTGCATTATGATTCTTAATTGAAGATATACGAGTACCTAGTCTATGGACCTAAACATCCACTACCCATCAGGTAAACTGTGTGCTCGTTTGTCACCCTTGTTCTATTAAAAAAAAATTTAACCGTATGGTAACGATGTAAGAATACCACCTACCCATATCTTCCCATGAATGGCCTAAGTGGCGAGAGAAGAAGAATGAACCAAAAATTGAATAGTAGCATCTTTTTCATTACAACCATATTACAATAAATAACTGCGATTGCCAACCCGCATGCGAAGCACGACAACTATGGCAAACATCTGCCCATGAGCAACGACGCAAAAATACAGTGCTCTCTATCCATGCAAGTCCTGCTATTCCTAGCTACGGTGGTGACCATAGTAACGACATAGTAAGGACAAAGGGTGCTAAGAATCTCCGATTGAGGTTCGATTGCCATATAAGACGATTCAACCTGGCAACATTTAAAGCACACACTTTGAGAACCGTCAAGAAAATTCTAGGAACTGGAAGAAAAGATAGACAGCAGCAACTGCGCTGGAATATTTAAGATTATCTGAGGTCCAAAGACGGAACACAAAGCAATTCTGAAGTTTTTTTTCATAGGAAAGGGGGCAAACGAGCATGCGGCTCACCTGATGATAAGTGACTACTGCCGTCCATAAACAACTGCAACACCAGAGGAACCAAGGGAATCGCATATGCGTTACGGGCCTTTTAAAAAGGTTCTTGAAGGTCCCTAAGGAAGGAAGGTAGGAAGGAAGGAAGTTGTATCGGTCCGAAAAAATCGCTGGTGGTAATCAATTCCACAAGGAAGTTGTGTAAGGAAGAAAACATCTTCTAAATCGCACAATGGTGGACCGCCAATCATCCAGATAGTGTGGATGGTATCGGGAGTTCTGTCGCGATGTGCGTTCGTGAAATTTGGCGGCTAGGATTAGTCCGAGCAATTCCTCAGAGTATTCCCCGTGGTAAATACGAAAGGAAATGCAAAGGGATACAACATCTCTTCGCAGCGCCAGTGAATCGAGCTGATCGGTAAGGACTAGGCCGTCGACGATTCAAGCCGCTCTGCGCTGGAAGCGGTCAAGTGGAAGGAACTGGCACTGGGGAGCACCAGCCCAGAGATGTGAACAGTATTCCATGTGAGGCCAAACCTGCGCCTTGTAAAGTTGCAGGCGGTGTGCCGGCATGAAATACTGTCCCGCTCTGCTGAGCACGCCAAGCTTTTTAGAGGCCAATTTGGCCTTCTTTTCCAAGTGACCACGAAACTGCACGTTACTCGATATGTCGACGCCGAGGATTCCGATACTGGCTGAGGCAACAAGGGGAGTACCTTGAAACTTAGGAGATACGACAAAGGGGTCCTTTTTAGCGGTAAACGCGCAAACTTGTGTCTTCTGAGGATTAAACTGGACTAGATTTAGTCGTCCCCAATCCAAGAATTTGTTCAGCAGAGACTCGACTTCAGACACAAGTTTGTTCCGGTACTCGGCGACGTTTTCCCGAGTAATATTGGCACGGCCAGTGTATAGAGCATCACCAGTGCTGTCATCCGCATAGCAATAAATGTTACCGTTTCGCAACATATCCTTAATATGCAGAAGAAACAGCGTTGGTGATAGCACGCAGCCTTGTGGAACACCAGCATTAATAGGCTTGCAGTCGAAACATGCACCGTCTACAACGACCTTGATGCTCCGATGTGCAAGAAAGCTGGTGATCCAGTTGCACAATTTCTCGGGAAGGAAGGGAGCTTTGAAAGAAGCGTTTTGTGCCTAACCCGATCGAAGGCCTTCGCAATGTCCTAACTAACGGCCAGTGCCTCCCCCTTGGGCTCTACTACCTCCGCCCATCTATGTGTCAGTTAGACCAGAAGATCACTAGCTGATCGACCCCGAAGAAAACCGTGCAGTCAGTCGGCAGTCACTAAACAGCTGGTGATCCTAAAGGTACCACATGAGCTGGCAGTTTATAACGGATTATATTATTTTGGAGAACAAGGAGGTAACAGCGATAGGCCTGTAGTTGGACGGGTCTGAGTGGTCGCCTTTTTAGGGATCGGGTGGACAAAAGCCGTCTTCCATATTTTCGGGACTACGCCTAAGGAGTAAGAGTACCGGCAAAGACGCGTTAAAACCAGTAGCAACTCCGGAGCACACGTCTTCAGCACAATGGGAGGGACTCCATCAGCTCACGACTCACTCGACTTGCTGACGTCCAGGGAGGAAAGTGCTTTGCGAACCGAGCGCTGTGTAAACCGCACATCCGTCATGGAGCACTCACACTGCCGGATGGTCGGCGGTGTGTTCCCCCCGTCATCGAGAGTAGAGTTGGACGCAAAGAGAGAGCTTAACGGATCAGCTTTCTCCTTTGCGGCATGGGCCAGTGAGTCGTCCTCCCTGTGCAGAGATGGAAGAGATGGCTGACAAAAGTTCCCTTGGACAGCCTTGGCAAGAGACCATAAAGCACGGGTTCCCGGAGGAAGGCGAAACTAGTTTCTCGCCAATTCTGCCTAGGTGCTCTGACTTTGCTATGGTAATGATTCTTACGAAGGACCTGGTGGCGGAATTTTACTTCTTTTTAGTAGCGCTGGTTTTAACATCCCGGGACGTTGATGCGTCAGCCTAGGCCCGGTAGCATTCCTGCTTGTAGCGTGATGCTATTTTATAGGAGCGACTAACCCATGGCTGAGATCTGCCTCCGATGGGCACCACAGAGGAAGGAATAAAAGTTCCATACCCTGAAGTACCTCAGCAACAGAATTAGCAACAACGTTGTGATCGTCCAGCGAGAAGCAAACCCGCCCCCAAGGGTAGGATGCACAGAAAGACCGTATGACATTCTAATCGGCCGACCTATAGTGCCAAACACGGCGGCAGCCTGCAGAAAGCAACCGCGATTTCAGCGTAAGTGGCACTACGCTCCGTACTAGACAATGGTCCGAGGAGCCAAGAGGGGCATCAACGGAGACCTGATATCTGTCCGGATGAGAGGTCAGGAGAAGGTTCAACAGGGAAGGTGTATGATCCTTCACATCTGGTTTCTACGCCTACGTGCATTACGTAGGCGTAGAAACCAGTTGTGTCAGACCATATGCCAAGGCAAAATCATGAACAGATCTCCCCGCATGATCGATTAAACGTGAAACGAGCCATTCGGCGTGGTGAGCGTTGAAATCGCCAAGGATCACGATCTCTGCGGATGGGACCTGTTGTAGCAAGGAATCTGTAGCCATTTGGACGTGGTAGATTAGACAGTCTGTTTCGGTATTACCGCTATGGGACCTATAGAGGCACCCGTAGGCGCACGGTCGTCGCTGTGTACGCGTAGCCAAAGAATGAACAGGTCCGAACCTTCAAGACTGCCGAGGCGTCGAGAACAGATGCCCTCTCTGACGTATACGGATAGTGTGGCGACGTAAAGGCGACCCCTTGATCTTGTTGAGTGGAGTACCTTAGTCGTGGATGCTCAGCGAGGGATTCTCCAGCGGTGCTGGTACCCTCCTGGGGTAGTCTTTTATTTAATTCCGCTACCATGTTGATGGGGGGGGGGGGATTGGGCCCCGGTAGTACCAACTGGTGGTCAACTACAGTATTCAAATGACTGATTCAAACACTTGTAGTTCTGAGACGTGACAATGCATCTATATTTTGATCTTTATTTTTTTTTTATAGAATAAGGGTGACAAACGCGCACACAGCTCACCTGATGGTAAGTGGATGCTCTGGCCCATAAACATCTACATTTATTCTCGATTAAGAATCAAAATGCAGATGCGTTGTCACCTCTGAGGACTGAGATGGAATGCCTTCTAAACAGTAAAAAGAATCTCCGGTTCTACACACTCACCATACGAAACACAGCAGCGTTAAGCTAATATCTTACACTGGTATTCTGTGAGAACATGGTCCTATCCCGGTCGAGCCGACTTATTCGTGCTGCAACCACAATAAAGCTGCAGCACGGCTCGACCACGAAAAGAATTGAGGATAGATGTAGATATCTATGGGCCATATCATCCATCACCTGCCATATCAGGTGGACTGTGTGCTCATATGTCACCCTTATTTTATAATGCAAAAGAAAATAATATTTACCTTGTGTTCGCGTAGCAAGTCATACAGCATCTCTAGTCTTCTTTGGATATCATCCAGTTTTCTCTTCATTTGCTGCAAATGAAAAATATGAAAACCTTAAAATTTTCGTAATAAAAAAGATACTTAATAATTTAAAATTTAAAATTTTGTACAACCGACTACAATATAAATTATTAAGAATAATTCAAAAACTATTGATCAGACCTTGATCAAATTTATATGGGTACCAAAAAAAAAACAAAAACATACAGTCGAATTGAGTGCCGTCTCCTTTTTGAAGTCGGTAGCAAAAGATGTTATTTCCATAATATAAAATCTAACTTAACACGGCCTTTAAGAACTATAAGAATCTAATATACTTTTTGATTTGAGAATTTTCAAGGTTTCAGTGTAATAATACACCGTGTATGTTGTGGCGGTGCATGCCACTCAAAATCAAAAATTAAATCAAAAAATCAAAAATCTTTATTTCATTAACTTAAGTCTAAAAATACAAGTTTGCTATGTTTGGATATTCCTTTTAAGTTAAATAAATTGTTTGTCCTAGGAAAGCTATGTAATATATGTTTTATTATGTTATTATCCATCATCCATCAGAAATTCCAGAAGAATCTTATGCCTTCTGATAGATATAACCATCTCGACGATGGGCGGCCAGCGTTAAAGATGCTAACATAAATGGTACTGCCAACACCAATCTAACTTTTTAACTTCCCTGCCATGAGATCTTACGCGAATGAGCGCCCACGACATTTGCCTCCAGGGCGGCGCTACTTAGAAATGAGGTGATATATGACAGATTGCATAGCGGGTAAATTAATTTGTAAGAAAAAAGGACAGATTAATATTTCTTTCTGAAATATTAATTAATTTTTTAAAACTTAAAGAATACAGTCATTGTTTTGTGAATATACAAAAAAAAACTTATAATTAAATTGCAACATTTCAATGACGATGACACTGCGTAACTATCTGTGTAACAAATAAGTTCACCTTAGTCCCAACGTTTGGTGAGCGTTACATTATTAGCCCTTATTGTGACAGGCATACACTTAATGCTCATCATGCGATGTGAATCAAAGGGAGTTGTATAGTGAAGTTACCTTTTGGTATTGAATGCTATTAGGAAGTGTCATTTGAGTTACCTTATAGAGTTGAATACTGTTAAGTGTAATCGTGGGTGATATAAATCGTAATATTTGGAATCTACCTTTTCATTTTATGCCTGATAATACACATAACTGAATGAAAGACCGCTTTGAATTCGTTTCCTCCGCTCACGATCGTCATCTACGTTCCACTAATAATTTTTGCTTCGTATGCCAGCACATTCATCCTCCTTATTCAATAAATATTTTTCAGTTACAGCTGTACGCTTGTGGGACTCCCTTGCCTTTATATATTCAACGTACTCAGTCCCCTTTTTTTCGTTCAAAAATTTACTCAAAACTTATTACTTGGAACTCTAATATTTCCCATCATAATTCTCGTCTTTAATTGTATCTATTCTACCTATCCTCAACCGTCTTGTGTGTATTTATATACTTTTTTTTTTTAAATTGATTGTGAAATTTATGTACACCTTCCCTATTTGCTTTTCGCTCTAAACAACATTTCTTTGATAAATATGCGGTTGCCTGGAAGAAATCGTTTCCAGAGCGATAAGACCGCCTGTTGTACCTTGTATGTATATATTTATTTCATTTTGTCTCCTTCTAATGTGTATTGGTATACAATAAAGAATATACTGATTGATTGATAACTAATATTTTAGAAAGAAGCACTAATATTTAGACTTTTCTAACAATTTAGCTTTCCAGTCATGAAACTACGCGAATTGTTCAAGACATAAAACCGTGGAAGGAAGCAAAAGCTTCTATGTATACTGCTATACATATAGTACGGCACTAATACATTGCGCACTAAGTAACGCGCAATTCTCCGTAACTTCTTTAGTCGACTGCGAGCGGGCGAAGACAACTAGTTCTTTGTTTTGTAAACCGCGTATGTTTCCGACAATCGACTTTGTTTAATGTGACCAAGAAAAAGCTGTCATTATGTCCGCACTTTGTCAAAGTAACTTCATTTCATATTACCTCAAAACAGTAACTGTCGCAAATGAAAATACAACCGTGTGGCATATTTACCGTGGCGGCTACCCGCCCGCGCGATCCACAGCAGCAGTGACACAGTTATTGTTCTAAATTGCCCGTCTAATAGTACAGATAGAAGACTTTCGAAGGAAGAAATGTGAGACGGTGGATACTAACAGGGTTGGTGGCTCTTTGACAGCAGTCCGCGTGCAGAGAATCAAACACCGCCTGGATGACGGCGTACTCCTGCGGGATGGGCGGCTTCTGCACGGGAGTCGGTTCAGGCACCGTTTGACTTTCAACCTAAAAGAGTATTTAAAAAAAATTATGTATTAAAAGTTTTTAACCTGTCAGGCGTCGACATTTTATTGGGCCAACTTAGACCTACGGTCAAGCCAAAGAGTATAGTATCAAGTATAGTATAAGTATAGGCCAAGGACAATATTTTTTTTAATAAAGGTAATTAATTTTACTATGTTCTTATCCAAAAATAAAAATAAAATATCTATAATTAAAATATCGAGTTATTTGTATGAAGGTCAAGTGAGCGCTAGAGATTGCAAGACGTTGTCGATAAATAAAATGTTTTGAGAAGTTATTATTTACCGTGTAGAGGCGGTGTATGAATATCCATACCATCCCGTGGGTCTCGTAAGAGGCGACTAGACTTAGAGAAAAGTGTTATTTTTAAATAACCGTTACCGACGTTCCGGTTACCAAAAAGTCACAATGAAAAATCATCGTGACTTTGTCACGTTGATAAGGTTGGATAAGTACTTGAAACATTAGAACGACTTATAACGTGACTTTATATATTATGTATTTTAGATTTATTAGGTTTAATTTCAGTAGTCGATTTTTTATTACCTTCCTTACCTAAGCTACGTGGCTATGTTATAAGTACCTTTCTAATAATTATTTCTGAAGTATAAGAATTTCACCTAACCTAGGCGATCAGTTAGTGTACCGATCAGGTACATGGTACACGTACTTTATTACACAGTAACAAGGTAGATGTAAGTTAGATGAATAACAAATTTTATTTTTAGAAGATTGTATTGATGTCCAACGATAGCAAAATCCGACAGTACGAACGGGACATATTATGCAAATATACCGATACAAAAATAAACAAAAATCATAAATTTTAATCATAATATTTATCTTTGACTAACTAATTAGGTAGGTACCATAAAACAAATACAGCAATTGTTAATAGAAAATTTTCCTACAAATATTTGTGTGTATTTTAATTAGTTCCGACCAAGAGATTTAGACTGAATTGATAGTTCCCATACCTAGCCTATATGTATAGAAACTAAATGTTATTAGTTCGCCCAGCTATTGGTGGCAAAAAAAAATTGATATATATATAAATATATATATATATGTGTGTATGTATATACATACATACATATATACATACATACATATATATATATATATATATATATATATATATATATGTATGTATGTATATCGTATCGATATTTTTAACCAGCATCGATATATCAATCCATTCAGCCATGTTTTACAGTCGATAAAAGTCCACTGCTGAACATAGGCCTCCCCTATGGATCACCTTATAGGAGGGTTTTGGTATCTTCGCCACGCTTGGCAGGCGGATCGGCAACTGTAGTTTTGAGAGGCTGCTGCTCATCATACCTGTTTCGGGTAGTGTAGTGGCGGTGTAAGAATATCCACTACCCCATATCATGCCGTGGGTGTGGTAAGAAGCGACACCGGGAAGTCGAAACAGGTATGTGCAGCAGCATCTTCTTGATATTGATATATCGTAATGTTTTGCAAAAGTTTAATTACTGGACGGTTAGACGACGAAAAACAAATCAACAACAGCACATGCATGCTTTTGTAGCTATTTTTGTTGCTTAATGTTTAGTTCATTAATATAAAATTTTGAAATGTATCGAAATTGATACAAATTCAATACTCTAAAATAAATATCGATACATGTGGATTAAAAATATCGATGTATATCACATCGATATTTTTATGAGAAAATATCGATATTTTTTACCCAAGCCTACGCTCAGCGCCATGGTCGGAAAAAGACGACGATTCTTGAAGTCATAAAGGAGTGCCGACTTTTGAAATTTCACATTTGAGTTGTGCTCGTGTGTGTAGATTTACGTTCAAGTGAACATATCATAATTTTTACAGTCCAAAATTCTCTTGCAGTAGGCAATAGTTCAAAACATTGTAAGCTCTTTCTGCGCAGATAAGATAGAAATTATTAATTAAAAGTTGAAGGCAGCCGTCGTTAATTACGACATTAGGGACGATAAAAATCCCAGTTCCCCATGCTGTAAAGTGCCGAATTAAAAAGTTACAAGTAAATACGATGAAATTCGTAAAATTAGTTCTATTTCAAAGTGGCAGATACCTGTTGCGTGTACGCGGGCTGCGCTGGCTGCGCCTGTTGCGCGTAGGGCACGTAATTGTGGTGCTCGGGGTAGAACTGCTGCTGGCTGCTGTAGGGCTGCTGCGCGGGCGCGGGCTGGTGCGGGGCGGGCGGGGCGGGAGGGGCGGGCGGGCCGAGCGGCACGTGCTGCGGCGGCTCGGCGCCGAACAGCGGGTGCGTGATGGGCGCCTGCGCGACCGGCGCGCCGCCCTCTGCCTGTCGCTGCGAACAACTCCCCGACTTACAATGCGCCAACCACCCACACTCCCAGACAGCCTACACTTTAACCTAAACTTCACTTAGTCAAATTTTAAATCTATACCATATATTACACAAATATTGACATTGTAACGTTTGAGTTTATAGCTCGAAATAATAATTCTAATTAGAATGCCTCTAAACATTCGAATTCGTAGAAAATTTAATTGCAAAAGAATTTATGTTACAACCACTATTCGCATTCTTTGGCAAATTAAAAAAACTTTAATGGAAAATCATAATATTCTTGCTCTTGTTTAATCAAGAGGGTACAAAAATTTACTTTTAATAAAACTATCAAAAATATCCACACTGTTAATATAGACGTCGAAAATCACACCACGAAAAGGAAGGGATGTTAAGGGAGGTTCGGGTGGACCAAAGCTGTCTTCCATAAATTCGGGACTACGCCTTGGGAGTAAGAGTACCGAAAAAGACGCGTTAAAACCGGTGCCAACTCCGGAGCACACGTCTTCAGCACAATGGGAGGGACTCCATCAAGCCCACTCGACTTGCTGACGTCCAAGGAGAAGAGTGCCTTGCGAACCGAGCGCTGTGTAAACCGCACATCCGTCATAGAGCACTCACACCGCGGAATGGTCGGCGTCGGTGTTCCCCCCGTCATCTAGAGTCGAGTTCGACGCAAAGAGAGCTTAACAGATCGGCTTTCTCCTTTGCGGCATGGGCCAGTGAGTCGTCCTCTCTGTGCAGAGATGGAAGGGATCGCTGACAGAAGTTCCCTTGGACAACCTTTGCGAGAGACCAGAATGCACGGGTTCTCGAAGTAAGGCGAACTAGCTTCTCGCCAATTCTACCGATGTGCTTAGACCTTGCCTTGGCAATGACGCTTTTGAAGGACCTGGAGGCGGAATTATATTTCTTTTTAAGAGCGCTGGTGTTTACATTCTGAGACGTTGATGCGTCAGCCCAGGCCCGGTAGTACTCCTGCTTATAGCGTGATGCCATTTTACAGGAGCGACCAAACCGTGGCTGGTATCTGCCTCCGATGGGCACCACAGAGGATGAAATAACAAGTTCCATACCCTGAAGTACCCATCAGCAACAGAATCGGCAACAACGCTGGGATCTTCCGGCGAGAAGCAAACCCGCCCCCAACGGTATACCTATAGTGCCAAACACGGCGGCAAGCTGCAAATCGCAACTGCGATGGGAGCGTGAGTGGCACCGTACTCCGGATCAGACAATGGTCCAAAGAGCCCAGAGGGACATCAACGAAGACCTGATATCCGTCCGGATGAGAGATCAGCAGAAGGTCCAACAGGGAAGTTACATGATTCTCCACATCTGGGATCTGCGTAGGCGAAGTAACCAGTTGTGTTAAACCATATGCCAAGGCAAAGTCATAGACAGATCTACCCGCATAATCGATTAAACGACAACCAAGCCATTCAGCGTGGTAGGCGTTAAAATCACCAAGTATCACGATCTCTGCGGATGGGACCTGGTGTAGCACGGATTCTGCAGTCTGCAGCCTTTTGGACTGGTCGATGCGTCGGTCTGTATCGGCATTACCGCAATAGGACCTATAGAGGCACCCGTAGACGCGGGGATGGTCGTCGCTGTCTACGCGCAGCCATAGGATGTCCGTACCTTCAAGACTACCGAGGCATCGAAAACCGATGTCCTCTTTGACATATACGCTAACTCCAGCCCGAGGCACAAGGAAGTGTTCCAATTTGTACCCCGGGTAGGAGAGATACGAAGTATCAGCCGGAGAGGACACCTGCGTCTCGGTCAGAAAGAGTAAGGCCGGCTTCGCCGTCTCGAGATGGTAGTAGACGGCGTTTAGGTTAGAGTGAAGTCCCCTGATGTTGCAGAAATTCACGGATAGCGTGGCAGGGGTCGCCTCGTATTTGAATTTTGAATTCGAGAATACGCGGGGCAGCCTGAGCACCCACGCTTAGGAGTGGAGTAGCATCGTAGTGGATGCTCAGCGCAGGATTCTCCAGGAGTCCTGGGGTAGGAATTAATTCCACTACCATGTAGCTGGGGGGGGGGGGGCTCCTACCGCGTGGTTCTACCACCGTTAAAATGAGATGCTTTTGCCCATAATCTGTTTCATTTTTCTCCTATCGCCTCTTACAACACCTACGGGATACCATGGGGTAGTGACTTATCTTATACCACCACTACACGGCAAATACACGGTTGTAATAATTACAGCTATTTTTACACAACAAATTATTAACTGATGGGAGTTCGTACACTTAAGATCGAAAAACAAAAACAAAAAAGCATGCTTCAAACCCTGTTACAAAATCACTATGGTCAGCTTGTGTTTTCATGTTTCAATCGATATGAATTCAACAGCCATGCTAATTGGTACGGTCAAGGAAAAAAGTTTATTATAATTATTCATTTTTTGTAATTTATAATTTTTCAAAGAACTTTTTTTTTAATTTTTTTAAAGATTTAATAAGAAATTCAAACTATAGATATATAAATCGATGTAAACTGCATTTTAACTTCACAAAAACGGAATCTAATCCCACATAACGTCGCAAGCCGTTGATACTTATGCCAAAATAAACCATTAATGGATATGAAGTTATGTGTGTATTCCCATTTAAAACAGTCTCAGGCCAAGTTGACTTTCTACAATCTTTAATTTCTTCTTCATCATCACCATCATTTTGTAAGAACCTACAACTGAACATAGAAATCTCCCACTGTAGGAAAGATTTGTCATTACAGTTGGCAGGCGAATTGACTATCGCACTACCAGGCATTTCGCACATGTAACAGTTTCCCGTCGACCGTTCAGGTATTGTACCGCTATGGCCCATCAAATGTCCACTGCTGAACAGAGACCTCCCCATAGATTTCCTCATAGGAAGGATATTTGTGTTAGTTGCCACGCTTGGCAGGCGTGTTGGTAGCCGCAGTTTTTTTTATTTTAAGTCGTTATTAGGAAGACGCTGCTGCCCATCTCCTGATTTGTTTCCCTCAGTCGCCTCTTACAACAACCACGGGATGGTATGGGGTAGTGGATATTCTTACACCGCTACTACACGGTTGGATATTATACGTCTGGCGTTTACAAAATGATTATACCGCCATCTGTTGGACGTCAGAAGATTTTTTTGCCATTACTCATTATCGCCCCGTATTATATGGGTGTCGATAGAACGAAATCGGGTGATGGATTCTCGTACGCCGCCACTAAGCGAAAGGAACGCTTCGGTGGTTTGGACACGTAGAAAGAATGAATGAGGAAAGAGTGAGAAAGCAAATATCGACCAAATTGTAGATGTATTGAAAAATGATCAAGTTCAGAGTACCCTTAACCGCCGAGCATGTATGCGTATGGCTGTGAAAGAAGCGAGATAGGTGTGTCAAGATATTGTCTAATGAAAGCCTGTAGTCTCTGCTCACCCCTCTGAGTGACAGGTGTAAGAATGCATGTTATGTTATATAAAACTATAAAAGGAATGAAAGTTAGGACTTGTTGTCCTTCCATGAATGATTTGACAATGGCAGAATTCTATTAAACGAAGCCATACAGTGAAGAGAAGAACTTAAGACTTAAGTAATCCCATTAATTTTTATAGATTTCTATTAGCGTTTACGATTGTAGAAAGGCAACTTGACTAACCCGGCAGGAATAGTATTAAGGTAGTATTGCTATATACTACTAAGAAAAATATTTTTTTTATTCTGCTTATCAATTCTATTGAAAGTTTTATCGAAATACGAATATTATGATCATGTTTAAACACTTTTTTCATTGAGCGTACCTCTAGGTACCTCTACGTGACGCCTATTCTCAATAATGTGGCTCCACTGCCGTGTTCCGGCGTGCATTGCCGACATCTCTTCGGTGCCTACGTGCTAAAATATCCACGCTTTAATTTAAATCAATAATAGAAAAATAACCTAATTCACAAATAAAATAAATTAAATATAAATTAGACAGGCAAGAAACACAAAAAATATAGGTTGTTCAATTTTAGCTGAATCAATGCTGTTTATAAAAATATAATAACGTTATAATTAAAAAAAGATACCTTTGATTTGGACGTCATCATAGGTGGGTCATTCCATCCCGGCGGCACGGGCTTAGCGGGTGCGTAGTAGCCGCCATTCGTAGCCTGGGTTGGGGCCACGCTGGCTGCTACTGGATTTACAGGGTTTAATGGATTCATTGGGTTTAATTGGTTTATTGGGTTTATTGGATTTATTGGGTTTATTGGATTTAGTGGATTTATTGGGTGTAGTGGATTCATCGGAGCGGGGTTCATAGGTGCGTGATTTAACGGGTTCATTGGGGTGGGATTTAGCGGGTTCGGCGTGGGATTTAGCGGATTCATTGGGTTCAGTGGTGCGGGGTTGATGGGGTTGATTGTGTTGGCCGGGGTGTAGCCGGGGTTGGGCACGCTCGCCGCGCTGTACTGGTCGGGCAGCGGGCTGTTGAAGCCGTACGAGTGAGGTTGTGACGTCACCGGATTGCTGTAACTGTACTGGTTATACATGGGGGCGGCTTGGACTGACGGGTCCACTTTGTACTTCGACCGGCTTGTTATCCCACCTAAGGAATTGAAATAAAATAAAATTAAACACTTTATTTTACTATGTTAAAAATAATATTTTATTTGTCAAACGTCAACATTTTTTTAATGTTGACGTTTGACAAATAAAATATTGTTCAAATATGTGTTCCAATTAACTAATTAATTTTATTATAAAAAGTAAAATAAGAGCTTATTTATGTTCTTGAAAATATTGAACACTTATTTCTTATTGAATAAAAATAATTTTGCGGATATTATCGTTGAAATTTAACTTTTTAATTCCCAACGTTTCGGGGACGGACGAACTGTTGACAATCTGATATTATACTCGTAATTAACGAACAATGTTGAATGTTCAAGATCGTCCCAAACATAATATCAGATTTCATAGACCACAAATAATCAGAAAAGAACATCAATTCGTAACCAAGGATGATATGCGAGGCTATTAAAGGTAACAGACATCCTTACTTTTAATAGGCTGGGAGGCAGCTCCCTAGATGGCAGCATCTGCATTTGTTCCCATAATTAATAAAATTAAATCCAAACTTCTATGATATAAGGACGTTTAACATCATACCCACATCAGGAAGAGGGCTCCTGCCAACGCGAGCACGAGTGCTTGTAATGACCAACTATCGTTGGGAATTAAAAGTTAAAATTAAATGCAATAAATTATTATTTTTTCAATGTGAAGTGTTCGCGTAACTTTAAGAAATCACTTATTTCTGAGTATTTAGGCCTGGTAACACCAATGCGGTGCTTCAGTCTCGATACGCAGATTCTCTAAATACGTTTTTTTTTTTCAATTTTGCTTATTCTAATTATTATAAGTACAAGTGTTATTGTTCAATGTTGTGTGTGTAGATAACAGGTGTTATTTTTCAATGTTGGTTGTGTGACCGTTATAAACAAAATTTGAGGTCGCAGGTTCGCAGACGTACCGTGCGGCGTGCCCACACTGGCGGGACGCGCGGGCTGCTGCCAGCCCGCCTCGCTCGCCACTGCCACACCTGCCACAAACATATATGACGTCAACATAAATAATATTGTTAAATAATGGGCTTCAAGTAGATTTTGATACATAAGAGGTGCAATGTTGTGTTAAATGTCTAGGCATGTGGACGATTAGTTTAAACGAGGAAAAATGTGCTTCGGTAGTGCTATAAACCCCAAGTTATTTTGTCTGTAAAGTTACATCATCATCGACATTCTGCTAGTTTCAGTTGCCTACAAACTCCCAAAAACTTTGCAATGTATATATGATAATGTATATGCATATTGTGGAAAAATTGCAAAATGAAAGAAAGAAACACAATGTATTCATTTCTTACGATAACAGATTGATTTATCATTTTTAGTTGAAACCCAATATGGATGTGAATGTGGCCAATACCACAACAAATTTAAAAACACAAAGTTTTAAATAATTTCTTGTAATATTGTTTAAATAACTCTTAAGTAGATTTTTATGGCGTAAGAAAGATGCGATTTTGTAAATATCTACTTGAGCAAACCATTAGTGGAGACGATGAATTAAAAGGTAGCTTCGATAGTGATATAAATATCAAGTTTTTATCCGCTTGACTTGGCGACTTGAGATACTATCTCCATTAACTGTCATCTGGGTTAAGCTGTCGTCGAAATCCCCCAAAAGGTTAGCAACGTGATGCATTAACATAAAATTATTATTTACATAATATTATTATTGTAAAGCATTTTGTAAACAAAATACTCGTTAAACTACACTGTATAGTCAAAGATCTTTGCCTGCCTGAATTGGTAAATCTTAAAAATAAAATTAGGAAAAATCTTTAAACTGACCCGGTCCGAATGCATTAGCGAGGTCGTTATGTGGCGTGGGCTGTACGTGTGTGTGTGATTGCACGTGCGAAGTTGTCCGTGCGCCAAACTGATGCTGGCGCTGATGCTGCGTGCCCATCTGTAGACGTAAGGACAAATATATCGTAAAACTGCGCCATTTTTAATGAAACTATGTTGAAAACTATAATATATTCTATTAAAATAAAACCAAGTAGATTATGTCTAATAAAACGCATCTATAGTCATCTACGTTAAATTTATTGGCTATGATAATTTACTATTCAGTGTGTACGAAGTAGTAAGTAGTCAGTATTTACACTTTTACCAATTTTTTTTTTACCAATTAATTTGTTGTACTTACACACAACACAGTGATTAATTTTAATTGGAAATCTCTATGGTTCATACACTATCACGTAGTACGGCAACACAAACCCTCAAAATATTGACCATTTTTTTTTTATAGGATAGAATGACAAACGAACACACAGTCCATCTGATAGTAAGTGGTTGCTGTGACCTATAGACATCTACATTTATCCTCAATAAATAATCAAAATGCAGATGCGTCGCCACCCGTGTGGACACAAATGAAATGCCTCTTTTCCAGTAAAAAATCCGGTTCTCTACACTCACCATACGAAACACAGCAGCATTAAGCTGCTATTTTAAGCTGGTATTCTGTGAGAGCGTGGTCCTTCCCCGGTCGAGCCGACCCATTCGTGCTACAACTATACTACTAATATAGCTGCAGCATGGCTCTACCCCGTATAACACTATTCGATAAAATTAAGAAAACAAAATAATAATTAATGGAAACCAAGAAATTATTATTATAATTAATTAATATGTTAGACAATCAATAACATATCTTAGAAATTTGAACGAAAGCAGCAAACCTGTGTCGCTCCATGCTCGTTCTGCAGCATGCCAAGTGCTTTCTGCAGACGGTGTGCCAGTTCATGCTGAGTTCCCTGCAGTGCAGCTAAAGCACTTTGCAGACAGCCCTGCTCGGCTAGTCGATTCGCGTACTCATTCAAAGACATATCCAATTTGTCTTCCTGAGAAAAAGTAACACTATAGTGAGATCGATGTAATTTCTTAATTATAAAGCGTATAAAACTAAAATAATCTACTTAATTAAATACATCTTAAACCTCCATTAGGTATCTATAATATCTATCTCCTCAGATCTCCATCCAATCCCGCAGGTGTCGCGAAAAACCACTATGCGTAAATTCAGAACAAGCTACCGATGGATATACAAATTAATGAAAAAAAGGGAAGCTGTTAAAAATATATTGTAATTATTTTTTTGTTGCGCTGATTATATATTACTATAGTCAAGCCGTTGTAACAAAGAACGATCGATAAAAATCACGTTACAATTTATGGATATGCCCTGGCTACTACTGTCTTCTTATTATATTGCCCGCGTTATAAACCGAGTCGTCGGGCAATAAATCACTGTAATCAGTCTATCTCGCTCGCACTCATTTGACTTTTGGAACGTCATAATGATGTGAGTAGCAGGAAGTTGTCGATATCGATAAGATTTAATGAATGGATTTTTTAAGGTAGGAAATTACGATTTTTTTTTGCAGCACAGATTTTGGCCACACATGGATACACCCCGTTATCATACATAGTAGATATAGTGCGTTTTAGCACACTTATCAAAATTATCAATATTGGTAACTGTAGTTGGTTTTTTAGAACTTTTCCTTTGGTTGGCTGGGCTTGCCGGATTGGGATATTTACGTGTTTATTCAACCGGTTGTCGTTCTGCAAACGCCACAAATAAACGCAACATTTTCCCGTGTTTTATTAGAATTAAGCTAAATATATTGAAAAACAAAAATATATTGTGAATAGAATAGAAGATAATATTAACGTGCAAACTCGAATAGGTGTCCGTTGCCAACCCTAGGTGGGTGGCCAAGCGTGGCAACTATCACCTTTATGACGCACTCTGTGGGGAGGCCTATGTTAACAATGACTTTGATAGGCACAACCAGTGGTGTTCCCAGTGATGACATATGGACCTGAGACGTGGTCCTTACAGCTGGCCTTACGGCTGACTCAAGGTCGCTCAGTGAGCTATGGTGAAGGCTATGCTCGAAATTTCTCTACATTATAGACTTAGAAATGAGGATTTCCACGGTAGAATCAGAGTAACCATTGCACAACTGATTAGTAAGTTGAAGTGGCAATGGCCGGCCATATAGCTTGAAGAACTGACAACCGATGGGGAAGAAAGTTTCTCGGGTGACATCATTGTACGTTACGACGTACCAGTGAGCGGAGGGCGGCGCGAACCCCTACTAGATGGAGTGAAGACTAGCGAGGCTAGCCAAGTAGACTATATAAAGATGAATGAAATCAACGACAAGTCATGTGATTTAATGTTGAGATAAGTTAAAGTTACAGTCTATATATATACGTCTTACTGCTGGGTACAGGTTTGCCCTCATTTCTGAGAGGTTTTAAGACAAGAAAGTGTTCGCTGCGTTGTCTCACTGCATATTGGTTGATTTCACATGTCTTCGATATATTTATTTCTCAGACATACAGGTTTCCTCACGATGTTTTTCTTCATCGCATGACACTCGAATTTAGTTTTATAGTTTTTTATTGACGTTGCAGATTTTAGTAAACAATTTAGTTAACGCTGCTAGTAAGAGATGTAAGAATTCGATGGATACATGTGGCTTAGGATTGTACTAGAATAGAACGGAATAATTTTCATAAATTACAAGTAATTTTTATTTAATGTTAATTTTTTAGTTTTATCACTGGTTTGGAAAAAAAACTTTATTGTGGGAAAATCAAGCGGGATTTTTCAAAATAAAAGTTTACAATAAAATATAGGTTTGTAGAAATTACTTATAATTTTTTTTTATAGATTCGGGTGACAAACGAGCACACAGTCCACCTGATGGTAATTGGTTACTGTGACCCATAGACATCTACATCTATCCTCAATAAAGACTCAAGATGCGTTGTCACCCGTGAGGACTAAGATGGAATGCCTCTTTGCCAGTAAAAAGGGTCTCCGGTTAGAGAACCGGAGACCCTTTTTACTAGTGTAGAGACACTCACCATACGAAACACAGCAGCGTTAAGCTGCTATTTTACGCTGGTTTTCTGTGAGAGCGTGGTTCTTCCCCGGTCGAGCCGACCTATTCGTGCTACAACTATAATATAGCTGCAACATGGCTCTACCATGTAGAAAATACGTTATTTAAGAAATAGTTTGGGTAAACTTGGTAATAGATTGGTTAGTTTCGCCTTTCTTGTTTCTTATGATACCTATGGGACGATATTGGGTAGTAGATTATTTTTACACTGTCAATTACTGTCTACTTTGGTTTTTGATTGGCTGTAATTAATGATGAATGAACGAATGAATTTAAACTCTCTTCACAATAGGTACTTTTAATGCTATGTATTACAAAATTGCCAGACTAGTACCTAATTTGTGAGAGACTGGCGCCTGATATAGGTATAAAAATTTGCATTACAGTTCACCAGGATTCTCCATAATAATGATAAAAAGCGATGTACTTGCGGTCAGCGTTCACACGGTGTGTCGGCGTGTCGTGGCAATACGTAAATGTTCCAACACTGCCACTATATTGTTAATGCTGGTTTTATAACTTTTATAAGCTACAATGTGTGATGATGATGGTGATGACAATGATGATGATGATGATGCGGCAACATACCTGCGGCGTACGTCCCCGTGCGGCGGCGGCGCGGCGCAGCAGCAGCGCCAGCTGCGCGCGCTGCGCCAGCGCGCCGGCGTCCCGCGCGCCGCGCCCGCCCCGCGCGCCCCCCGCGCCGCGCGATGATGCGGCAACATACCTGCGGCGTACGTCCCCGTGCGGCGGCGGCGCGGCGCAGCAGCAGCGCCAGCTGCGCGCGCTGCGCCAGCGCGCCGGCGTCCCGCGCGCCGCGCCCGCCCCGCGCGCCCCCCGCGCCGCGCGATGATGCGGCAACATACCTGCGGCGTACGTCCCCGTGCGGCGGCGGCGCGGCGCAGCAGCAGCGCCAGCTGCGCGCGCTGCGCCAGCGCGCCGGCGTCCCGCGCGCCGCGCCCGCCCCGCGCGCCCCCCGCGCCGCGCGATGATGCGGCAACATACCTGCGGCGTACGTCCCCGTGCGGCGGCGGCGCGGCGCAGCAGCAGCGCCAGCTGCGCGCGCTGCGCCAGCGCGCCGGCGTCCCGCGCGCCGCGCCCGCCCCGCGCGCCCCCCGCGCCGCGCGATGATGCGGCAACATACCTGCGGCGTACGTCCCCGTGCGGCGGCGGCGCGGCGCAGCAGCAGCGCCAGCTGCGCGCGCTGCGCCAGCGCGCCGGCGTCCCGCGCGCCGCGCCCGCCCCGCGCGCCCCGCGCGCCCCCCGCGCCGCGCGATGATGCGGCAACATACCTGCGGCGTACGTCCCCGTGCGGCGGCGGCGCGGCGCAGCAGCAGCGCCAGCTGCGCGCGCTGCGCCAGCGCGCCGGCGTCCCGCGCGCCGCGCCCGCCCCGCGCGCCCCGCGCGCCCCCCGCGCCGCGCGATGATGCGGCAACATACCTGCGGCGTACGTCCCCGTGCGGCGGCGGCGCGGCGCAGCAGCAGCGCCAGCTGCGCGCGCTGCGCCAGCGCGCCGGCGTCCCGCGCGCCGCGCCCGCCCCGCGCGCCCCGCGCGCCCCCCGCGCCGCGCGATGATGCGGCAACATACCTGCGGCGTACGTCCCCGTGCGGCGGCGGCGCGGCGCAGCAGCAGCGCCAGCTGCGCGCGCTGCGCCAGCGCGCCGGCGTCCCGCGCGCCGCGCCCGCCCCGCGCGCCCCGCGCGCCCCCCGCGCCGCGCGATGATGCGGCAACATACCTGCGGCGTACGTCCCCGTGCGGCGGCGGCGCGGCGCAGCAGCAGCGCCAGCTGCGCGCGCTGCGCCAGCGCGCCGGCGTCCCGCGCGCCGCGCCCGCCCCGCGCGCCCCGCGCGCCCCCCGCGCCGCGCGATGATGCGGCAACATACCTGCGGCGTACGTCCCCGTGCGGCGGCGGCGCGGCGCAGCAGCAGCGCCAGCTGCGCGCGCTGCGCCAGCGCGCCGGCGTCCCGCGCGCCGCGCCCGCCCCGCGCGCCCCCCGCGCCCCGCCCCGCCGCCGCCGCGTGCTCGCGCGCCGCGCACACGTAGCACAGCGCACCCGCGCCGCGCAATGACGGCTCATTCTCCGCGGACAGCTTCGCGCCCAGCATCTCTGCGACACAAACATATGCACCTTCCTTTATCATCCAATACTCCCACACACTTTCAAAACTGTATACAGTTTGGCAACACCTTTGACATCACCCAAAGCCGCCACACGTGTGGGTATTTACTACTTACACCGACCTGCGCATATGTACTAGGAGTTGTCACGAAATTGAGAATAAAATAATTTTGGATATTATTATACTCATTATCATTAATTACACTGTGTTGCACTGCCCCAAATATTTTCGTAACACTTTCTTTTTATAAATGTTTTCAGTTTTCGATTGTTAATTTTAATGTAGTGTACTCACATTCAGGTACACAATTCTATCAAAAAATTAAAAAGAATTAAGAGAATAGCCGTCATTTGAATTCAACTTCACTTAATAACAAATATAACTTGTACGATAGGTACACCTAAAATACTGCATCATACATATATTTAAAAACTGCTAATAGCTAATAATATATACACAAACACACTGTGTATAGCGGTGCTATGTGAACTGACTGACTGACATAAACAAAAAATAAGTGTATAATAAAATTACTTAAATAAGTACTTAAAAAACGCTAGCAACAACCGCATGTATTATATAACAGACCTAGTGAAGTACGCTGACACACGGTTTCAAATTCCCCGTAGTTACTTTACACAAGTACCTTCATTTCACAACTATTACATTCTCTTTAAACTGTGACACCATGATACGTCATTTTTATTCTATATACATTCATTTTTATATTACACTTGTTTTTTGTGAGAGCATGGTTCTCTTCCCCGGTCGAGCCGACTAGTTCATGTATGTGTTACATAGTATAGCTGCAGCGTGGCTAGTACCACGTAAAAAAATACAAACATTTCAATGAGTTCTAATAATTTTCCGCTCACCAAGTGTCGCTAGTTGACAGTGACGGGAAGTTTTATGTTACACAACTTAATTTATTTGAGAAGTAAGTTTTAAATAAAAGTTTCCAGTTCGTAGTTTTATATTAATACACAAAACAATGGCTCGGCGGTTTGCTCTTTAATTTTTTGCACATTTGTAACTTACCGCAATAGTGTATGAGTGCATCCCCATCGCAGTGCGTGACGAGTGCGGCCAGCGTCTCCCTCCAGCTGGCGGGCGCGGCGCCGCGCACCAGCGCGTCCCAGTTGCCCTGCAGCAGGCAGCTCGCCACCAGCGACACCGCTTCTCCAGCACTCGCGCTCAGGTGATACTTCTGCACCTTGTACAACAGCTCTTGGCTGCCTGCGAACAACATTCTTTTTAAACTTTTAACAATAAAATAAAATCATTTCAGTATATCTATATCTATACAAATAAATAAAATTGAAGTGTCTGTTTGTAATGTCAAAATAACAGCTTTTTACTAAATGCATATGAAAGTATAAATACAGTACTTATAACTAAAATACAATTTTTAAAATGTCTGTCTGTCTGTCTATCTGTCCGTCTGTCTATTTGTCTGTCTGTATGTCTGTTTGTTCCGGCTAATCTCCGAAACGGCTGGACCGATTTTGACGGGACTTCCACTGGCAGATAGTCATAAGGAGTAACTTAGGCTACTTTTATTTTAGAAAAAGAATTAGGGTTCCGCGCAAAAAAATAAATACCCTAACACGCGAACGAAGTCGCAGGGAGCAGCTAGAATATTAATAAAATTGAAGCATCTATCTGTTTTTTTTTATAGGATAAGGGTGACAAACGAGCACACAGCCCACCTGATGGTAAGTGGTTGCTGCGGCCCATAGACATCTACATCTATCCTCTATTACAAATCAAAATGTAGATGCGTTGTCACCCGTGAGGACTAAGATGGAATGTCTCATTTCCAGTAAAGAGGGCCTCCGGCCACCTGCACTCACCAAGCGAAACGCAGAGGTAAACCTCTACTTCACGCTGGTTTTCTGTGAGGTCGTGGTACCACCGCGTTTCGAGCCGGCCCACCCGTGTGCCAGCAAAAGCTGCCGCGTGGCTCTACCACTGTTTGAAGGTATATTATATTGAAATAACTGGCTTTTTTAAACTCAGGGGGTTATTTGCTAGCATTATAGCTATTAAGATATAAGTAACATTTTTATTTTAATTTTTTAGTTTCTGTTAGGCTAATCTTTAGAATGCCTGAACCAATTTAATGAAACTTTACGGATACCGACAGATTTTTTTTCACCTCAATCAGTGACCATGGGTGCTGTAAAGTGCTCGAAACGTCGGGAATATAAAATAGTTAATAAAATAGTTTTATTTAAATGAAAATAATATTTAGGGGTGGGTCACCCTTATCGTTTAAAGATTTGAAAAATAGTTGTTGGCCGATTCTCAGACCTACCCGATATGCACACAAAATTTCATACAAATCGGTTCAGCCGTTTCGGAGGAGTTTGGTAACAAACACCGCGACACGAGAATTTTATATATTAGAAGTATAGATATATAAATAATAATTCTTGTTGAGTTGGTCAAGCAAGTAGATGAGTTTTTGTATTTGGGGTGTGTATTTAGCAGGGATGATAGATATGATAAGGAACGACGAGTGAACGCAGTAAATAGCGTAATTGGGGCTCTACACTCTATTGTGGAAAGTCAGAATGTGTCCAAAAAGGCACGTATGCACGCACAATGCTGTGTCAGTCCCTACTTTAATATATGGTAGTAAAAGTTGGGTGTGGCATAAAAACCACGAGAGTAGAATAAATGCTGTAGAAATGTCATTAAAGAATATGTTAGGGCTGAATCTGAATAACAGGATGAGAAATTATGTGATAAGAGATAAGTGTGGTTTGCAAGATGATGTTGTAACCAGGATTAAGAAAGGAATGCTTCGGTGGTTTGGACTTTTTAGAAAGAATGAATGAGGAGAGTGCAAAGAAAATTTGTGTTACAGAGGCGAGCGACAGAATCGCCCTACGCGAAAATTTATCAACCAAAATGGGAATACATTGAAATGGGCCAAATTAAGAATACCCTTAACCAACGAGCGTGTATGAGTGGAGGAAGCGAGAGAGTTGTGCCAGGATCGTGCCAAATAATAATAATAATTATTTATTATTTCAAGCTAAGAATATCTTAATTTCTAGGATACAAACACTTTGAGATACAGTTTAACAATAAATACAATTCAGTGAACATCTGTGTCTGAACTAGATAACTTAATATGCCTGTTTCAGAAATGAAAGTACGTAGTCTCTGTCTACCCCTCTGGGTGACAGCCGTGTGTGTTTATGTATATGTATGTAATTCTTTATTCACAAAAACGTTTACCTACAATTACAATAACTGTATGCCTATCCTACAATGTTATTGTACGCTATTGCTGAATATATCTAACATCCTAATTTTGCAACAACAACTTAGACTTCTACCCCCCCCCCCCCCCCCCAATGCTAATTATTAACTGTATGACGATAGACAAGTGCGGATAGTTCATGAGTTTATGGTATACGATGCAGTAATTAACTACCAGTGTGTACACAGTATAAGCAAAATAGTCACACGAATAAGATGGCACATTTTCAGTTTTTCAAATTAATTTTATAATTTCTTTAAACAAATCTCAGATTTTTAAGTTATAAGTAATTATTATCAATTCAATATTATTTTAAATAATTTCTTTTACTTTTACTGATTTTTTTTTACTATTACTAGGCCTGTCTCACTCCGCACTTTAGGCATGAAAATATACCTACGCTGCGCGGCCGCTTACAAGAGGCTAATTCAATGAGGTTGTCGCGCGCGAGCTCGAGCTGACGCTCGCCTTACGTTAACAAATAATATACTTCTGTTATAAGTATTTAAGCACTTTTAATATTTATTTTTGAGTTTTTATTCAAGTATGGCCTCTCAAAAATCCAAAAGGTACTGCATAGCATGCGGGTGCTTTAACAACAATAGATATATCGACTTTTCATTCTTTACTGTCCCTCAGGATACCGAAAAGCAAGAAATTATTATTTATAGATAGATCTAGATAATCAGGTACCTAGTTACTGACGCAATAGTTACAAATTTATTATTTGATTAGCGACCCGACCACAGCTTCGTAGTTTTCGATTTTTTCGTGTATAATCCCTATGACCTTAAAAAATCATTCAGTGTAAGTAGACCTCCCAGTACTAGTGACTGCCTACTAATGCAACAGCAACATATACACCAGTATATGTTTATCTTGTATTAGTAGGCAGTCCAGTGTTAAACCAATTACCAAATTGGTTTAACACTTTGTCGATAAAAGAAAGAGATTGAAAATAGCAGGACTTCTCATTGCCACTCTCTCATTAATAATGCCGTCGCGTGTCGCATATTTGTAAATAGCAAAATATGTGAAACAGACAAGTGACAAAGAACAAAAGCAATGAGTTGCAGCGCTAAGGGCAGCAGATTCGAATCCCGCACGAAACAAGTATTTGTATGGTCTACAAATAACTGTTCTGGGTCTGGATGTTTATCCTTGTGAAATCTATGTATGTAAACTGCCCCCGCGATACAGGAGAAAAACCTAGTGCGGAAGTAACGTTTTTAAAAAGAGAGGAAGAGAGATAAATAATGAAGTTAAAAATTTCGTACAACCGACTTCACCATGAATACGCATTATTAAGGATAACTCCAAAAGGACCGGTCAGATCTTTGTCAAATATATGGGATATATAAATTATAAGCACCAGCTTTCAAATAAAAAAAGCAATCATCAAAATCGGTTAGTCGAATTGATCCTCCTTTTTTGAACAGACTCTCGCACGCGGACGTAAGGTGTATTTTGATTTAACACTCGCAAGTTTGCTATCAGAGAGTGATCCTTCTGTTCTTATACCATTATTTAATCTGTGTGCTATTACCACATGAGTAAATAAACCGAACAGAGACGAAAGAAATATTTTATCATAGCTACATAATAAAGCTGATAAACTTTTTGTTTATTTAATATTATCCACCTGTGCCAATATTGTCAAAATATGTAATAAAAATTTTGCACTGTTCTAGAACCTCTCGATTCGGTTTCTTTACTCATGTGCTCTCAATAAACATTACCTATACATACCATACATTACACATAACATGGGATAGGAATTAAGTTTGGACCCTGAACCTCTGGACCACTACTTACCCAATGAAGCAATAATAAGTGCGTCGGCTACTCTCTTAGCCTCCAAACACATTTCCACCGCCTCCTCCAAGTTGCCGCAGACCAAGGCGCGGCAAATTAGGCTTGTCGAGTCTAGATACAACAAGATGTCCATGTTATTAAATAAGATTACACAACTTAATTCAAAAATATATACATATAATTAACCGATTTTTCCGGACCGATACAACTTAGGGACCTTCAAGAAAAGAGCCTACTCCTTTTTAAAAGGCCGGCAACGCATCTGCAATTCCCCTGGTGTTGCGGTTGTTCATGGGCGGCGGTAGTCACTTACCATCAGGTGAGCCGCATGCTCGTTTGCCCCCTCTCCTATAAAAAAAAACATAATTGTATTATGGAATAAAAAAAAAAAAGATAACAAAAATATATCCAGCTCAAGGATAAACCCTCAACTTAATTCGATAGTATACGAGCAAAACGACTTCGATCGTATAAAATTGTGCAGTTTTAACTTCTCATAAATATACCAAGTAACCATGTAGAGGCTGTGTAAGGATATCCACTACTCCATATCGTCCCGTGAGTGTCGTTAGAGGCGACAGAGGGTAGTTGAAACAACTGATGGGCTACAGCATCTTCCTAATAACAACTCAAAATTATAAAAAAAAACTACGGTTGCCAACCCAGGCGTGGCAACTATGGCAAAATCTGAAAAAAGAACTTGCTTACCATCCCCGTTAGGTATGACAACATTGGAGACTGAAGGTTCTAAGTCAAGATTCGCTAGTTTTCTCTCGATCAACGTGTGTGCTTCCTGTAACAACGAGTTAAATTTTCTAATACATATTTTTTTTAATAAGATATGAATGACAAGCGAGCACCCAGTCCACCGTGTCACCAGTTACCGTGGCCCATAGACATCTACATCTATCCTCGTTTGCGAATTAAAATGAAGATGCGTTGTCAACCGTGAAGACTAAGATGGAATGTCTCTTTTCCAGGAAAAAGGGTATCCGGTACTCTACACTCACCATACGAAAAACAGCAGCATTAAGCTGCTATTTTAGGCTGGTATTCTGTGAGAGCGTGGTCCTTCCCCAGTCGTGCCGACCCATTCGTGCTACAATTATACAATTAATATAGATGCAGCGTGGCTCTACCACAAAACGCAGGCAATACTGCAACTTTAATAATTATATTGCGTTCATTTTAACTTATCTATAAAAGTATAATTAAATCCAGTATTAATCCCAAAAAATCTGTTTTATTCAATGTGTAGTATTATTTGTACGTAACAGGTCGAGGAAAATGTTTCTTCGTATTTTATATACAAGTTCAAAACATTTTTTTTAATTCAAAGTTTAATTACATTTAATTATAATATATGTGCCATTCTGTTCGATAACTTGTTGCCATCTTGTAGGTAGTGACATAATCCCATTGCTGTAGAACTATTGGGATTTTTGATCAAAAAAATTGCGACAAGTAGTTTTGACAGCCCTATCTTGATGTTAACCTACCACTATGCAAAGAATTCTGAGGACTAAATGGTGGATGCATTAACACTTCGCACGAAGCTCTCTCAATTTTTGCTTAGTGGCTAAAGATGTGTGTGGTCTGGCGTTACCATGTTGAAACACCACTCCTTTTCTTTTGATCAATTCCGGCCGTTTTTTCTCAATTTCTTGCTTGAGTCTCATTAGTTGTTGGCAGTAGAGATCCGAATCCGATGGTTTTGCCCGCCGGTGAAAGCTTATATATAACCAGTTGAATGTAAATTCAAGAAAAACAACTTCCTTCTGCGTGAATCCCATATCTCTGGTGCCCTTTGACCTACAAGACCCAAATTCAAACTCGACTGAGCTACTACCTTAAGGTATCCACATACCAAATTTAAAGTCAATCGGTCCAGTGGAACGGAAGTTATCGTGTCGGCATACAGACTAACAGACTGCCAGCTAAAACCATTAACTTCCTTTCAATGCTACGCAGAAGGAAGTTAATAAGCGATGCCCTTCTAATCCCACCATCTTATTGCATGTTAATCCCGATTTCGCTACAGTCTGTGGAGCTTGGCTATCCTTTGAATCATGATCTTTTTCGCACGTTCTTGTCGCAGGTGGTCCACTTTTCATCACAGGTGTACAATCTTTTCAAAAATGGTTCGGTTTCATTACGTTTCAATAGAGAATCACAAATTAGTATACGATTCATTCGGTTTCTTTTAATGAGCTCGTGTGGTACCCAAATATCGAGCTTTTTTGTATAGCCAGACTTTTTCAAATGAATCCAAACTGTTTTGTGGTCAATCCTCAATTCCTCGACCATGTCGTAACTACCAATATGCCGATTGGCACCATTTTTCAAAAATGGCATCGACCTTATCCGTATGAGGGCGACCAGAGCCCGCTGCATCTTTGACATCAAAATTCCCGGACTGAAAACGCTCTTACTGACACTGCATTAGGTCCATAAACGTCACAATTTTTTCCCGGCTTGAGTCGCATTTTTCCCTTTTATGTAATAAACTTCAGAATGTATCGAATTTCTTCGTTAGATTCACTCATTTTGTCGGACAGAAAAACAATTGAAAAATGGCGGGAAAGTGCTTTGTACTTTTTATTTTTCTTTTTCTTAATGTCCTATATATGTATTATATGTATTAATATTAAAACCAGCCAGAAACAAACAAAATACGAAGAAACTTTTTCGCCGACCTATCATATTTTCTAGACATTAGGAGTAGACTATTTCAGCAATGCTTGCACTAATGCGTTCCGAACTGACAGGTTTAGAGAGCGTATATAGTAACGTGAAGATGAAGTTGAGAGTGTGAATAGCTGTGTACGCAACATAACGTAGAATCGAATTATGTTGCGCAAATACAACGTTTTGTACAAATTTTGGACAAACGGAAAAAACAGACAATAATCTTTGAGGATATTGTAGAGATTACCAACCTCTTCGCCATTTTCCTAGTTCAATTGCGCTCTCTGTTTCCAATTCTGTCTAATCTATACCTATTATAATTATAAATAAATAATTTGAAAATTCTTTTGAATTCACTCATTGATCAGTGAACCCTCCAGTTCGTCATCTCTGAATGACCGCATCTTTCATTCCACCATACACTACATAATGTGGTAATTGCAAGCGATAAACAAATGTATGGAAAGCAATTGAAAAATAATTATTACCTGAATTAATGTCAATATTATTATTATTATCAATTATTAACTATTATCAATTATTGTCTGAATGCCTGAAGATTTTTGAGCGAGAAGAATTAATGTGTAGTCTGTAATTAATTTACTTACTTTAAAAACATAATTAAAGTGAAAAAATACGTTTCGTTTTGCGTAAAGATTGATCACATGTTAATTAATGTCATTGTTCGTTTTGCCACCTGTACTAGAAACAGAAATGTACGAATGCAAAATGTCATTCTAGAAATGTGTAAGTACAGAGTATTGTGCATGGAGAGATGTGTGATCGTAAAGTTGTTTGTGTGTACAGCGGTGTGCACTCACCGAGAGGTCTGTGCTGGTGTCGGTGGAAAGCTCGGCCTCGGTCTCCGTGGACTCGCCCTGCGCCATAACCCCAATTTGCACACACACACACACACAAATTCCCAACTTGTTAACTTGCATTTAGTGCTTATGTTATGCATAACGGTATTAAGTTGCCTCGTGCAAGGTGAAGCATTAGAAGAACCAGGTATAAACAAAGAATTACTCTCAAGATTTCAAAAGAAGACAAAGTTATATTTTTAATGTTTTTTTAGTTGGAAAATTAGTTAATAAAAGTTTGTTTCAGTTATAAAGAACCCCAAGAATAGGTTTCAGATGAATGTGATACAAAATCAAAAACAATTACATTTGCTCATTTTAGTTATTACATACTCAACTAAGATGTATAAATGCATTTGTGCGGTTTAGTAGAGTATATGTTCACAAATATAACTAAATTGTTACGATTTATATATAATTTCAAAGTTATACAAGAAATGGAAAGAGTCAAAAAGCTTTGTTAAAATTAAGGTTACAGATTAAATTCTTGTTTGAAAATATTACACTACAAAAGTCGCGCGCACGATAAGAATAGGGCTATCATACTGACATTTCGCTTTGCATTGAACACTAACTTCAGGTGCGTTGTTCAGAATGTGTAAAAATAAAACTTATACTGATATTAAGAGTTTAAAAAAAACACACGCATTGATCAAGAGCACTGCTGAACAAAGCCTTGTTTAACAAAGTCTCGACATCATACACAAGTTTGTTTCGGTACTCGGCGAGGTTTTCCCCGAGAAACATTGACACGGCCGGTGTATTAAGAATCACCTTTTCTTTCGTTTATTATATGTTATTGCACTTAGCTAGAGTAATATTAAAATTAAAGCACCCACATCTTATTTTCCTGTTCTGCTCCAGCATGTGACCTTGAGTCGGTCTTATCTCATACAATATACCTAATGAGACCTGATCACCACTTACAAATAACCTATTCATTAACAACATTTCAATGAGCCCAAATACAAATCCGTTAATGTAAGTTCTTGAGGAGTTAAGGATCAGTTCGGTGATGCTGTTGAAGCTATTATATTTTTTTTTATAGAATTAGGGTGACAAACGAGCACACAGTCCACCTGATGGTAAGTGGTGGCTGTGGCCCATAGACATCTGCATCTATCCTCGTTTGTGAATTAAAATGCAGATGCGTCGTCAGCCTTGAGGACTAAGATACAATGCCTCTTTTCCAGTAAAATGGGTCTCCGGTTCTCTACACTCACCATACGAAACACAGCAGCATTAAGCTGCTATTTTACGCTGGTATTCTGTGAAAGCGTGGTCCTTCCCCGGTCGATCCGACCCATTCGTGCTACAACTATACTATTAATATAGCTGCAGTATGGCTCTACCACGTTCATCAACTTGAAAAGAGCTGATGATCTTCATGGCTGAAAAGGAGCAAACGAAAATTGCACTAACTATGGGCCCCGACGTGGTTAATCCGGCTCTGATAAGCAGTGATGAAAGTGTCATAAAATTGACATGAGAGTGAAGTTGTCAGTAAAACCATCCCTATTCTTATCCTACGCGCATAGTAAAAGTCACTTTTATTTGTTGGTGCAAAATAATTACTATTCTTATGGTTACTTGCTACTCACTCGACTCAAAGCCGCCACGCCAGGCTGTGCGTCTCCCGTTGAGAGCAGAGAATTCTTGAATTTTGACGAGATGTCATCTTGCTTGAATCCTGTGAAAAATTATTAACCAACTTCAAAAAAGGAAAAAGCTTACAATTTCACTGTAGGTTTTTTAGGAATTTTTTATTAGAATACAGGCGACAAACAAGCACACAGATCCTCTTATCGCCTGATGGTAAGTGGATACTGTGGCCCATAGACATCTGTCTATGGGCCACAGTATCCACTTACCATATTTATCCTGGATAAGGAATCAAAATGCGGATGCGTTGTAACATTTGAATACTAGGACGCTGTTAACTGTACAGGAGGTACTATAATGTCACATGTGCCCGTACAACTAGTGGTGCTCACAAACATGGATGACAAATGAACTCAGTACCTGATAATAAACGATTGCTCTTACATATCTACGTCAAAGTCTAATATATTAACATATCTACGTCTACGTTCTTACGTGGTAGAGCCATACTGTAGCTATATTAGTAATAGGTATAGTTGTTGCACGAATGGGTCGGCTCGACCGGGGAAGGACCACGCTCTCGCAGAATACCAACGTAAAATGTCAGCTTAACGCTGCTGTGTTTCGTATGGTGAGTGTAGAGAACCGGATACCCTTTTTTACTAGAAAAGAGGCATTACATCTTAGTCCTTACGGGTGACAACGTATCTGCATTTTAACTCGTAAACGAGGATAAATGTAGATGTCTATGGGCCACAGCAACCACTTACCATCAGGTGGACTGTGTGCTCGTTTGTCACTCGATCCTATAAAAAAAAACTGTGCGAGTTACGTCCAGTAATGCTTATCTATCGTGATCGGCGTAAAGTAGTCGGCGGTCGAATTTGCACAAAGTCGAATCGACCCACAAACTAATAAGAAGGAACGAGCCATCGCTGTTGCTAAAAACATTTTATAATTCACTTACATTTTGTAATTTACGTTAGTTTAATTATAATTTGCATTGTTACAGTGTACGAATAGTACAAAACAAATTTATATTAAGCTATAGACATGTAAGTATCAAAGTGAATGTAAATTCTTGAGATAATAAAGTTCTTCTTAAACCGTAAGTGATGATTTACTACGTGCTTGGCGATGAAGGAAAACATTGTGAGAAAGCCTGCATGAAGTATGGGGGCAGCGCGAAGGACACCTTAACGTAAAACTCTCTCAGAAATGAGAGACCTGTGCACAGCAATGGCACGTATTTAGGCCGTAACTTTAACTAACTTTTAAATATACTAAACTTAAAAAATAATGAAGGTTGAATGTCAATAAAATAAAATACATATTGAGGAGTCTCTCACTTCAATATCATCTGAAACATGAGAAGGAGAATTTGCCAAACAGTTGGAACAGGTTTTGTAATTTTAACTTTTAATAGATTACCAGTACCCACCGAGCAAGTTAAGCACTTCACTGCGGAACGTGGGCAGGAAGTTGGCCCGCAGGAAGAACCACACGTAGCGCTCGTGTTGATCGGTCGCCTCTTCACCCTTCTGGCGACAGTACCTGCACGCAAATATATAACGTTACATGACAATGACTGTTCACCACTTTTTTGCCACCAGGGCGGCGCCACTTGTAACGAGGTGAAATATTTGACAAATTACATGGTGGGGAAGTTTATTTATAGGCATATTTAAGGGTTTTCTTTCTGTAATATTAGTTATATTAGGATAGAAATAAATAAACCAAACTACAAATAAAAGTTAAAAAGTTTGTAAAATATTAGGGAAAAAACCACTGAGGCACTTTTTGTGTATTCATATAATACTCTAGAAAACGAAAAAGTTTTATTTTGAACGCAACTTCTCAATTATATAAGATTGTGTAACAAAAAACTTAACCTCGGTCCCAACTAGCGACCTCTGGTTAAGGGAATATTATTAATCCTAAAATCCGGGTCGATGGAAACAAAATAAAAAGAAAAACCTACTCTGCGAGTTTCTCCGTGGCTCCTGGTTCTTGATTTAATGTTAGACTTAACACATTATCTAATTCCGTAGCTTTCTCAACTATTTCCGGTTCACTCACCACCTACAAAACAACACACCACACTTTGTTATGTATGTCATAATGTGTTAAAAAATTGATAAAATAACTTTTAATGTTAATAAAACGAATTGCATACCTGGCTAATATAAACCAGTTTCTGTGAGCCGGCCTCTTGTGGACACTTTTCGAAAGTCACGAGCTTACCACCAAACTGAAGAACAAGTTAAGTGTTATTATATATATATATAGCCCTAATTACTTAAGAATGATTTATCTCAAACACATCAATTAGAATAGAAATCAACTTGATAAATACAATTTTCTAGAAACTCCAAGTTTGTAGCAATAAATTTTATAGAGTGAATGTGGCTCTACACCCTATTGTGAGAAGTCAGAATGTGTCCAAAAAGGCACGTATGGCAATTCACAATACTGTGTTAGTTCCTACTTTAATGTAGGTAGTGAAAGTTGGATGTGGCAGAAGAAGCACGAGTAGAATGAATGCTCTAGAAATGCGTTCATTAAGGAGTATGTTAGGGATAAATCTGAATGACAGAGTGAGAAATTGTGTGATAAGAGAAGAATGTGGTTTGCAAGATGATGTTGAAACTTGGATTAAGAAAGGAATGCTTCGGTGGTTTGGTCATGTAGAAAGAATAAATGAGGAAAGAGTGACAAAGCAAATTTATGTTGCAGAGGTGAACGGCAGAGTCGGGAAGGGACGCCCTAGGCGAAAGTTTATCGACCAAATTGGCGATATATTGAAAATGGGCCAAATCAAGAGTACCTTTAACCGAAGAGCGTGTATGCGTAGGTATATGTATGTGGAGGAAGCGAGAGAGGTGTGTCAAGATCGTGCCAAATGGAAGTCCATAGTCTGTGCCCACCCCTCGGGGTGACAGTCGTGAGCGTTTATGTTATGTTTTTATTTGAAGCAATTACTTTTCAAAATTCTCTATAGGTATCATATGAAAACAATTATAGTTGACTTACAACATCGCTAAATATATTTTATAAAATCGCAAAATGACGGAAATAAATCGCGAAGATGATACCACGACAACTAATTAATCGATATTAGTGTCAACTACCGTATCGAAATTTCAGTTTTTTCCTTATTTCTTTATATTCATATGATTTAGTATTTTTGCCAAATGCCGAGGAATTTACCGTGTTACACTATCCCATATCGTCCCGTGAGTGTTGTAAGAAGCGACAGACGGAAACACATCAAAAGATGGGCAGCAGCGTCTCCATGATAACGGCTAAAAATAAAAAAATGCTGCGTTTGCCAGCTCGGTAAGCTAAACATGGCAACTACGGCTGATCTCTCCTGCTATAATGCAGTCTATGGGGGAGGCCTATGTTCAGCAGTGGACTTTAATAGGATGTAACGGTAACGGAGTAATTGGAAATTGTCGTTTATAAAGAAATTAGCTGACCCGACAAACGTTGTTTTGCCATATACATTATTTCTAGGAAATATTTTTTATTTTTAAATATAGCGAATAAAAAACAGGGGTTGAGTGCAGAAGGGTGAAAATTTGAAGTTTTATGTATTTTTCAATGCTAAATCATAATAAAATTAAAATAATATTTTTTTTTCAAAAAAGTATAAAAAAAATATTTAGGGGTGGGTCACCCTTATCATTTAGGGCTTTGAAAAATAGTTGTTGGCCGATTCTCAGACCTACCCAATATGCACACAAAATTTCATACAAATCGGTTCAGCCGTTTCGGAGGAGTTTGGTAACAAACACCGCGACACGAGAATTTTATATATTAGATAGTAGCAACTCTTCATAATATTTTATGTATCACATTGCGAAGTTAGTCACATTCGAATTTTACTAACACCTAACTCACTATTCACAAATAAATAAATGAATGAATGAAGTTATTGGGAGGTTTTAACTACAGCTTAATCTGGTAAATAGCCGATAACAATGGTATTTTAAAGCGGCAAAATAAACATTATAACTTGAGTTTTATATCACAAACAACAACAGGTAAACAACAAATTTAAGAGGTGCAAGTGTCAAGCCACTGCCTGCATTCCCTCCTTCCTACTAAAGCTGAACGCACATTTGTCCGCACCGTACGCGCCGAGTTTTACTGATGGCCTCGCACATTTGCACGTACGCATCGTCCGCGCCATACGCAAATCTTTTGTATTACCACAGAATAAATAATCATTCACTGATAGCGAACTTGCGAGTTCAAACTTAGTTACAACGTCAACGTATTTTGCACGCATCGAAAGTGACCTTCGTGAAATTAGCCTACAGTTTATATCGTTGAAAAAAAATTATGCGCTGCGCATATTAAATCTAAATGCAACTTACATCCGCGTGCATGTGTATCACTTAGCCCGTTACGCGCTTTTGTTAATACCGCTTCTACTGTAGCGTTAGGTGTTGTGAGAAAACAAATTGAATCCTTTGATATAAGTTGGTAGTAGAATACGGTAGGTATTATGCAATGTATTAGTAATTTGCTGTTATAAGAATATTATTGTTCAATGTAAAGTAGGTTAAAGGTATTATCTATACATTATCTATAATAATAATAATAATTGGTATTTATTTCTATCTATTATATCTATTAAGGTATATTTATATCTATTAAGGTGTGGCAGGTTGGGATTATTTTATTAGATATAGTGAAATGTATTGAGATTCTAAATCCCCTGAAACGTTCAGTTACCGCAGTCACAAAACTACACCAAAAACAGCAACAAACTACTCACGGTCTTACTAGCCAGCCTCCCAAGATCGGTAAACGTTGACAGCTCCTGGTAGCTTCTTCTACACGGTAGAATACACTAGCAATTAGATTATACACGGTACAATCTGGAGTAGTCCCTTTTAGTTTTTTGGAGAGATCTTCACATCACGATAACACAAAGAGAATGTATATGGATTCTCACGCTTCCTGCCCTCTTCTTCGTTTTTTAACTCCTCTTTTTGATATTTATTTTTGAGTTTTTATTCAAGTATGGCCTCTCAAAAAGCCAAAAAGTACAGCATAGCATACAGGTGCTTAAATAACAATAGGAACGTCGACTTTTCAATCTTTAGTGTTCCTAAGGATACCGAAAGGTATGATATTGTTTATAGGTAGATCTAGATAATTAGGTACCGAGTTTTACAACGCATTACCGATTATTACAACGCATGTTACGTCGCAATGTGGCCACCGGCGCTCAGATCGCAGCAGATCTTTGTTCCTCGGTATGAATTTTGTGAGTTGCGGTTTATTACTGGACATAAGGTATACAGTATCAGTAGGTAATATTAATACTAGCTATTGTACGTTATTACTATTACGTACTGTGTGATGCTAGTAGAGTAGATAGCATCACCCCATGTCGACCTGTGAGTGTAGTAAAACGCGCCTAAGGGAATCTAAAGCAACAGGGACTTATCTAGTACTCCGTCCACCAATTGGGACACTTGGTGGAGTACTGCTCAAACCCCTCCGTATAGGGCGAGCCCTGTGTCCCAGCAGTGGATCAATATTTAGGCTGACGATGATGACGACGTTACGTTATTTTTAATTGAAAGCGTAGCAATGAGTAGTGTTATATTTATATTTTCAATCTTTTCCTTTTATCGACAAAGTGTTTAACTACAATCCAGTATATGGTGATCTTGCATTAGTAAGCAGTCACTAGCACTGAGAGGTCTACTTATACTAAATACCTTTTTAAAGTTTTTGACATTATACGCGAAAAAAAAACGAAAACTGCGAAGCTGTGATCTCTACTACTTCTAACTATGGCGTCAGTAACTCGGTACCTAATTATCTAGATCTACCTATAAATAATATCTTACCTTTCCGTATCCTTAGGAACAATAAAGATTGAAAAATCGATATTCCTATTGTTTTTTAAGCATCCGTATGCTATGCTGTACTTTTTGACTTTTTGAGAGGCCATATTTGAGTAAAAATTCAAAAATAAATATCAAAAAAGCCTAAATACTTATTTGAGAATAATAATTTTTATGTTAACGTAAGACGCGCGTCGGCCCGAGCGCGTGCGTGACAACCTCACGGAATCAGCCCCCTCATACGGTAGCCGCATAGCGTAGGTATATTTTCATGCCTAAAGCGCGGAGTGAGGCAGGCTTGGTATTGCTAACAACTTTTGTAGTTTTTTTCCAACCACTGGTGTGAAACGGTACAGTGAAATCGATCGCTCAAAATCACTATGGAAAGAAATATAGTAATAGTCTGTTTATTGGCATAGGAAGAAGAAAATAAAATTCTGAAAAAAAGAAGGTTCTGGATTTATAATACTAATCTATGAAAAGGCAATTGTATAGAGAATATGAAGGGGATATACTTTATTTTAAGAGTTATTAGATGATAATTAATGAACGATTTTTTAGATATTTGTATTTAACATACAAGAAATTTACATATACTAAATTCATAATATCTTTCTATGGAAAACTCAAGATTTAGAAGGCCAAATGAACCAGAGAAGACTTGTAAGATTGAGGTAAGTATTTTAATTGATAATTAAGTAATCAGGTAGAATTGGGTTTTTGAGTTAAAATTAACTATTTTTTATAGTTCAGTATTTAAATAATTTATCACTAAGTATTCATATTGATAATCAATGCAAAAAATTATGTATAATTAATTACGATTTAATTAAAAGTTATAAAAATACAAAAATTAACACGTAAGTCGAAACCACCAGTTATAGTGGAAAATCCACTAAGTTGGTAACATTTGACAACATTGAGTATTAGCACGCATTGAACGCAATACGTTCGCATTGACGTCATCAGCATGCGTCCTTCAATATTTGGATACCTACCGTTTTTTATAAAATTCGGCGCGTACGGTGCGGGTGTAATGTGCAAGGTTTCATAATATGATTTCATACAACGAATTCTAAAATTCGGCACGTACAGCGCGTCCGGTGTGGACAAATGCGCGTTCAGCTAATAAATGTTTTTGCAGTACAATATAATTTTGACTTCTTATACGAAAAGGTCATTCTGCTTAAGTTGTTGGTTATTTTGATATTAAATATAATTGGTTATCTTATATTTACTTGTGTTTTTTATAATGTAAAGTGGTTTTGTGGGAAATATTTTGTTGTTTAAATAATTTCTAGTTTTTATCCGTTCCGGCACGATACGAGCCGGCGCGGGCCGGTCCGGCACGTTGTGGCACGGTTCGGGGCGGGCCGGCACGTGCAGCTCGGTACTGACCGCGAAGCGCGCGGCGGCGGGCCTGCGCAGCCAGCGCGGCGCGCGCGCGGGCTGCGGCGGCGGCGGCGGCGGCGCGGCGCGCGCCACGCTCGGCAGCGCGCCCAGCGACCCCGCGCCGCCGAACGACTCCAGCATGTTGCTCTGGTTGTGCACGCTCTGCGCACAAACGTTCACACATTTACATTATCAATATAAACTCTACTGCATATCTTACTACCTCGTCACTCCATCTACTGGGATTCTTTTTTTTAGAACAAGGGTAAACGCACACAGTCCACCTGTGGGTAAGTGTATGCTGAAGCCCGTGCACATCTACAGCCATCCTCGATTAAGAATCAAAATACAGATGCGTTGTCAGTCCTGAGGACTTAGATGAATTGCCTCGTTTCCAGTAAAAAGAGTCTCCGGTTCTCTACACACTCACTATACGAAACAAAACAGCATTGAGTTACTATTTTACGCTGGTATTACGTGACAGCGTGGTCTTACCCCGGTAGATTTGATTGATTCGTGCTACAACAATAACAAAAATGCAGCGTAGCTCTGCTCTACCAAGTATAAAAATTACTTATAATATTCTAATATTATATCCATAAGATTACATCTAATTATCTACAGACAAATTGTAATACATTCTGCTGTGTATCAAATTAAAATACTATAGGGATCTAGTAATCATAACCTTTAAGGACGCTGACGAAATGTACCTTCGCCTACTATGGGAGAGGCAGTCAAGGTATTGCCTATTTACATATTATTGACTTGACAAAAACTTGATCCCAAAGTGGTCCTCCGAGCCAGATATAAAGTAGTAAATACACATTATACACACAAAACACACATATTTATCAAAAAGTTTAAAATTTTATTAAGCAAACATTGTTTAATAAGGGTTATTATACTACTAAAAAGCAAATGATTGATAATAACCCCTAGAAAGGAAGTGATTGCTACAATAGTGTTTCTAAATGTTTTCATACTTAATTGTATAAAATTTTATATTGTAAATCAATGTTTAAAAAACCTCCACACTAGGATTTTCTTTTGTATTTTAGAGGCAGTTTACTTACATAAATTTCACAAGGACAAACATTCAGACTCGGAACAATTATCTGTAGGCCATACAAATAACTCTTAGCACTGCAGGTCACTACTAACCCACTGCAGCATGAAGTCGTCATAAATGACTTTCAATGAGTATTCTCGTAATCAATATTGAATAAAAATGATATGTTTCTATTCCATTATATTTCTGCTGTGTTCCAAATAAAACTACAAGGACCTAGTAAATAAATACTTTGTGGACGCTACACCTTTATCTTCTGAGATGTGATTCTCCTACTATGGGGAGGTCCATGTCAAGGAAGTCAATCTCATTTGCAGACTTATAAAAAAACTAATACCAGAGTGGTCCCTCGAGCCGGATAAAAGTAAGAAAACTGACCGTGTCGGGCATGCGAGCGGGCAGCAGCGCGTGCACGGCGACCTGCTGCTCGGAGGAGGCGCTGGCCAGCAGCGCGGGGCTGCGCGGGCACCAGCCCACCTCGAACACCCACGCCTCCTGCCGGCACACCTCCAGCACCAGCTCCCCGCCCTGCGTGCACACACAATTATAACAGTATATCTAAATCCATTGCTAAACAATATTTTTTATGGGATAAGGGTGACAAACGAGCACACAATCCACCTGATGGTAAGTGGTTGCTGTGGCCCATAGACATCTACATCTATCTTCGATTAAGAATCAAAGAAGACTAAGATGGAATGCCTCGTTTCCAGTAAAAAGGGTCTCCGGTTGTCTACACTCACTATACGAAACAGCAGCGTTAAGCTGCTATTTTACGCTGGTATTCTGTGAAAGCGTGGTCCTTCCCCGGTCGAGCCGACCCATTCGTGCTACAATCATAATATAGCTGCACCTGGCACATATGTGGCAATCATTGGTAATGGATCTTTTTCTCCTGTTTCAGTTTCCATCTGTCGCCTCCTACAACACCCATATAATTATATGGAGTAGTGGAATATCTTACACCACCACTACACAAACATTTATTATGAAACATATTTATTTACCACATCAATTCCATAAATTACAAAAAGAAAAAGAAATGTATTCATATGACTACACATACAATTGAAAACACGAAAATCGTAAATGTTAAAGGTAAAGATTAACACCTGTCTATTGTTAACAAGAAGAATTATTAGGAAGAATAAATAATAGCCAGTTCGAGTCGAACTCACGCATGTAGGGTTCCGTACCATCGTAATACACGTTTTTAGTAGGGGGGGGGGGGCTCTTTTAATTTTTATTATTTGTTATAGCGGAAACAGAAATACACATTCTATGAAAATTTCTACTGTCTACCTATTACAGACCATGAGATACGCCCACTGACAGACAGACGGACGAACGGACGGACAGACAGCGGAGGCTTACTAATAGGATCCTGTTGATTACCCTTTGGATACGGAAACCTAAAAAGTGTCCAAAACAAAAAGATAACAACAACAACATGTTTATTACCGAAAACATATTGTATTAAAACGGTACTAAAAGTAGACAACATTTTTATCGTATACCTGAGGTTAAAATTAACATTCAAACAATACTAGAGTTAAAATCACAACATATTATGTCCCACCACTAATCACAGGCCCCTCTCAGGAGCAAGAAAGTGCCCGCCACACTGCCCCAATGCATGTTGGAGGACTTCACAAATGTTTGAATTTGTTTTAATTTTCAGACATGCTGGTTGCGTAAGAATGATTTCCTTCACCGCCGAGCATATGGTAAATCAGCATTTAAATATTCAATTAAGAATATCATTTGTCCCAACTGGTATCAAACTTAGGTTTTTAGCATACTATGAAATTCCCAGCGAGTGCTTAGCCTAGTATTACCTTATTAATGTCAAGAGCAATATTATAGGAGATTTGTAAAACTTTGTTACAATATATTATGGTAGACTCTTATTATTTTGTGAGATACCTGTTTAGGAATATTAATATTATTAGACAAAATATTTTTGCCACTTCAGATATTATATTTTATAGTTTGCACATAAAATTTATTTATATTAAGTTTACTTTGTAAACGGTTAACTGATGGGATGGTGTTGTTTATATTTACTACGTTTAGCATATAAATTACTTTTATAGTTTACATACCTTACTTTTATATTTTATATATAATTTTGTTTAGTTTTTTTTTTTTTTGTATATTTATTTCACTTATGTATTATCTTAGTCTATGAATTATGTCTGATTTTGAGTCGTTTAGCTCTGCAAATGATTCTTCTGCCATATCATTTTACTCTTGTGATGATTCCTTTACCGACAGTGTGCTTGATTTACACCAACTACTCAAAGAAGTTTTTAAGCCTTTTAACAACTCTCTGAACATATGTCACATAAACGCTCAAAGTATCCCGAGCCACTACACCGAACTCGAAGCTTCATTTTCACCCGCGCATATTCATGCCATATTAGTGTCGGAAAGTTGGCCTTCTTTACCGTCAACTTGATATCCCCTACCCGGCTTTGTACTTGTTAGGAATGATCGGGTCGGAAAAGGTGGAGGTGGTGTAGCCATTTACCTACACGCATCAATTCCTTATAAAATTGTTTTAGCATCTCCTTCCTGTTACTCTGCCTCTTCTGAGTTTTTAGTTTTGGAACTTGATGTCAAGGGTATAAGGATGCTTCTAGGGGTAGTGTATTGCCCCCCTTCGACAGATTACTTCGCCACTTTAGATATGGCTCTTGTTGATATTTGTTCTGAGTACGCACACTGTATAATCATGGGTGACTTCAATACAGATTTATTGAAAAACTCTCCAAAAAACTTCTTTCAATTGTTGAGTCGGTTAATCTTTCTCATCTCACTCATCACAATATTGGAACCGATGACTCATTGATTGATCTCATCTTTGCTGCTTCTCCTGATAGTGTGATGATGCATTGCCAGTTACCTGCTTTGTGCATCCCACGTCATGACTTGATTTATTCTTCGTATAAGCTTAAACCTCCCAAATATTCCCCTTCTGTACTGCATCTGCGCAGTTTTTCTAAAATAGATTTTGACAAGCTAAGGGATGACGCTCTTAGTCTCGATCTAACCTCATTTATTTTTATCTCGATCTAACCTCATTAGCAGCACCTACTGTTGACGATAAAGTCTCTATCCTTAACCAAAATAATCTCAGCTTTTATGATGCTCATGCCCCAGTACACATGGTTAGATTGAAGCGTCCTCCGGCCCCTTGGATGACAGAGGGCGTAAGGATGGCAATGACTAGACGTAATCGAGCTTTTCTTCGTTTTAAGTGAGAACGTAATGAAGAAAATTAGTCATCTTTTAAAGCAGGCAGGAATAGGTGCAATCAAATGGTACGGGCAGCTAAACGCCGATATTTCCATAATTGTATTAACAACTCTTCTCCCACCGATGTGTGGAAATTTCTTAGATCTTCTGATCTTTGCAGGCCCGCTACATTGGATTGTGGTCCTTCTCTATCACTTGATGAAATCAACCAACATTTCGCTTCTGTAACAGCAATGGACCCTACAATTCGCTCTCAAACTGTGGCTTCCATTGCTTCTGTGCAAATTCCTAATATACCTACCTTTAATTTCTCTCCTGTTTCGCAGGATGATGTCAAAAAGTCTATTTTAGCAATTCAGTCCAAGGCGGTGGGTTATGATGAGATTAGTAGACAAATGGTAGTATTTATACTAGAGCATCTTATTCCGGCAATTTACCATGTTATAAAATTTTCCCTTGATTCAGGTCAGTACCCTAATCTTTGGAAAAGGGTTTTTATAAAGCCCCTTCCAAAAGTTCCTTCTCCCATTCTTCCCAATCATTTTCGCCCTATATCCATTCAAACCCTTTCTTTAAAAAATTTTAGAATCCTGTTTACAAGCAAATTTCTACATTCATTTCGAAACATAACCTACTGAGTATATATCAGTCTGGGTTTCGCCCTGGTCATAGTACCAGTACTGCTTTAATTAACGTCACAGACGATATTAGAAACGGTATGGAAGAAAAAAAAGTAGCAGTACTGGTACTAGTTGATTTTTCAAATGCTTTCAACACAGTTGATCATGAAATCCTTGTATCCATACTGTCTCATCTAAATTTTGGCCCTACAGCATTGGAATGGTTTGCATCTTATCTTCGCGGTCGACAGCAGTCAGTCTGTGTGGGGCAAATAACCTCAGCTTGGGCTGATGTGGAAGCTGGTGTACCGCAAGGCGGTATTCTTTCTCCTATAATTTTTTTCTATTTTTATAAACTTTATACCATCTGTATACCTATGACCTTCAGCTATACGTGCAAGCTGAAATTGGGGATATCCATAATGGGATTAAAAAATTAAATAACAACTTACAAGCTATCAAGGATTGGTCTACTCGTTACGGAGTGTTGGTCAATCCTTCAAAATGCCAAGCTATACTGGTGGGTAGCTCAAGGATGCTAGCCAAAATTAATTTTGCAGACATACCCCCTATCTACTACAATGGGATTATAATACCGTTCAGTAAGTCTGTAAAAAATCTTGGCCTACACATTGACAGCACGCTGAATTGGAGAACTCAGGTTACTGAAGTCAGTCGTAAAGTCACTGCTACGTTACGTACTCTGTATCGTTTAGAACATTTTCTCCCCACAAAGTCTAAGATCATGCTTGTCCAATCACTCATATTACCCCATAATTGATTATGCAGATGTGTGTTACCCGGATCTGTCCCAGGATGTTCTGAACAAGCTGGAACGCCTTCTCAATAACTGTATAAGATTTATTTTCGGGCTTCGTAAGTATGACCATATTTCGCAATATAGATCTAAGCTTAATTGGCTTACAATCCGGCAGAGGCGTATTTCCAGAATATTACTTGTTCTTTTTTCCATATTAAATGACCCATTTCGCCTTCTTATCTTAAGAGTAAATTTCACTATCTCTCCTCATCTCATGATAGGGTTCTACGTTCGTCTTCTAACAACAAAATATGTATTGCAGTTCACTTCACCGAGTTCTATGGTAACTCCGTTACAGTTCAGGCTGCACGCCTTTGGAACTCCTTGCCAGACGACATCAGAAAAGCTCCCAATAAGTTTGCTTTTAAAAAGTTGGTGCGTAATCATCTGTTAAAGACAACACTTCTTAGATGAATCATCCATATAAAAGCTTTTACAAAAATTTACTTCGCAAATATCCGCGTTATAAATGAATCATCCATGTCATTTATATTTTAGACGCATATATTTATAGTTATTTATATGTATTATTTGTATATGTATGTTGGTATGAATATATGCATGCTTATGTATGTACGTATATATTTGTATACATGTATAAATAGGATATATTTTTATAGTTTATTTATTGTATATATTAGTAAAATGTATATATAACGTAATTAATTATAAATTTCTATTTTGTTTTTATTCTATATTGCTACACCTACTTCAAATTCTCACCACTCCATGGGTTGACTAGTAGAGAATGCCACAAGGCATTAAGTCCGCCCTTTGTATTCTTTAGATTAAGGAATGCAATAAAGAATAAATAAATATTTATAATTATCCCACTAAGTAATATTAACAAAGGATCTCCAGCTAACTCACCGGTTTCGTGTTGTTGGGATTCCAACAGAGAAGACGGCCATCTTTGCCAGCTGATACAAGAAGGTCTGGGTCCTGTCGGCACCATGATAGAGAGAGTACTCCTTTTTGATGACCCTCAAGTGTTACCAGAGGCGAAGCTGCCAGCCTATACAATAACGTGTTAAAAGATAATTATTATATCGAAATACATACCACTTCTTTTCGGCCTACGATGAAATGTACTTTGATGCCACTCAGATATTTTTGGCAGCAACAATATATATTTTTATATTCAGATTTGATGAAATTATGAGTAAGTAAAACAACAGGCTGTGAAGCATTACACTTTAGTTTTCAGTGGTGGCAATGGCCCTTTATCATCAGGAGGACTATTAGCTCTCATAGATAACAGACAACTGGTAGCAATTAAAAAAAGAACTCGTTTGAAAAAAATTCTAAAAATAAAATTATTTTACTATAATAATTTCTACAAAAAAATAAATTTATATCTTGCTACATAAATACAAATATTGGAATCAATTATCAAAGAGGAAAACAAGCAATTTTTTTAATACACCATGTTTATTTTTTCATATTCTAACATTGTCATTCGATTCTCAGAAAATTTCATCTGTATCTCTTCATGAAGTTAGTTTAAAATCTATTACTATATTTCACCCGAACAGATATGTGAAAGCTAGTTAATAAAAACGTAGTAAAACATTAAAAGTAATAGAAAACATTATTAAATAACTTCATAATATAATGGCTCAAAACAGTAGACTGCAACTTACCTAAGATCCCAAAGTTGAATAACAGGAACCTGGTCATCTTCGGAAGCGATACAAAGTTGCGTCGCCACAGACGGATGCCAAGCCAACGATCGCCAACGTGTACGCGACTGAGAGTCGCTACAATGAACAAAGCATAATTTTTATTTTCTTTTATTTTTAAACGTTACCTCCACACTAGGATTTTCTCCTGTATCGTAGGGCAGTTCACATACATAAATTTCACAAGGACAAACATCCAGACCCGAAACAATTATTTGTAGGCCATGCAAATACTTATTCCGTGCGACATTCGAACTCGCGGCACTTAGCGCTGCCTCTCATTGCTAAGCCACTGCGCCACGGAGCCGTCAATAAGACATAGCTTTAAAAAACAACTGTTGGAAATTCAAAATCTAAATCAACAATTAGCCCTTAAACAGTCCAAACTTCTCACATGACAATCAACGTTTTGACAAATAATTTCTGCTATAGATTAAAAACCTACTAATGTTAGATTTGTAAATCGCTGGAACATACGAGAGGCGACAGGTTAAAGGTGCGAACGACAGACTTCTATATATATTACTAGATACTACGGTACTAATACATTGCATAAGTCAATCCTCCGTAACTTCTTTAGTCGACTGCAAGCGAGCGAGTGCAGTAGTTCTTTGTTTTGTTTGTTTTTCAACCTAAAATTTAACAGAGGGAAAGTGACACAGGAGATGGGCAGCAGCATCTTCCTAACTCATCAGGCAATCTATGTCGGAGGCCTATGTTAAGCAGCGGACTTTTGACAAGCTGTAATGAATTAATAAAGGTTTATCAGTGACTTATTAAGAACTGAGACTCAAATGGAGAAAAACAAAGTTTTCTTACCTCAGTTTCATAATAGGTTCGTTTTTCCTCAGGTCCCAAACTACACACCTATTAGCAAATGTGGAACCAAGAATGTGTTGAACCTAAAACAATTATCTTGTCTAAGTATATCAGTAATAATTAATTATTTTTTTTAATTTATTGTCAACAGAACCATCAGCATTTGGTAACATTATAAAGTTAGTAAATATTTACATTTTTTACTGCCATTTACAGGTTTTTACTTCAAATAAAAATAATCTTATAACATATCGCTACAACTGTGTGAATATAATATAGAAATAACATTTGGCAATTACCAACATATTTGAAGATATTTACTGGTATTTTAAGGTACGCATTTTACAAAACACAGTGCATATGTGTATATCTAGTAGTGTTTTGATTTAGTAAGTATAAGGTTAAGTGTATGTGTGTGTGTGTGTGTGTGTGTGTGTGTGTGTGTGCGTGCGTGCGTGCGCGCGTGCGTATCATCTCCAGGAGCAGTATCTTTTTTTTTAAGACAACTTTTCAATTCTTCCATTGTAAAATCAGTCTCTAATGAAGAATTTTTAGATATAAATTTTGGACATACGTCGGTTGCAGAATCTGGTGTGAGCGAAAGTAGAAGTTTTTCTTGCTTATCTAACGGAATGAATGATTTTTGTTTACGAATACCTTTTATCCATCGCATGCGCTGCCACATGTTTGATATTGAAATTTTTCCATCAATTGACTCGCAAAAGTTCTGCCAATGAGTACGTTTTGCCTCTGCTATAAGTTTACTGGCTTCTTTAGTTTTTGCTTCTAAGTGAGTTAGATTGTTGGGAGTCGGATTACGTCTAAAATTCCTAAGGGCTAATCTTCTTTGAGCAATTACTCTAGACAGGGCAGGGTTCCAATAATTTCGGGGTTTGAATTTTGTTTCTGGATCAATGCGTACTTTTATAGTAGGTATACTAGCATCGGCCGCTTTATCAAGTTGAGCAAGTAGAAAATTATACATTTCTTGAATACATGTTTTATCATATGTATCAATATCTAATAAATCAACGCTAAAGGATTCTTTAATTTTGTTAGTATAGGCTATCCTATACCAAAAAATAGTAGCCCATCTAATTCTGATGATAAACTGAGACCAATTTCCTTAATGTCATTTCTTTGTAAAACTTTCCACATTATGATGCTAAAGCGACTAGAATGGTTCATTGAAAAAAATTGCGTATTTTCGCCATCGACAGTTGGATTTAGGAAATCACAATCTTGCTTGGACTGTCAGTCTCGCTTGGTAACATATATACAAACTGGTTTTACACAAAATATACCCACGTTAGCTTGCTTTTTAGATATTGAAAACGCTTATAATAATGTTGATATAAATAGTGTCTTAAAAATATTAGATGAATTGCAAGTTGGTAGTAAGTTCTGTACATATTTATGGTTATTCCTAAGCGAAAGACATTTATGGGTAAAATCTCAAGTTGAAAATAAAGTACTTAAAAGAAGCACAAATAAAGGATTAGCACAAGGAGACCCAATATCCCCTTTCCTATTCAATATAGCGACTTATAGAATTTGCCATTTACTATCACAACACAACGTAAACATTATTCAATATGCTGATGACTTTGTTATTTATATAAAAGACAAAGATATAAAAATTTGTGAGTCAAAGATCAATAATGCGTTATATTGTATAGTGGAAATGTTAAACGATCTAGGTTTACAGCTGTCAACTGACAAAACAAAGTTATGCCTGTTTAGTCGAGGACGTAGACGATTTCTGCCTAATGTAACAGTTAACGAACGCTCATTGACTTCCCTAAATTGCTTTAAATACTTGGGGTTGTGGCTAGATAGTAACCTACTCTGGAACAAACACATTAATGATATTACAGAAAAATGTAATAAGTTTTTAAATCTACTAATGGTATTGTCTGGGCCATCTTGGGGAGTTCATCCCAAACATATTCGTCAGTTGTATATTTCGTTAATAAGAAGTAGAATTGATTACGGTAGTTTTTTATTTGATAATTGCGCTAATGTCCATTTATAAAAATTAGATAAAATACAAAATAAAGCGTTAAGGATTATTGGTGGTTTTATCAAAAGTTCTCCAATACATGTAATGGAAAGCGAACTAAGCGTACCTCCACTTCATATTAGAAGACTATATCTAGCTTATAAATATGTTTTAAAAGCCAGCTCTTTTTCCAATAATGTTACAATTAATTCTTTAAAGCAACTTAGCACTCTCTGTGAAACAAGATATTGGCAACGCAAGAAAATCCCACTATTAGTTAAATCTTATAATAAGACTAAAATTATGAATATACAATCATCCCCTTTTCTCGAATCATTTTCGCTTAGCACTTGGTTGTCCCGCATTGATATTGAAAATATATTATTAAGTAAATTAGAGTCTGTAAAACAATCCAAAAAACTATATGAAAAAAATTCTCTTAAACTAAATATTATTGAAGAACTTAAAAATAAATACCACGATTGGCATAAAATCTACACAGATGGATCAAAGAGTGCTAAGTTGCAAGGAGCAGCTTTTTTCGACTCATCTCGAGCAATTTCTAGATGTTATAAAGTTACTAATGACGTTTGTATTATGACCCTTGAACTCATTGCAATATCCGAAGCCCTAAGGTATGCCGCAAGCTATAACTGGGACAAAATTATTGTATACTCGGACAGCAAAACTGCTATCCAACACTTGGCTCGATCCGCCTCTGGAATCAGAGGTGTTTCGATAGCCTATACCATACTTTCCCAACTATATGAGTTCAGTCTACGCGATATCTGTGCAAAAGTGCAATGGATTCCATCACACATTGGTCTATTGGGTAATGAGGAGGCAGATAGATTAGCGAATTCTGCTTGTGTAAATGGTGTAGAGTATAATATTAACCCCTGTTACTCAGAAGTACTGCCAAAATTCAGAAATTTATGTCATACCGAATGGAAAGAGTTTTTCAATGAACGCTCCAAAACTAAAGGTATTTGGTACAAAACGATACAGAGTGAGCCACCCCGAATACCCTGGTTTATAGATACAAAAATAAATAGAAATATTATTAAAATAATGTTTAGAATAAGAACAGGTCACATCCCATCAAAAAAATTTTCTTATCTGATGAAAAAAACTGATTCACCTAATTGTGAAACGTGTGGAGTAATAGAAGACTTACATCATTTTTTAATGGAATGTGAGCGGAACCGAGGGGCAAGGGAATTATTTATAAGGACCTATAAGATAAATATGTACAATATGGGTATTCCGCAAGGCATTCTACATGCCCCCACCTCGGATATTGCATTGAGTATGTGCAGATTAATAATAAATGTATAGATTTTAAATTAGTTATAATGGGATTGACATATTAACAAATAAAAATCCCTAAATAAATAAAGAGAAAAAAAAAAAAGTCGCGGCACGTAAGTCTAGCTCTGAACGAAACGTGTAGTGGATAGCTGCGCATGGTTACTGTCGCGCACGAATTGAATGAGGGCATCCACGACTTTATCTGCCACCAGGGCGGCGTCACTATAAAGTGAGGTATAATATTTGACAGATTTCATAGCGGGGAAGTTAATTTGTTCGGAAAATGTAAAAGTTATTGTTTCTTTCTGTAATATTAGCTATATTTTATATTAATAAGATTAAAAATAAATAAACAAAACCACATATTATGTTCATAAAAGTAGAAAAATTAAAAAAAGTGCAAAAAATTAAAGAGCAAACCACTGAGGCATTGTTTTGTGTATTAATATAATACTCTAGAAACTGATAAACTTTTGCAGGAATGCGACTAGAGAGCCAATCAGCGTGTGTGAACGATACGCACGCCCGCCCCGCGATTCCCTTATTACTGGGATACCTTATTTTCGACTTATGCGCAATAATGGTCACCGCTAAACTTTCGTGCCGCTACTTATATCTTATAATTACGCTGGTTTACTTTTATGAATTAATATGCTTAATGTTGCTTTGTACTATTAGTTCTAATAGTGTAGTTTAGGCTTTAGCTATTAAATGTTGACATCTAAGTGCTTACACTAGTGATTTTTTTACTTTATTCTTACTGTACAAGATTTATAATAATAATACCCGTGATTTATAATAATAATATAAGTGGTCTGCTGACCGAAATTATTTCTGTGGTCGTATCTGCGAACGGGCTAATCCCGGTCAGCCTCTCGAGTCATCTGAGGGGGACTCCATGACGAACCAATCCGTGCACAAATGCAAAAGGCGGTGCTCCTCGACACCGCCCGCATCGTCCGCACAGCCGAGGGTTAGGGGAAAAGGGAAAAAAAGGAAAGTTCTTTCAGATGGAAGCCCTCGGCAGCCGGCCAGGTTAGGCATTCTGCAGTCATACATAGGCTGCACTAAAAGTATCGGGAATGGAATATTTCCACTGTTCCTGTCATATTAAAATCTTTTTAATTGAAAAGTCCTTGGTTTTAAAAATCGAATACCATTTATTTATTTAAAAAAAGATTCTCGGTCTTGTCACAAGGTTTTGTCAAACTTGTTTAGTCGTTGAGAAAATGGATTTGACTCGAGAAAATTCAAGAGCGATGATTTATTATGACTTTCGAAGTGGTTTAACACAAAAACAGTGTGTTGGCCGGATGATTTCTGCATTTGGTCATGAAGCCCCATCCAAAACCACAATTTATCGCTGGTTTGCTGAATTTCAAAGTTGAATAAGAGATGTCTTAAAAGTTATTAGTACTATATTAATTTTTGATTTACCTGTTGATTCCAAGCCAGGCCCTGTACATGATCATAAGGTTGATTTCTATTGCCAGGCGCCATAGGTTGACTAGTATTATTCAAGTCCCAAATGAAGATCTCACTCTCTGAAGCTCCTGATGCCAGCAAGTTCCGCTGGTAAGGGTTAATATCAAGCGCTGACACATGGCCTGTGTGGCGAAATAACATCATGATATAGGTCTTTAAAAGTATGAAATTAATGATATATGTACATAACTAATGGCATACACTGAATGCTAGTTGCAATTTCATACTTTGGGAACATAATATTAGACCATTACAAATAAATTATTTGTAAAAAAACAAAGACATGAGTGGAGTGGTTTATTGGATGAAAAAATTTAATTACAATTTATCAAAATATATTTTGAGCAAGCACCAGATTATTTTTACAAGTGTTGTATTAAGGCTGTGCAGTATCTGGGCATACCACCTCACTACCAAAACTGGTTTTTGACATCAGTGTAAACAGCACTAATTGCTAATTTACAAGTATGGATGGAATTGTGTCTTGGTATTTCTTATATGCTGGTGGCTCAGGACCATGCTTTGTGGCGTTCCTTGGGGGAGGTCCATGTTCAGCAGTTGACTAGTGAAGGGCTGTAATAATGATGATGATGTATTCCAACATAAGTACAGTCTGTCCCAAAATTATTTATGAATTACGAATTTATTAAATTGTTTCGGTATATTTATTGTTTTCTTAAAAATATTACATACCAGCTATGCCTGACATGCTTTGCAATGCCTCTTTTTTGTCAGAATTACCTTGTTTTTTTATAACCATTGCATGCTTCGGACAAAAAATAGGCCTTGCATAGAAGATGAACAAACAAACAATAATGGCTTTTAGATAGATTTAATTTTATACTGTTTTTAGTTTAAGTAATTTTTACAGATTTGATCACATTAAAATTTAACTTCTTTAATTCTTGTGTATTTTAAAGTTTCATAACCACAACACAAATTAGTATATTTTGTCAATATCAACCAATTATATATCAGCTGTATATAGTTAAAATTAACTAACCACTATGTTTTGAGCTACTTCCAACAAGAGCATCTGCTGAGTTATTCAAAAGTTTATCAGAATTGTAGAACTGCAATAAACCTCCATCACATCCTCCAACAATAACACCTGCCCCTGACCACACAAGTTTTTGAAATCTGGAAATTAAAGTACGCAAGTATTTATGTATTTTGTTTAAATTTGTATACACCTTATTTAAACAGTGAAATAAAGAACCATATTAAGTCATGAATAAAACATTTACTTGTGCTGTGTTTGTAAACTAGACTTAAGCTCTAGGTCCATGCCGGGTTCCTCCAAGTTCAAAGAATATAGTTCCAAGAACGCATTTGAGCTAAAAGATGCATCGACTTGCTGCGCGGCCGAGCCGGCCGCGAGCATAATCGGATATTGCTCCGCAGGCGACCAGCTCACATTGACTGTCCTCTTCAGCTCTTTGATCTTCATTTTAAAGGCACTATTTTACAATAACTTCAATAGGAAATTAGCCGAAAAACAAATATACTGTAACAAATTATGTCACCACTATTGACAGAATAAACTTCGGCACTGTATATAAACGTATGACTTTAAGGACACTAACTACCACTATAACACGTTCAAAAGATAGTTTTTTATAAAATATACATTAATTCATTAAAGTTTTATAATTTCTACCGTAAAAACACCATGTTGGCACTTCCAACGTGGCTGACGTAAATAATTCCAATAGGAATGTCGATCTAAAATCGATTAATCGAAAAATCGTATGCCTAGAGTAAAATAATCGATTTTTAGATCGATTTGGAACACTACATCGATTCGATGAATCGATCCAAAAACCCCTCGAATCGGACAGATTCATCTCATTCAAGAATTAGCGATAAAGTTCCTAAACTGGCTGCGGTATCTTAGTTTTTTAATTTTTTGTTAGCGGACGCAAAAACAATCGGTCGTACTTGGTTCATAATTTGAACGCATGAAATAAATATTTATGAAATTGGTAAGATGATCGTACCGGACTAATAAGCAGAAAGGAATCCTACCATCTAGTAAAATACTGATGTAGAAGACCAACACATTGACACAACATGAAGAGCTATTTTTCACGTAACGGATTCAGCCTATTTGTTTATACCTAAACCAGTGAAGAACACGTGGTGGTTATCTTATAGTGTTAGAATCTTTCAGCTCCAAAATAGAAGAACCCCTTTTTAAATATTGGTGATCATAATATAATTGTTTTATCCAAACCCAACGTAAATTTATTTTGGATCCTCAAATCCTTATTTACATAATTTATTAGCGCCTTACAATTTATATACTGTAGATACAATGAACTGCAACAAATGCATAATTATAAAACGTAAAATGTAATTATAAAAGTTCTATTTAAGAAAAAATCGCAAGTTCTGGAAACTTAATGTTTGAAAATATCGCGATCAATCAAAAATCGATCTTTTAATGCTCGATTTAATCGATAATCGATTCTAGTATGTTCGATTCGAATCGATTCAGAGATCGATTTTTTTTAAAGTGAATCGACATGCCTAAATTCCAATTTGACAGGTAAAAAGTAGGTACTCTGTGTTGACTTGACAGAAGATGACAGATGTTTTTCAAGGGCGGAAACTTGACCGACGGCGGTTTGCTGCTCCTGTATTATTGTTTAAATAATGGGTTTGAAGTGGACTTTGATATGTAAAAGTGGTGCGATTTTGTTTATTAAGTGTCTGCTCATGTGAACTATTAGTGGAAACGGTGAAACAAGTGCTCTGATGGTGATATGATTCTCAAGATAAGGTCTCTGTCTGTTTAGGCGTTTTGAGATACCTTCGCCAACTGTCAGCTGTCTGCTGGCTCAAGTTGCTGTCAAAATCTCACGTGACGCATCAACATATTATGTGAAGCAGTGTAATATGAAGGCTAATTAAACACTGTAACTTCAGGCTCAGAAGGACTAGAACCCAGAGCCGTAAAGCCAGTTATAAAAAAAGATGTTATTAAATTTTTCTGCCTAGAATGTGATACTATGTCTATGTAAGCTTGGATGCTTGCTTTTTAAGCCATGTCTTCATTTCATTCGTGATCTTCGTTTTTATAGATTTTCAGTACCAAGTGATAATAATCCCTTAAAGTACACTGCTTCAAAATATGTTAAAGCGTCACATTGCGTAGTTTTTGGGAGATTTTGACGGCAACTTGTGCCAGCAGACACTTGGCGATAGTATCTCAAGGCGCCTAAGCAGACAGACATATTATTTTAAGTTTCACATCGCCACCGAAGCTCTCGTTTCACAGTTTCACATTAGTAAACTAACTAAACTACTAAATTAAATGTGAACATATGAATATGTGCAGACATTTAATACATTTAATTCACTTAAAACCCTTAAACAATAATACTGGAGCAGCAATTCGCCGCCGGTCTAGTTCCCGCCAAAACCATTCCTGCCCAGAAAGAGAAACGTGTCACAGATAAAAACAACAATGTTGTTTATACTCTGAAAGCGTAAGAAGTAATGCTTAATGAAAAACGCAAAAAGAATTCTTATGGCCCTCCAATATTAATTTGGCCAACAGACGCCAACGCTATTAACGATGCCATATTATGCTATTCTTTGAGACACACGACAAACGAGCACACTGTCCAGCTGATGGTAAGTGGATGCTGTGGGCCATAGAAATGTACGTCAATACTCGACTAAGAATCAAAATGTAGATGCGTTTGTACTCCTGAGGACTAATATGGAATGCCTCGTTTCATTTTTTGTAAAAAGGGTCTCGGGTCGTCTACACTTACCATATGAAACATAGCAGCATTAAGCTGCTATTTGACGCTGGTATTCTGTGAGAACGTGAGGCTTCTCCGGTCGATCCAACCCATTCGAATGCTAATAAATGTATTTTTTATAAGAGATAGGGTGACTAAAGAGAACACACCTGAAGGTACCTGACATCTACCATCGATTAGAAAACAAATTACAGACGCATTCTCACCGCTGAGGTGTTAGATTATTTACTTAGCCTTTTTACTAGTGTACCCATGTAGGTGCAGCGTCAGGGAATTCAATACCCCATTTCATCCCACGAGAGTCGTAAGAGGCGATAGAGGTAAACTGAAAGAAGAGATTGGCAGCAGCATCTTCCCAATCACAACTCATCATTATAAAAAACTACGATTACCAACTCGGCTGCCAAGCGTGGCAACTATGGCAAATATTGCCTCTATATATATTATATATATATATATATATATATATATATATATATATATATCTATGGGGAAGGCATATATTTAGCTATGGACTTTTGATAGCATGTGATAAAAGAATTAATGAATGAATGTTAACGCTCTTGAAATGGACAACAAACTTATGTGCTTATTTTTTTCGTAAGTAAGTTATAATAACTGCTTATCCACTTAATTGCTTAATTTTTTTTTTGTTTTTTAATTAAACGTGACTTAAAAAATTACTTCTAAAATTACTATTACGTCTCATTCGCGCCAGCGCCACAATAGCATAATAATAACAATAGCTAAAGCGTGGCTCTACCACGTAATTTAAAATAAAGATAATATAAGTCTATCCTTTTTCTTGCATCACATTCATAGAATTAGAATATAATGGCGTATATTTACGCCAGTATATTTTAAGTCTATGTTCAGATTTATGTTTTCGTGCCAACCAAGCACGAACAAGTGCCAACTCAAATTTCCATAGCAACAAAAATGTGTTTATTTGTTTATACATGTGCGCGAATAAAGGCATCAAACATTAATTTTAATATCTTAGTTATTGCTGAGGTTTATGTAATAAAATAAAATTAAAAAAGTATTTATGTACCTATTCCTTATCATTTTATTACAATAATAATTTTGTTGTGTGAAATCACAAACTGGCTGTTATGATTTGAAGAAAAGAAGAGAAGATGTCAAAAATCAATCAAAAACCCACTTGTCATTATTAAAGATAAACGTGACATCATGTTTACTTGATAAAAGTTTAGATAAAAAAAGACAAGGTACTTAGACTGTACAATTTCAAAAAGAAGTGAGTTTATCAGTTCCACATTCTCTGCGTGTTTATGGGAAACTAAAATCAATATAATGAAAACTCCTCGGCTCCAAGGATGTGTCTCATTCATCCCCTTAAACGAAACATTCATCAAAGACGCAATGGAAAAATGCCTCATTTACAGTTATATCATATTATTAAGCCATGCATGAATACAATATTATGATATAATAATCCCAGTGACTAAAGTGATGTCAATAATTGTACATTAGGTTGATGTCGTAAGAGGCGATGTTAGTAGAGCCATGCTGCACCTATATTAGTAGTATAGTTACAGCACGAATGGGTCGGCATGAACGGGGAAGGACCACGCTCTTACAGAATACCAGCGTAAAATAGCAGCTTGATGCAGCTGTGTTTCGTATGGTGAGTGTAGAGAACTGGAGACCCTTTTTACTGGAAAAGAAGCATTCCGTCTTAGTCCTCAGGGGTGACAACGCATCTGCATTTTGATACGTAATCGAGGATAGATGTAGATGTCTATGGGCCACAGCAACCACTTAACCATCAGATGGACTGTGTGCTCGTTTGCCACTCCTATAAAAAAGGCGACATATGAAACAGCAGATGGGCAGCAGCAAAAGTAATGAAAAGATATGGTTAGTAAAGTATTATTTATTTGACAGGCAATTATATTCATAATATCTTTACATTCTATGTCTAAGTTAAGATTATACTCTGTTCATTTCATCCCACCACCTAGCATTCATCAAAGGATAAACTCTGTAAATAACGCTGAAGTGACGGGAATGAATAGCAGACATGACGTGACACAAAATTTTGTATATAAATTTACAAAATCATTACTACATAGAAAAATATTTTGCCGGTATATAATTCGTTTTTTTTTAGTAAACATTAAAGTAAAACCTTGAAAATCGTTAAAATAAAGAATTTTCTCGTACTATATTGGTCTTAAAGTACAAAGTACGTCTGCCCGAAATAATTTACAATACTTTATTATAAAGTACGGGTGGCAACCCTAGTCACTACAACACCCACTGGAACGTAGCAACAACTTATCATACCCGTATACAACGCGTTCAGCGAAAGTGTTCAATATGTGTATCTACGACTATGATAGCTGTTCTATCGGTTTTTGATACCTTATAGTAAGTGGATACTGTGACACATAAATACATACATCTATCCTCGATTAAGAATCAAAATGCACACACGAAACACAGCTGCATTATTCTTCTATTTCATGCTGGAGCGTGGCCCTATTCCGTTCGAGGCGACCTATTGGGCGCTTTTCCACTCGCTGGTACGGCACCGGCGCCCTGCCGGAGTTCCTTTTTTCCACTGAGCCGGTGCCGGTGCCGCAGCATTCAATTACCATTAGGTGGACTGTGCTCGTTTGTCACCATTATTCTATAAAAAAAATCTTTTCTACTTTCAGACAACACCATGCCTGTAGTAATGAGTAAAGATGAATGGCGCCGCATCGTAGGTTGGACGGACACCGGTCGCGTTGATACGGAGGCGTTACGGAGGAAAGAGTACATACGCTACCTGCACGAAACCAGTCGTGCCATGACTAAGTCATGGCCCAACTCCTTGGAGGTGAACTTTCTGCTTAAAACATCTTTAAACTGTTAGGTCATCCTTCCCGTATGATGCCTCCTCCCCTCTCCTGTGACCATGGGTATTGTATAGCGCTCGAAACGTCTGACGCTTTATAAAGTTAAAGTTTAAATTAAACGCGATATTAGTAGATTAGTTTATTCAATGTAAGGGTCAATTCACACAGAGACGTGACGCACCGCGCGAGGCGCATCGTGAAGTCGCCGTCAGCGCACTGCTCTTGCTTACTGCGTACAACCGACGAAGCACCGCTTCCGTACTACCGACGAAGCACCGTTTCGTCGTGATGCGTCACGCTACGCCGTGAGGCATCTTACCGCGGCGCCCACCTAAGCTACATGATTTCGACATGGCTTGTAGCATGATTCTGACGATACTCTGACGTGACCACGGGTGACACTGCTTGCGCCAACCTGTGCAACAATAGCATATCGCAGAATTCAGTTTGAGCCAAAATGTCGTCTGAAGAAGATAAACATGCCCTTGCTATGCTACAGATTTCAAACATTCCTAGTGCCAGCAAAAGATTTCGGGTACATGCTTTGAGGAAAAAAATTGAAAAGTGGTGGTACTTTCCTGTTAATGTAATAGGGTCTAGAACAATCATATTGTATACATGGCCATTCATGAAAAGAAAAAAAGCTAGGTCGTCTTTCATTTTGTATAGACAAGTCACTGCAAGTTACGTGTTACGCGCCACTTCAATGCGTCACTAGTAGCAAGCCGAATAGCACGTCAGGTCATGCAGCATCACGCCACGCTAATGGGCGCTACTACATACAATCTCTTTGAATGTTGAGTTGAGTGACAAGTTACGCGTCAAATCACGCGTTACGTTACTTAGGTGGGCGCCGCGCTTTAAGGCGCAGCGCGACGCCGCGTGGCATTTTCAAATTATCTCAATAAAATGTGTATATATTTGTGTAGTAATTTAAGTTCTATTTTGTATCACTATTTTAAAAAATGCACGCCGCATCGCGTTACGTCTCGGTGTGAACTGACCCTAAGATTGACTATTAAAACTGACAATGTATTTAGCAACCTATTGAAAGCCAAGAGAGCTGCTTTCCGGAGAGCAGCAATCTATCCCACCCCCGAATATAGGCGTACGGCCAATCGTCTTCAATGAGAAGTCCGTTTCCGCCTCTCCGAACTTCGAGACCTCGAAAAGAGTAAACTCATGGAGAATATCTCTCCCTTTCATACAGCGTACTATCAGATGGCTAGAGCCCTCCGAATAGACGCTATCACCCACACTCTTCACCCACTTTCCCGTCCCGACGGTACGGTTGCCTTCCAGTATGAGGAAAAGGCTGAGTGCTTTGCATATAGCATTGCTGCACAATGCTCTCCTAGCTCTCAACCCATCGACCCCTCACACATCCAGGCAGTGGAGGATGAGGTCCGCCGCCGGAACTCACCCCCTACAGCCTCTGACCCTATCACTGTGTCCAATGATGAGATTTATCCCTCATCAAAGGACTTAAGCCCAAAAAGGCTCCGGGCGCGGATGGCATCTCCAACCAAGCCCTTAAACACTTTCCTGAGCAGGTGTTAACCCTTTTAACTATTATCTTCAACGCCTGCTTCAATCTTAGTTACTTTCCCACTACGTGGAAAGAGGCAACTGTCATTGGTATTCCCAAGCCAGGAAAGCCTCTCAACCTCCCCTCAAGTCATCGTCCCATTAGCCTCCTCAAGGCCATGGGCAAACTCTTCGAAAGAGTCATCCTCACTCGCATGAGGCTCCATCTGTTTCCCACAGACGGTGATTCTCTTGTCATCCCCCATCAATTTGGTTTCCGAGCGAAACATTCTTGTCCCCAACAAGTTCACCGTATTGTGAAATATATCCTCAGCGGTTTTTATCCTGGTCGTCATAAGACCATCGCGGTCTTTTTCGATATTGCCAAAGCTTTCGATAGAGTTTGGCATGAAGGCCTTATCGTCAAACTATATAGAATAGGTCTCCCCTATCGTCTAGTACGTCTCATGGCCTCTTACCTGCAGCATCGTACCTTTCGTTTTAGACACGAAGGCACGCTCTTTTCTCAGCGCCCCATCAAAGCTGGTGTCCCTCAGGACTCAGTACTTGCTCCCCTCCTCTACATCCTGTTCACCAAAGACATTCCCATCCCATCGAAAGGTGTTCAACTCTCCCTCTTCGCAGACGACACTGCCCTCTACTGTAAAGGCTACGCTACCTTTCATACGGAACAAGATCCAAAATTCAGTTGATGACCTAGGAGCTTGGTTCCAAAAATGGCGCATCGATGTGAACCTGGCGAAGAGCTCCGCCGTTCACTTCGATTATAAACGACGCCGTCTCAAAAACACTCCACCAATACGTATGCTAGGGACCCCTGTCCCCTGGCATACGTCTGCGGCAATATTTAAGCGTCACCCTTGACAAGAGGCTCACCTTCGGGCCCCATGTCAAAAGAGTAACCCGTCACGCTCGATTCTATCTGAGTAGGCTCAACAGTATGTTGGGCCGACACAGAAAAATGTCCCTTCGTAACAAGCGAACACTTTATAAGGTCTGTATACGACCAGTCATGTCTTACGCAGGCCCTGTTTTTGCCCACGCTGACCCTAAAATCATTAATGAACTCCAAGTAGTTCAAAACCTCTTCTGTCGTCTAGCTACGAACGCACCTTGGTACGTCCTTAATGCCGACCTCCATCGGGACTTAGAGCTCCCTACAATTCAACAATTTCTAAAAACACCCTCTGAGAACTTCTTCAAAGCCTCAGAGTCTCATTCCAATTATTTTATTTGTGAGGCAGCTACTTATGCAGCCCCACTTCCCTCTCGCTATCGAGTCCGCAGGCCGAGAAACTCTCTCTCGGACCCGCCAAATAAAATTTCAACCGACCTGAACTGCCTCCTGGTGGCTCAGGCCGATTCTTCTTAAATTTGCCTAAGTAGGCTCTCCCTCAGCGGCTCGTAGCCACCTGCGCCCCCTTTTCCCAAAAGAGGGTCGCTTCCGATCCGGCAAAGAGGCTTAATCAGCCAATTGCCAGTCCCACAGGCGGTTTTTAGCGGGTATCACTTAGGGTCCCGGTTAGGTAGTCACAGTGAGTCCTGCATAACCAAGACGGACCGGCTGTCGTGGTATGCATAAAGCATTTACCGCCTCCTCGCGTATCGGGGTAGCCCTTTCCAATTGCTTCTGGGCGCAAAGAAAAATTGGTATGGTTTTGGCCCATCTTCAATATTAGGTCAAATTGAAGATGGGTCAATATAAGAACAAGTCAAGAACATAGCGCTTAAACTTATGTTCATGCTTAACATAGGCCTCCCCATAGTTTGTCTCATAGGGGGGATATTTTTTTTATAGAAGAGTGGGCAAACGAGCATGCGGCTCACCTGATGGCAAGTGACTACCGCCGCCCATGAACAACCGCTACACCAGGGGCATTGCAGATGCGTTGCCGGCCTTTTAGAAAGGCGTAAGCTCTTTTCTTGAAGGTCCCTAAGTCGTATCGGTCGGGAAAATTGCCGGTGGTAAACAACTCTACAGAGAAGTTGTACGAGGAAGAAAACTCCTACTAAAACGCATAGTCGTGAACCGCCAAGCATCCAGATGGTGAGGGTGGTATCGTAAATTTTGACGCGATGTGGTTTCGTGAAATTTGGCGGCTGGTCACATTTCAACATTTCCTCAGAGCACTCCCCGTGGTAGATTCGATAGAAAATGCAAAGGGATGCAACATCCCTACGTAGTGCCAATATATCGACCCGCGCTCTGCGCTGGATGTTGTCAAGTGGAAGGAGCTGGCACTGGTGTGCCCCGGCCCAGAGATGAGAACAGTATTCCATGTGATGCCGAATTTGCGCTTTGTAAAGTTGCAAGCGATGTGCCGGAATGAAATTCTGTCTCGGTATGCTGAGCACGCCAAGCTTTTTAGAGGCCAATTTGGCCTACGCTTCTAGGTGACTACAAAAATATTCGATATGTCGACGCCGAGGATTCCGATGCTAGCTAGCTCAGGCAGCAAAGGGAGTGCCTTGAAACTGAGGAGATACGACAAAGGAGTTCTTTTTAGCGGTAAACGCGCAAACTTGTGTCTTCTGGGAATTGAACTAGTGTAGCAGCCTTGTGGAACGCCAGCGTTGATAGGCTTGAAATCAGAGCATGCACCGTCTACTACGACCTTGATGATCCGATCAGCAAGGAAACTGGTGATCCATTTGCACAAATTTCGGGAAGCCCATAGGAAGAAAGCTTCGAAAGAAGCGCTTTGTACCAGACCTGATCGAACGCCTTCGCTATGTCCAAACTAACGGCCAACACCTCCCCCTTGGACTCTACTGCCTCCGCCCATCTATGAGTCAGGTAGAAGCCAGAAGATCACCAGCTGATCGACCCCGACGAAAACCGTACTGGTGGTCACTAATCAGCTGGTGATCTTCAAGGTACCTCATGAGCTGGCAGTTTATAATGGGTTCCATTATTTTGGAGAACAAGGAGGTGATGGCGATAGGCCTGTAGTTGGACGGGTCTGAGGGATCGCCTTTTTTAGGGATCGGATGGACCAAAGCTGCGTTCCAGGGACTACACCTTGGGAGTATCTCCGGGGAGATGGGAGTCTGGGAAAAGACGCGTTAAAACCGGTGCCAACTCCGGAGCACACGCCTTCAGCACAATGGGAGGGACTCCATCAGGCCCACTCGACTTGCTGACGTCCAGGGGGAAGAGTGCTTTGCGAACCGAGCGCTGTGTAAACCGCACATCTGGCATAGAGTACTCACACCGCGGGATGGTCGGCGGTGTGTTTCCCCCGTCATCTAGAGTCGAGTTGGACGCAAAGAGAGAGCGTAACAGATCGGATTTCTTCTTTGCGGCATGAGTCAGTGAGTCATCCTCTCAGAGATGGAAGAGATGACTGACAGAAGTTCCCTTCGACAGCCTTTGAGAGAGACCAGAATGCACGGGTTCCCAAAGGAAGGCGAACTATGTGTAGTGTTCGCGTAAATATAAGTAATCATTATGAAGGCGAACTAGCTTTTCGCCAATTCTGCCGATGTGCTCAGACCTTGCCTTGGCAATGACGCTTTTGAAGGACCTGGAGGTGGCATTATACTTCTTTTTAAGAGCGCTGGTATTTACATCCCGAGACGTTGATGCGTCAGCCCAGGCCCGGTAGCACTCCTGCTTATAGCGTGATGTTATTTTACAGGAGCGACCAAACCATGGCTGGGATTGGCTTTGACGATGGGCACCACAGAGGATGGAATAAAAAGTTCCATACCTTGAAGTACCACATCAGCAACAGAATCGGCAACAATGCTGGGATCTTCCGGCGAGAAGTAACCCCGCCCCTAAGGGTAGGATGCAAAAAATACCGCATCCTATCCCAATCGGCCGACCTATAGTGCCAAACACGACGGCAGTCTTCAGAATGCAACCGCCACGTTAGTGTGAGTGGCACCACATTCCGGACAAGACAATGGTCTGAAAGGCCTAAAGGAGCGTCGTAGCAAGGAATCTGTAGCCATTTGGACGTGGTCGATGAGTCTGTCTATTTTGGCATTATCGCTATGGGACCTATAGAGGCACCCGTAGACGCGGGGATGGTCGTCGCTGTCTACGCGCAGCCATAGGATAGACAGGTCCGTACTTTCAAGACTGCCGAGTCGTCGAAAACAGATGTCCTCTCTGACGTATACGCAAACTCCAGCCCGGGGCACAAAGGAGTGTTCTAATTTATACCACGGGTAGGAGAGATATGAACTATGAGCCGGAGAAGACACCTGTCTCGGTTAAAAATACCAAGGCTGGCTTCGCCGTCTCTAGATGGTAATGGACTGTGTTAAGTTGAGTAGCTTGGTCGTGGATGCTCAGCGAGGGATTCTCCAGGGGTGCTGGTACCCTCCTGGGATAGTCTTTTGTTTAATTCCGCTGCCATGTTGATGGAGGGGGGCGGGTCACCAAGCGAAACGCAGAGGGAAACCTCTACTTCACGCTGGTATTCTGTGAGGTCGTGGTACCACCCCGGTTCGAGCCGGCCCATCCGTGCGACAGCAAAAGCTGCCGCGTGGCTCTACCACTAGGGTTCTGTGCCCTAGGGTTCTTCCCAGGATCGAGGGTTTTTTCCAAACCAGTGGTAAAAGTAAAAAAAAAATACTTTCAATAAGAATTACTTATAATTTATATATATTCTTAAGCACACAGTCCACATGATTGTAAGTAGATACTGTGGCCCATAGACATCCACAGTTATCCTTAATTAAAAATCAAAATGCAGATGCGTTGTTACCCTTGATGACTAAGATGGAATACTTCGTATCCAGTAAAATGGGTATCTCGTTCTCTATACTCACACATACGGAACACAGCAACATTAAGATGCTATTTTACGCTCGTACTCTGTGAGAGCGTGGTACTTACCCGGTCGCACCGACCCATTTGTGCAAAAACTATAATATAGCCGCAGCATGGTACTATCACGTAAAAACATTCATGGCAACAAGACGTCTCGTCTGTTTAAATTAAAGAACGTAAACAAGCGTAACGAAGAATTAAGGCGCGCGCGCATCGAGGCGGCTGAACAGGCGAACACCAACTTTTACAAGAAGTACGTGAAACGCAAGAAACAGGAGCAGCAGCGGCTTCTGCAGGACGCCAGGGATATTATCTTCCAAAATAAAGATGCTTCCAAAATGTTTTTAAGGTGACTTTTCTTAGTATTTGAAGTTTGCAGTAAGTCTAAATAAGTAATCTAATAATGTTGATTTGGGACTTATAGATCCCATGTTTATGCTGGATTTATAAAAAAAAAGAATGTACCAACAGTTTTACTAGTGTTTGTCAAGTATTAGGCTAAAATGTGGGTTGTACCCATATTTTAGCCTAAACGTGGTGCGATTGGCTCGTTTCTCTTTGGACCGTGTGCATTCTCTCGAGGATTATAGGCCTGAAATATATATATATATAATTTGACAGCTCCGTGGCGCAGTGGCTTAGCAATGAATTGCTGCGCTGGGGGGCGCGGGTTCGAATCCCGCACGGAACAAGTGTTTGTGTGGCCTACAAATAATTGTTCCGGGTCTGGATGTTTGTCCTTGTGCAATTTGTGTTTGTAAACTGCCTCCACGATACAGGAGAAAATCCTTGTGTGGGGGTAACGTTTTTAAAAACAACGTAAACAGCAATGTCTATATATATATATATATATATATATATATATATATATATATATATATATATATATATATATATATATATATATATGTCTTAATCTTAAGATAATATACGGGTGGCGTTCGGTCCATACAAACGTATTTCCCTGTTTTCTATATTTTTACGTTATAGTCTACAACTGCCATGTTCTAACGTATTGTTCCCCCCCCCCCCCTTAAATTGCCATTGTTTTTTTTTACAGTCCCGGGTGGCAGAATTTAGAGGGCAACATTTCCGAAAGGAAGAGTCAGCTCCATGCCTTAACTTACTTGACTCTAGCGGCTTCCGGTGGCATTAGCCGATGCTACGCCACTGATAAAATCTAACGAAACATATTATATTTCAGTGCAGTAATCGAAACTGAGACCCAGTATGAGCGTGGGGAGCAAATAAAGTTCCTCCAGAAGCTTCGTGGTCAGGCCGCTGAGCGGAAGAAGCAAGAAGATGAAGACGTCAGCCGCAAGGCCAAGGAATGGAATGAACTATTGGAGATTCAGAAACGGCGTCGTTTTGAAGCCAACATGCATTACCAGAAGGAAATTATAAACCAGTTAGTGTTATAGATTCATTAAGTCGAAAGTGAGATAAAGAAATATATCATTCGCAGGGGTGGGGCAACACCCCAATTCGGTTAGACAAGATGAATTTTGCTAATCCCTGGCAATGCGTAATTTTTTTAAATATTTTGATATTATTATATTTGTTAGTATCAGAGAGGTCTTTTCATGGCTCTAGCACAATATCTTTCATAAATGGAAATTCTACGAGGCGAATTTCGGGTAAATCTATTTTGTCTTGCTATTCTGACAAATTACTCTAAGACTGTGTTTTGTACGTGGTAGAGCCATGCTGCAGCTACATTAGTAGTATAGTTGTAGCACGAATGGATCGGCTCGACCGGGGAAGGACCACGCTCTCACAGAATACCAGCGTAAAATAGCAGCTTAACACTGCTGTGTTTCGTATGGTGAATTTCACAACCGGAGATCCTTTTTACTGGAAAAGAGGCATTCCATCTTAGTCCTTACGGTTGACAACGCAACTGCATTTTGATCCGCAAACGAGGATAGATGTAGATGTCTAAGTTCCACAGCAACCACTTACCATTAGGTGGACTGTGTGCTCGTTTGTCACCCTATCCTATAATAAAAGACTAGTTCAACTTTAGTTCAGCCATCTTTAAAACGTATTACTGGCTAAATTATATCGAAAAGTTACATAGCGACATGCATTTTACCAATTTTATTTTAATTGTATAGGTACCACGGCTTTACTCAAGGTATATAGCAATCTATAATCAGTGGAGAAAAAAGGAATTTAACAATCAACATAAACTAAATTTTTCTACATCACTTCAATTTTTGCTATGAGTAAGCCTTCGAATGATCTTAAAATTTAATTTTAGCCGTAAACGCACAAACTTGTGTTTTCTGGGGATTGAATTGGACAAAATTTAGTCGCCCTAATCCGATACTTTGTTTAACAAAGGCTCGACTTCAGACACAAGTTTGTTCCGGTACTCGGCGACGTTTTCCCGAGATATATTGACACAGCCGGTATATAAAGCATCACCAGTGCTGTCGCCTGCATAGCAATGAATGTTACCGGTTTGCAACATATAATTGATATGCAGAAGAAAAGCGTTGGTGATAGCACGCAGCCTTGTGGAACACCAGTTTTAATAGGCTTATAATCGGAACATGCACCGTCTTCTACGACCTTGATGGTCCGATCTGCAAGAAAACTGGTGATCCACTTGCAAAATTTTTCGGGAAGTCCATAGGAAGGGAGATTCGAAAGAAGCGCTTGTACCAAATCCGATCGAAGGCCTTCGCAACGTCCAAAATAACGGCCAACGCCTTCCCCTTGGACTCTACTGCCCTGTGTCCATCTATGTGTTAGGTAAGCTAGAAGATCACCAGCTGACCGACCTCAACGGAAACTGGCGGTCACTAATCAGCTGGTGATTCTCAATGTGTACCTCATGAGCTGGCAGTTTATGATGGTTTCCATTATTTTGTAGAACAAGGAGGTGATGGCGATAGGCCTGTATTTGGACGGATCTGAGCGGTCGCCTTTTTTAGCGACGGGTACACCAAAGCATAAGTTCGGGACTACGCCTAGGGAGTGGGAGTACCGGAAAAGACGCGTTAAAACCAGAATTCAATTCCAGAGCACACGTCTTCAGTACCATAGGAGGGACTCCATCAGGGCCACTCGCCTTGTTGACGTCAAGGGAGAAGATTGCTTTGCGCACCGCGCGCACGATATGCTGAACTCCAGCACATCGATTGACAACTTATTTAGTAGAATTGATCTAACGGGCTGATACTGAGAACCGTCGATACAAACATACATGGGTACATAGAATCTCGAAAACAGAACCCTTTCTTTAAATCGTCGTAATCGGTTAAAATATAGGTTGAAAGTGACAACCATTGGTGGTAGCAAAACATGGCAAAGTAACCGGCATATCGTGGCATCACTAGTGTGGCCACTTTCCCAAGTTAGTTTTATAGATAAATGTTAAGACCAACATGTTTAAAACGATATAATATGTATTAAATTTCCTAACCATTAATATTACGTTACCTACAAAGATATAGATACCTACAATCAGTATTTAAAAAAAAATGAACAAAGTTCTGGAGCACTGAACAAAGAGGCTACTTCGCCGGCACAATTCCGCTTTAAAATAAAATGCGAAAATTAACTCTCATGTTGGCCATATCAATGTCAATATTTGTCAATGAGGGCTAATAATTTTCTGCTCACCAGATGTCGCTAGTTGCACTGGTTTTTTTTTATTACACAATGTAATTTAATTGCGAAGTTGCTTTTTACTAAAAGTTTATCAGTTTCTAGAGTATTATATTAATACACAAAACAATGCGTCAGTGTTATGCTTTTTAATTTTTAGCACATTTTTAACTTTTTTAATTTTTCTACTTTTATGAATATCTGTAGTTTGGTTTGTTTATTTTTAATGTTATTAATATAAAATATAGCTATTAGTACAGAAAGAAACAATAACTTTTACATTTTCCGAACAAATTAACTTCACCGCTATGAATCTGTCAAATATTATACCTCACTTTCTAGTGGCGCCGCCCTGGTGGCAGAAAAAGTCGTGGATGCCCTCATTAGTTATCGTTTTTTCATCTAAAAAAATGGCATATCTCGAAAAGCATTACGTTTTCTGTGTTAAACGTAATTTTGTACCAGTATAATACATGCTACAGTAAAGTTGTCAGACATATAGCATATTATATTATGTAGAATGAACAACTATGGCAAGTATCTTCCCGATGAGGCAATCTATGAGGGAGGCCTATGTACAGCAGTGGACTTTTAATTAACTGTAATGAATTAATTTAATAAAGTGTAATGAATTAATAAAATAAATTATATCTTTTAAATATTAAAAAAAATAAACACAACAAATTTAGTTTTATAGAAATAAGCTTAGACAATTTTAGCACAAATATGACAAGATTAAATAATATAATTTATTAGAGCCCGAGAAATCGAGGAAAGAAACAGGCGGGAGTACGAAACCGAGCTGACCCAGCAGAAGATGGACAATATCAAAGCCGATGAGGAAATGGCGACCATCAAGAAGTTCGAACAGGAGATGGTAAGACTCAAGACTTTTAATTTTTTTTTCGTATTCGTGCCACATTACTGTGTATAGAAATTTGCGATTTGTAACATCTGTTTTCAAATTGTCAAAACTAAAGAATATAGCTAACAATCTTCATGTTTTGAGCTTTACCGTGGCCTATGTATTTTCATTTATATTTTTTTAGCTTTACTCCTGTGAGCTAATTCTAGCCCGATTCTCACGAAAAAGCATTACTTACTAAAATTAGTTTAATTTAATGTGTAATAAATGTGGTTAGAGGGAGGCGGAGAAGTCGCGCACGTTCGCGGACATGCAGCAGCGGCGACGCGAGGTCCAGGCGCGGCGAGACGAGCGCGCGGCGCGCGAGCGCATGGACGAGCGCCTGCTGCACGTCATCGCACGCACCAGCGACCGCGTCGACGCCATGCGCAAACGCACCCAGCACGAGGTAGCCGCGCACTCTACCCCACAACGCTATAATGTTACTACATTACATTGTAGATATTTGTTTACTCGAGACCTTCTACACGTGGTAGAGCCACACATATTAACACTGCTATTTGACCGTGTAGTGGCGGTGTAAGAATATCCACTACCCCTTATCGTCCCGTGTGTGTCGTAAGAGACGACAGAGAGAAATATGCCAGGAGATGGACAGCAACGTCTTCCAAATAACAACTAAAAATAAAAAATAAACTGCGATTGCCAACCCGCCCGCCAAGCGTGGTAGTTTTGGCAAACATAACCCCCCCTACAAAGCAATCTTTGGGGGAGGCCTATATTAAGCAGTGGGCTTTGTAACAGTGTAACACTATTACTATAATATACTGCTATTAAACACTTTTGTAAATTTCCATCGTAATGGTCCTCCATATACATATAAATTATACTGTGGTAATGGATAGGTAACTCTTCCTTAGTTTTTATGCTAGTTTCTTTTTTTAAATTGATAATGGTACTTATTGTTGTAGACTAACGTAAAAACCTGATATTTTGAAAGGCATCCAAAGAAAACAGGCGTATTGCAGGAAGTGTCATTTCTTTGGAAAAATTACAAAATTACGTTACACTATCGTGTTTTGACGTTTTGAGACATGAGACATAATAAATATTTTCGTACACAAAAAGTATTTAGGAAATGATAGCCGTGCATGTGAACGCGATTGCGGCTAATTCTATTCTTATGCACGGATATTATGGCATCAGTTCGTATTATCTCAGATCTCTGTTTTAAATTCTCTGTGTTTAAATGTACTACTGAAATTGTTTGCTTTTTTTAGTAGTAATCATCTTTCGTCAAGTCTGCATTCCTGAGAAATATAAAAAAAACCAAGGACTTTTACTTAGTTTTTTTTTATACCTAACTTATTTCTATCAGTAGAATTTTATGTTTACACAGCAAGATAATATATTGTATATATGTTATGTTCAAAGACAATATATCGTACCCTCAGGGGAAGAAAAGCATAAGTAGTATTACTTTGAATTTTAGTTATTAATATGATTGAAAAGAGCGACTAAAGTTACATATACTCATTTTTTTTCATATTTTTATCATTAATTTTGGCGATTTTATGCTAGGAAACATAATTTATATCGTTTGACAGTTTAGATTTTTTAATTGGTAAATAACGGAATAAGTGAATATACGCAAAAATGTTGATGTTTGTTTAAACGTTATAACAGTTATGATGATCATATGTACGATAAGTTATAAAAAATAAAATAAATATGATAATGGTCTTTATCCGCTTTTTCTTTTTCTTCGCTACTTAATTACACGCGATTATGATGTGCATCCACAAATTAATAAATAGTTGAACATCATTATGTCTACTTACTTCTTTTAACTACGAACATTTTATTAAATAAGAACGATTACTGCGTTATTTCGTTCGAAAAAAAATATATGTTATTCAAGTAAGTAATAATACGTCTATACAATTCTATAATATCGCGAGTAAACGTGAATAAGTCGGTGTGGGCCGAAGGGGCAGAGTGATATTCGCGCTCACTCGCGGCATGTAACTCGCTAGTGTGTGCTGCACAGAGTACTTTGAATATGGTATGCTGTAAGCTTAGAGCGTATGCATGTATGTTGGATACTGTCAGCATTGCACGTGTCGTTTACGAAATAATATTAACTGATGATATATTTTAAAAATAACGAATTTAATAACGAGTCACAAACGTAATAAGTAGATCAAAAAAGATTCTAGGTTTATTCGGTAAGTAGTTGAACCGTTCTAAAGTAGATAGTATTTTAATTTGAATAAAAGTAGAGGTGTTACATTAACATTTTAATAGATTTGGTAAAACTTAGATCACATATAACTGAGAGTGACCCTATTTTCATTTTCCAAAATTGGTCCTAAACTCGGCCCTAGGCAAAGGCCCTAAGAACTTCTCGAAAGAAAAACTACCTACTACCTGACCGGAGAATCAAATAGAGTATACCTCATGCACAGCCGGGTACAGTCGCGCTGCATTAGTAAACTGTAAGGACCTATTAAACGATTAGTGTTATATTTTATGAACACATATTAATGTGTTATCTTGTTTGGTCTTATGGATTTAGCCATGAAGTGGTACCTACTTAAATAAGTAGAGGGCCACGTTGTTTCTGAAAGAGTACACGTAATATAATTACATACGTGACTGTACATGTACAGTCACGTATTTATGACTCATCCTGCAGCCGTGCCGTATGAAGCGATTATTAAAGCTTTTTACTATCAGAATGAAAATAGTATAATTATAACTTAAAGTGCCTAAACAATTAAAATTCTACGAATGAGTGGTAGTAACCGTGACTTTGCCCGGCTGTGCATGAGGTACTTTATTCGATTCCCGGGTCCAGTCGTGTTATTGTAGTTTTAATAAATTCTTAGGGACTGTGCTGTGTTTAGGATCAGTTTTAGCAAAAGGCTATAGGTTCGCTCTCAGTTACATGCGATTTAAGTTCTAACAAATCTGCGTAAATATTAATATAATAAATTTTTACTAGCTACAAACAAGGGAAAAGGCCTAAGGATGTTATTTGTTATATAATACTATAGTATTTTTTTTAGATTGTAATAAGCAAAATCAATTAACTAACAACAACTCAGTAACACATGATAACTCTTACAATGAACCTTCTACGAGTCGCAGTTGTAGACGATCCTCGATAAATTATAGACTGAGTGTGTCATCAAATGAAGAGCCATTTTCGCCAGCAGTCTCCGAATATTTACCACATTCAGATGCAAGCCCTAGATCCAGTCCGGTTCGAGATTTTAAAGATCCTATGACGTCATCGTTGTTGAAGGATCTAATTTACAGTTTTAACGAAGATGCTTTTTTATCAAGCCCATTTACAACCAAAAACCAGAACGATTAAAATATTTTCATAGTTTCACCGACGGTTATTTTTTTACCAAGTCCTCAAAAGTCAATACCTACCACTAATACCATAACCACTAGACCAGAAATAGATAACACCTCCAATAAAAGGCTAAACCAAGATGAAAACTTCAACCAATATTATAATGTAGAAGATCCTTATATGACACAAATGAAATTGTCCTAGAGTCGATATCCAATAACAACCGCGAGGAAACAATTACTGCTCCAATTCTTCCATGTAGCTATACATCTGTCGCTTCAGCTAATATAACTAACCTTCCAACGCCTCCCATCATCTCAGAAAATAATATAGTCGTAGCTTCGGAAATAGAAGCTACTGTGTCTTAGCCATTGTTAGTGACTAAGGGTAACCACAAGCCAAGAAAAAGGCAAAGAATCATGGACACGTGGACAAAAGTTAAAACAAAGAAACTTCGAAATATAGGCGCACAGCCACAAAAATGTATGATAAATCATTGCGCCTGTAAGCTCAAGTGTTTTGAAACTATTCAACATGAAGATAGACTGAACTTATTTGAATATTTTTGGGCTACAGGCTGTCATGAGACTCAGTGGCATTTTAATTTGAATAGCACAGAAATTAAGAAACCTAAAGTTATTAAAGTTCAGAGACAACGGGAAAGAAATCGAACTTTGATATATTATTTGCCAATGAAAAATAATGTAGGACCCGTAACAAAACTCAAAGTTTGTAAAACAATATTCTTAAACACGCTTGGTATTAAAGAAATAACTGTTTACACGGTCATTGATAAGTATAATAATGGTAAACAAATAACAAACCTACGGGGTAAGCACGCAAACCGACCTCATAGAACAACAAATGCCACCGAGCAAAGTGTTATACAACATATAAAATCATTCCCTTGTATTGAGTCTCACTGTTTACGGCAAAAAAGCAACCCGACAATATTTATCACAGGACTTGAATATTTCAAAAATGCACTGGTTATATAAAGTCTGGGTTTCAGAAAATGAAAACTTTCAAATTATAAAAGTTGCAAGTGAATACCAATATAGTCAAATATATTACGCAATTTAACTTTTCATTTTTCAGACCAAAAAAAGATATTTGTAAATTATGCAGTGAATATAAAAATGCAACGGAAGATGCTAAACTCCAACTCCAGCAGCAGAACGAAAGTCATATTAAAAATAAGAATATTGTTAGAGAAATAAGAAGGCAAAAGATTCAGCAGACCCAACAATAAAAACCGTATTGTATTTGATTTGGAGAAGGTACTAAGTCTGCTTCAGTCAAATGGGGATATTTCCATTATAAAAGAAAATACCCAGCATATAATTTTACTATGTATAATTTAATTTCACGACAGGGTTATTCTTTCTTATGGCATACACAAATTGAAAAAAGAGGTGCTAATGAAATTGCAAGTTAATAGCACCTAACGTGCTCGAATTGTCTAAGGGCGAAACACTGTTACTTTTATAGTTATTTTGTATATAGGTATAAAAACTTTAATAGCAATTTAATAATATTTGTAGAAGCGCAAACTTTTGTTTTTATAAGTGGTATTTTTTTTTGTTTATGTTGTTATGAGACTGATTTTACACTTTAAAATTGTAATACTTTTAAAGTAGTTTTATTACTAAAATAATAGTGTGCCTTAAATATTTTGATTGTGGTTGTAGGAATGCAAATATATTTTGTTTTGAAATATTTTTATAACTTTTAAAAAATATATAATTGGTTACAAAATATAAATGAACCCTTTTTTGCTTTGCCAATATTATTAACTGATTTTGTACCAACTCCAGATATACAAAAAATAAATTCATTTCATAGACTAAATAGAGTGGTATAATTGTTTACTAAAGTTCACCTATATAATATATAAATGAAATAAAATCGTAAGTTTAGGTTATTGAGTAAAAACAACAAATATTAAAAGGAAATAATGCAGTAAAAATATTTACGCTCTCCTAAAGTAAACTGCTAATAAATTCAATAGAATTGTTAAAGGGTTTACTTTTATTACAGTTAGTTAATTGTAGGAGAAGATGTACATAAACGCTAATATTTATAACGGAGCATTCTGAGTTAATAACGAGTAGTAGCACAACATATTAATTTCCATATATTTATAAAATAATAAAACTAAATAATAAAGGAACATATTCATATTGTGTTGTATTTTTTTATCTGTTTAAGGATGTATAAAACATAATTTTTCGTCTACAGAAAAAAAAGTTATAGGTATTTTAAGAGTTTTTTTGCTCTCCTGTAAAATTGCAATTTTCATCTTATGCTTTTTTTTCCCTGAGGGTACGATATAGCTACATATAAGTACATACGCACAAATCGAGGCGGGTATTGTATTATGTTGCTGCGTTCGGGTGTGTGAGAATTTATTTTAAGTCAAATTAAAATACCTACTTGAAATAGCACGTTGTTATAATAAGTTTAGATATATTATATTGATATCACAAATAGACCATTCCTATTTTTGCGTATACCATGTATCTCATGTCACAATGTATGTCATGTCATGTATTAAAGCTTTAAACAAAATATTACAGATGCAAAAGGAAAAGCTGCGAGTACTAGAGCAGATCAGTCAGAAGCTGGAGACAGGAGACGCGGCACGGGAGGCGAAGGAACAAGAGATATTGGAAAAAGCTGTTAAGGAAAGAGAAGCCAAGTCAGTTCCAACCAAACAAAGTATTCAGATATAAACCAAAATGTGAATGAGACCTAATCGTGCTAAAAATCTTTAACGTTTTTGGGCATGTAATAAATGTAAAATGCTTATATTATATTAGAGTTGGAGTAGGTATGTTGTTGGTTGTAGTAGGATGTAATTTTAAACCCTCTAGTGAATTTAGACAAATAATTCTAATTTCTCTGCAAACTTACTTTCTTATGAAAATTTTTCTGAAGAAAATTCCAGAAGTCAATAAAGAAGAACCCTGGCTGTAATGTTACACTAGTTAAAATTAAAATGATCATGCTGTTATAAGTTGAGACAAGTGAAGTTAGTCATATTCAATTATCTTTGATAACCAACTTCATACTGTCATACGTTACACTTTCTCGTGCGTAACTTCCGTTGCACTGTCTAAATTAGTAACAACGCTAAAGTGGTATAACTTAACAAATCCGTCTTGTGTTTGCAATCAACAGTGCAGAGGCTCAACGACAAGCGCAAGCAAAGAAGCAAGCGCAGTTGCGACAGGAGCGTGTGGAAACGCACAAGGCACATCTGCAGGACGAGGAGCGGAGGCTGCACGAGATGCACACCATGCGCCAGTGGGAGCTCATAAACAGGTGGAATTAAAGCAAATTAAAAATATCCTGTTACCGTGTAGTGACGGTGTAATAATATCCACTAAGTACCCCTTAACATCCCTTGGGTGTCGTAAGAGGTGACAGAGGGGAACAAATTAGGAAATGGGCAGCAGCGTCTTCCTAATAACGACTAAAAATAAAAATAAACTGCGGTTGCCAACCCGCTTGCCAAACGTGGCAACTATGGTAAGCAAGTAAATCAGCACAATTGTAACTGGCACAGCACAGTCCAACTACTACTAACAGTCGGTCATCGAAGGGCGCAAAGTTCCCGAGCGGCTGTTAGTAGCTCGGGAACTGTCCGCTAGGGTTGTCCTGTCACGCAAAAAAATTAAAATGATTCACACTACATATGCGGTAAAAAGCTGTTGGGTCGTCCTCATTTAAAGATAAGGAATTAAAGTTATTATAACCTATTTGTATTATATCTGAACACTCATTGTCTGATTAAGTTATTTAATTTGTTTAAATGTGAAATAAAATAAAATCAGTTTTTTTTTATTTTTTATATTTCCCGTTCTAACAACCCTAGTGATTTATTGTTTATGTCGACTTTTCCGACAACATAAACCGCGATGACTGACTGTATGTTCTTCTTAGGCTGCGCCTTAGGTAAGTACTAATTGTCTAAAAGGTATATTAAAAAAATTGTATAATTTTATTTATTTTAACTTGTTTATTGGTGGTTGTAACTTTTATAGTAAGCGAGTAATTAGGGTTCGATCTTCGCCGGTGTCAAACAAAATGTTATATTTTAAACTGTTTCCCGCGACTTCGCCTGTGTGCAATTTAGGGTTTAAATTTATTTGCAAGGAACCATAATTATTTTACTATAATAAAAGTAGTCTCAGTTACTCCTTATGACATCAGCTATATATCAGTCAAAGTCCCGTCAAAATCGGTCCAGCCATTTCGGAAATTAGCCGGAACAAACAGACAGACAGACAGACAAAAATTTTAAAAAGTGTATTTTTTTTTTATGTACCGTTTATACTTTCATATAGTAAAACGCTGTAATCTTGACATTACAAACAGACACTTCAACTTTATTTATTTGTATAGATGTAGATGTACCATGTGCTTACAGCCTAGAATAGAAAGTGGATGCCTGGCTCATAGACACCAATATCTATCCGCAATGAAGAATCACTGTTCGCGCAAAACTCTGTTGTCGGAATCGACACCAGATGTCACTCGGCTCGGCGCGATTCCGGTCTGAAGTTCTTCCGAGCGTCACAGTGGCGCGCGGGTCGCAAGCGAGTCAGTCATCGGCCGGATGTGCTAATGTTTGCACGCTGTTAATTTTGTGCGGGAACCGCGGAATAGTTAGGGCGTCTAGTAAATATCCTGTCTAGGAATTATAACGCGCATTCCCTGTTTGGATAGCCTTTCCCGGGACTTATTGGGTCCGACTCAGAATCTGTATAAGTGCATTCGACAATATAAGCTAGTGCGGCCTCTGATTCTAGAATTAACTATTGCTACGCGAAACGGTAGTGACCTTTGACCCAGAAACTCCGGGCGTGTTTTGTGCGGTAACCTTATACCCCGCGATAGTTAGTGGCTTCTGTAAGCTAGTTAATAGTACGATAGAGTTAAGTGACTGTCATCGTGGTGAACCAAGAAAGTGACTGTGGATAACCTCGAAAGGCCCCCTCAAGTTGGAGCGGTGTCGACGCTCGGGCTGCTGCCGACGGCTAAGGTCTAGGTTCAATCACCATCAGTCACACCCAGATACACACCACATCACCATTCTTTCCCTTGCACTACACAACCACATGCGACCTGACCGACTCCGGAGGGACCAGTCGCCTTGGATAGAGGTAAGTGAACTCCGCCAAATTCCTTCCGGTCGACTGGCCGTAGTATAACGCTCCCCCATATATTTTAGTGTAATTAGAGAGATTCCACGTGGCCTTAGGAGGCCCGACCTACGTTTGCTCGGGAAGTCTTCTGCTGATGGGCCCCAGGGGATTGGATCCTTTAAGGGAGCAACCGTAGGCCGTAACAATCACAATGCGTTGTTACACCTGTGGTCTAGGATGGTATGCCTTGTTACCAATAAAGGGGGTTTCCTGTTCCATTCTTCATGGGCTATAATAGTCAATTACTAACAGGAGGCCTGTAAACATACTTACCACTCGAATATTAAAAAAAAACTTAGTAGCTCGAACAAGTTAATAAATCACTTGTCGCTATGTAAACCAAGTTGTGTAGTACCTAATAGTTAAGATTAGATTGGATGTTTTCTCTTGTTAGATTCAAAAATGTTGAAATATATGAGGACTACACGGAGAAGCAACGTCTAGAAAAGGAACACAAAACAAAGGAATATAGGGAGGAACTCCTGAGGTTATGGGTATGTAAATGCTAAAGAAGTCCATTTAGCTTTTTTTTTATTAAAACGTGATTATGTTAAAGTAGTGCAGAGGAAGAATCCTAGAAAGACACCGAATAAGCCCTCAAATACGAAATGAAACTTAATTATACATATAACTAAATTATTTGTTGAAATCTGTTGAATATAATATTCGAATATGTGTAATATATAAAAATCAATTGCTCTCCGTTAGTCTCGCTAAAACTCAAAAACAGCTCCACCGATTTTAATTAAAAAAAAATTATAGTGTGTTTAATTGGGTTCCAAGATGGTGTAGATTCACATTTAGATCTCGATGGCGCTGTTGTTGAGATGTGCGAAGCCTTGGCGGATTGCTGTTATGTATATTTGAACTATTCCGACCATAGCATACTCATCTAAGTTAGCAAACGAGACAGTAGATTCATATAAACTTTTGAAACACTTTAAACTCGCTGTTTCGTGCAACACCAATACCAGAACTAAGAGCTTAGATTGCACGTTCCATTGGGACCTATCTACAAAATGCATACCTTGTTCGCACTTGCAGTCTTTTTAATTAAATAAGTGATAGTGTGATATGTGTTCTCAGAATCAGCAATCGGTATTTAAACATATAGTCCATAAAAAATAAATTTAAATATATTTTAATTTGCAAATTTTATTAAGTTTTTATTACGTCTGCATTAATCGGGGAAAAGTGTATTGTCAAAGGTCAGTTACAGATTTTTTATATGGTCGATTTTTCTGAAGTAAAGTTATTTCAATACGATTGAATACTAATTCTGATAACACACTTAACGGTAACCACAGGGTTTTTGTTAGATGTTGTGTAATAACAACAGACTGTGGGACGTAACCACGTCGCCACGGAACGGACGGTGATGAACTTGGTGGGTGTGGGTGTGCAGAGGGAGCGCGAGGAGAGGGAAGCTCGCGAGAAGCAGGCGTGGCAGCGGTGGCACGGCGAGCTGGCCGAGCAGCGCGAGCGCCACGCCGTGAGCCGCGAGCTGGCGCACGGCGCCGCGCTGCTGCAGCACGCGCAGCGCCACGGCCGCCCGCTGCACGCGCTGCGCCGAGCCATCGACGTACGCACACGTTGCCCGCAACCATCACACACACAAACACACACACACATCTATACACGTACACGCTCATACACCGTAAATATTATGGCCCGAGTCGTGAGCACAGCCTTGACATGCGTAATAGTCGATTTATAGCTCTCTTGGCTGAAGTTATATCCTCCAGACCGAGTGTCGGTCACGACGGCCATTTTTAACGAAGACTAGCCATTATAATTCCGAGTGTATTAACACAAGTCCACTCATATTCCCCCACTCTCATAGTCCGATGGAATCTGTCACGACCGGAGAAAGAGCAGACACAGGACCAACGACCTTACGTTTATTCCGAGGCACGGGGATAAGACACCGACGATGTCTTGACTCCGGACTGATACTGAGAATTTATTGATAGAAAAACCCAATAAATAATTTTGGCCCGACTTGGGTTTCAAATCCAGGACGACGCGATCAAAAACCGCGCTTACGACCACTAAACCAAACAGGCAGTCAACTCGTGATGAAGTACAAAGGTGGGTACTTACTGTAAACATTTTTTCACGTGATTAGTCCCTTAGTTAATCTTCGTCATTTTTTGTATATTCACGTGTCATTCGCCTGCAGTATATTGGCTGGAAAATGTAGACGCACAGCACTTGGTGCTCATGACTCGCGCTATTTATACGTCCCACTCGACACAACCGAGGTAGGACCACGCTCTCACAGAATACCATCGTAAAATAGCAGCTCAATGCTGCTGTGTTTCGTTAGGTGAGTATGGAGAACCGAGGACCCTTTTCACTGAAACGAGGCATTACATCTTAGTCCTCAGGCATGACAGCGCATCTGCATTTAGATTATTAATCGAAGATAAGTGTAAATGTGTATGGACCACAGCGTCCACTTACTATCAGATGGGCTGTGGGCTCGTTTATCACCCTAATTCTATAAAAAAAAGGCGATGAAATCCGGAAAATTAGTTTCACTTAATGTGTAGTACTCGCGTAAATATAAGAATTAATAGATGTTCATACGTACGTTGCAGAGGTACTGCAAGCAGCAGCGGTTGTACGCGTTGCCGGAACTACCGCGGAGTCTGCAGGCGCACTTCCCGCAGAACGCGCCGCGGGACCGCGCGCACTGCGCCCGCACCCCGCCGCTGGACGAACCCGCCCCCGCAGCTCCACACACACTTGCTTGCAAAAGGGACGGAATGAATCACAACGTACGTATTGTTACGAGCTTGGGCTTCGAGATAATTAAAAAGTGCCGATTAAATTACCAAAATTGATACTTTAATTACAGAGCACTAATTACAACTTAAACCACACTAATAATAAAACACAATTGTACTAATGATAACTTAAGTTCGTAGTTGTTTCGCTTTGAAGTATTCGCTTGTATCGCCAATTCAATACTGTCTCGGTGGCGGTCTATAGCGGCCTGATATAGGGCCTCAGGTAGTTTCCAGAACCTTCTAGGGGAGACCGGGGCCACAATTAACAAAAATTGCATTTTTAGTTGTACCTTCGAAATTATTAAATATTAAGACTTCATTGTAATGTGACATGATGCTTTAACTATTCAAGTATCATGTTATTAACATAAATCAAACATAAAATAAGTGATGTCTTAAATGGAACATTATTTCTCAAAAAAGTCAGTTATTAATTCTTACCCCATCAACGGGGCTAGAATTAACAACTCTGAGGTAAGTATTAACATAATGTTATTCCAACTATTCAAGAAGAAAACAAATATATGCATGGAATTATTTTTTTATTAATAAAAAGTGCTATTAATACAGACGTGTTTGGAGCATCTTTTTTATATAAATTGACATTACAAATCACAAAATATCTAAACATGAAAAAAAAACCCGTTAAATTAATCGTTAAACTATTTTAGATATCAATATTTCTTTGTCACTTTTTCTTAACATTTATCAGTTTTGCACCGGTCATCTGTTATATGCGCACAGAAAGCGCAGAATTAAACAATTATGCAAACAACGAGATGAGATGAGATGGAAAATGGTATTTTCCTTTAACTTACTACCGCCACTACACGTTCAAAAATCTGTTTAAGTTGGATTAGTGTGTTTATTATGTAAAGAAACTTTTTCATATAAATCATGGTTTAATCAAGCAAAGTGATACACGGTCATCAAGTCCATGCGTAAAATGCCCAGACCCGTGACGGGCAGCAGCGTCTAAGGTGTAAGACTTCTGGTATTGCAATTATCAATCCGCCTGATTCTGATTTTTTTATACCACAGATTACTGTATACACGAAGTTATACGTAGTCATTACTGTTCATTACAGGCTGAGAATTCAGACACTACTTCAGTGGAAGTACCTGAGGAAGATTACAAGAGACAAGGCCCTGCAAATGGTCTGCAGAGGAAGAGTGCACAAGTAAGTAAAAAAAAAGCAAGTAAAAGTTCGGGTTCAAGTTTCGTCATGTTGAACAATACTTATTACGTGACTAAAACAATTAGACGCATGACAGCTAAAACGTCATTAGAACTAGGGAAGGAACACGGAACGGTGATTGGTCAGTAGGGGGAGGACGGGGATAGAGGCGGGGTGCAGGCGCCGAAACCGCATTGCTGTCATGCGCCTAATTGTTTTAGTCAAGTTGTACGTGAATGTATTTGGGATATCCGTCTCTCCTACTCCTTTCAGTATATATAAAAGTACTCTGTGCCTACTCCTAAACGCGATTAACGTTTACTCCATTTATAGTAGCCAACATAACCCCCCCCCCCCCCCCCCCCCCCCTCCAGCTCAGCCTCTTGCTAGCTTAATCTATACATATAAATAAAGTTGAAGTGTTTGTAATATCAAAATAACTGCCTAAAAGCTATTTGTATGCCAATATGACATAAATAACCATTTTTATAATAGTTGTCCGTCTGTCTGTCTGGGCTCTGGGCTAATCTTCCGAATGGCTGAGCCGATTGTAATGAAACCTGGGTGGATCGCTAGTACGTCATAATAACAGAAACAGAAACTTTTTTTATTCATTATATAGATCATAAATAATACTTATTGAAGATCACTCTTTTGTTTAATTTAACACTGATTTGGAAAAGACGTCTAATCGAACCGGTCACTATTTGCCTGGATTAAGAGACGCCATTTTACCGTGTGGATTTGTACAGGCTAATAATCACCATGATTTATTTATGTTATGATATTATAATAATGTTTTAAATTCTTTTTATGCAATATATCCACGGAACCACGTATCTGCGCTTAAAAATACTATCATAATTAAAATATTTTTGTAGTGGTTATATAGTTATAATATTTTTATTTAGTTCAATGTCTCGCGAGATCAAGTGAGTTCCTTGCCTACATAAACACAGGCGTGAGTTTATGTAAGGGGCGATAGACACCATCCAGGAGGGTAGGCAGGACTACAGACTTCCATTTGACATGATCCTGACACACCTCTCTCGCTTCTATATATGTGCACATGCATTCTCATGGATTAAGGGTACTCTTAATTTTGCCCATCATCAATATATTGCCAATATGGTCGTATCGACTTGTCTATGGCAATCCTAAAGTCGTAAAGTAGTAATTTTACTATAATCCACCGTCATCTTTATTTTTCAGAAAGACGAAGTTCTTCCACCGATCACTGTGGCTCCCTGCGGAAACCCCGGATGCGGGAAATGAAACGAGGCGTTTAGAAAATATCATTTAATTTTATTTATTCAATATCCACTTTACATCGTGTTTTTGTTTGTTTATTTTAAACCTAGAGAGCATTAATGGCACAATTGTAAGAGATGGGTATGTGACTAGAGATAACAAAATTTCGTTGTGATACAAAAGATAATGGTAGACATGTATGAGATACAAACAGATTTATTATAGGGTTTATTTAGTATCACGCGTCTACTTTTAATAATTTTGAACTTTAATACGTTGTGATAAGATTCAAAATCTTTCAAAGCTATATACGTTTATTTCATACGACTGTACGTAACTATGTTTATATATTTTTGGATAGTTTTTGTGTACATTCTATGCGTGTCTCATACATACCAGAGGTGCATAATAAAAATTCGATGGGTTTATTCAATGGTTGTTTTCTTAAACTAACTTAAATATAATTTGGAAACTAAACTAGCTACACGAATCTTTGGTCACATTGAGTGTAGATCGTCCGAAAATGGCTTAATATTAATAATGAAAGCAACTATAACCACGCTTGCAACGTGTATAAACGAATCAAGTAAAATACAAACTCGTTAAGGAATCGAATCGCCTTTACGTCAGAAAATTGGAAAAAATAACAATTGTGTTGTAAATTATTCCCGTCGCCACGCAAGCATAATTTTAAAACGAAATTCTTCGCTCTGGTCAAATTTATTTATTGGACTCGAACATTTAACATTATGAAAAGGGTAAAAGTTATTTAAAAGTTTATTATTTTCATACTCAAACGAATATACCAGTATATTTATAACTTAGTATTAGGAAACGACTAATTCGCACGTTCACAAAGACTAGTGCCTATATATTTAGAACTACATAAAAATAACAGTACGTATTCATACATGACTTCATATAACTATATAGTGCGTTTTCTATAACAAGTGTTGTCAGTTGTAACATGTCAGATGTCTAAACGTCACAAATATTTATCTAAAAAATATGTCATATTGAAAAAGTATAACCTCAGCACAGCAATATTTAATACTTCATTTACTTTGGTTGTATGAATATAGTCCATAGATAAAACTAAAGTGATATAATTTCATATTATAGCGGATATGGAGCTAGTGATGTTAAAAACTATAGTAGTACAGTATAGATTATGTACAGTTTTAAAGCGTATCAAATGTCACATTTCATACCACTACTGCATGGATATCGAACGGCGTATCAAATCAATCATAAATCTATACACAATAAAGTCAACAATTTTAAAAAAAATAACCTACAAAAATAATAACATAAAATTCTGTCTTAATTGTCTTAATCAGGGAAAAATTTCAATGGAAAAAATATAAAAAAATAAAATGGAAAAAGTTAGCAAGAACTTTTTTAAAGATGATATTTTAAACTATGTCGAGTTTTTCTGCACCAGTTCATACAGCAACTTGATTATGTAGAGAAATAAAATGGTGAGGAAAGTTTGGTAACCTATTATTAACTGTTGGTATTCGTATTTTATGATAGGTAAATAAGAAAAAGGTAATGAAACGAAAATATTTAAGCTGAATTGTTTTGCAAGCGTGGACAGATTAAACAGTTCTTCGAATCAGTACAGTGGGAGCTCGCCGGTCGCAGAACGTTCGAGAATATTTCGGTCGCAGCGATCGAGGGTCGCTAACTTAATCTAACTTAACTAACTTGTACTTTGCGTCACGACACCTTACTTAATACGTACTTAAACAAATTTACAAGAAAATAACTTAAGTTATAAAAATGATATGGCAAGTTATATTGTGCTTTGAATTTTACTCTAAATTTAAAAAAAAAGTTAAATAAAACAGGAGGACACATGGTATTTACGAAAGTGATGACAGATTCTTTTAACCTATTTCATATTAAGGCAAAGTCAGACATAATATTACAAATATTATATCTAGTTGAACAAAATTTACACCTCATTAGCACTATTAAATCAGCACCCCATAGACTTGCCTGTTCAAAACCACGTGATGTCATTCAAAATTCTACTTTATACTTCTTCACACTTGATTGTAAATTGAATATAACCTAATAAAAGAAATTGTAGAACAAAATATACATATTTTAAATTTCAAAGCATTTTCATTACTTTTTATTCTTTCTTGATTCTGCCTACAGAAAGTCGAATTCTGTTTATAGTTGTTATCCCGAATTTCACTTTCTATTATACACAGCACATGTGTATAATGACAACATTACCAACTGAGTCTCCGAATCCCTTTTACATCGGATCTCTCGCTTGCACTTGATAACAAAACTAGTGACGTACGTAGATATATATCGATAAAGTAGTTATTTGTTCATAAACTATATCTAAAAAAAATATAAATAAAACATATCATTCCGAAGGCTCAGTTGACAACAGCTATAACTTACACATTCAATAATCAACCACAGAAACCTAGGCGGATCATAAACAATAAAGTGCGTAATGTTTACATCTTAACAACTAATTTAATAAATAAATTAAGTAACAACTAAATACATTCTGAATTTGGCACTAATCTAATACTTAGTTCTAGCGTTGAGGAAATGCGTCAAGTAAACAAACTGAAATGCAACGTTTGTGGCCTTAGCACCTCGTGAGCGGGCTTTTTAGCACGAAGCCGAATTTGTATCGGAATAATACTTTTCAAATAATATTTACTTGCAATAATTTTTACAATTTACAACTTCAGTCTTTTAATACTAAAGACTGACTTCTCTCGATGAGACGTTAAATGAAAACAATATTTCAAGATAGGACTAATCATTTCAAGAATAAAACGGCATATTTTTGTACACCATAAATATTATTACATTATTTGATGATAATGATGAAATATTATTTAATGAATTTCCAACACTATGCATAGTGTAAATTGAACTTCTTTTAGAATGGCAACGTCGCCTGACCTATAAACTTACTAAAATAAAATTCTTGTTGTTAAGCTACTGATTGGATTTGATGGGTTTTGTACGAGATAAAAATATAGCTGTATAGAATTTGCTTTATCATTTATTGTATGGCACTCGAAGCCAACCTGTGTATCAAGTATTCATATTTGGTGTTAAGAGAATATTAATTAATAATCCTGTCATTATAGTAAATGTATCAAAATATGGCATATTCCCATACACTGTCGCATAATGTAAATGTATGATTGTTAAGCTCATAGTGAAGGTGTGACCAGTATTCTATTAATAATTTTGAATATAAAAATAACAGGATTTTTAACTATAAATTGCTTCCTTAGATATGTCACATATAGATGGATTAGGTGAATGTTTAATTTAGTGAAAATATCGATATCGATGTCCCGTCACTTGGCTGGCAGCCGGCTAGCCGGCGGGGCGGTGTGAAGGCACTTGACTGTGTCACACGTGGCTGGGTCACGGCACGTCCCGGGGGGTGTGAGGGGCGCGTGGGGGATGGTGGGGGGAGTGTAGCGCGTGGCTGAGGCAGTTTCTGACCGCGTCCAGCTTGTCCAGGTACGCACTCGCTATTTCACCACGCGGGGACCTGCAAATCATCACCCATGTACATATGTTATTTGCCGGTCTGCTAGAAAAGATCCCTCAACTTATTTCGTATCGCGCTCTTTGTGTAACTGGTCTTAGGATTTGCCAGAAAAGTTTGCTTCCGACGCATTGGATACTTAACACCGGTATTGATAAAATTACTTCACATATATTTTTTTTAATGTTTAACCGTCGTAGAGCCATGCTGCAGCTATATTAGTAGTATAGTTGTAGCACGAATGGGTCGGCTCGACCGGGAAAGGACCACGCTCTCACAGAATACCAGCGTAAAATAGCAGCTTAACACTGTTGTGTTTCGTATGGTGAGTGTAGAGAACCGGAGACCCTTTTTACTGGATAAGAGGTATTCCATCTTAGTCCTCACGAGTGACAACGCATCTGTAGAAGAACAAGAGTATCTGCATTTTGATTCACAAACGAGGATAGATGTAGATGTCTATGGGCCACAGCAACCACTTACCATCAGGTGGACTGTGTGCTCGTTTGTCATTCGATCCTATAAAAAAAATGTATAATAGCTGGTACCTGGCGCGTTTCAGACGCAGAAGAAATAATTGCGGAAATATAGTTTTCAGTTTGAAAGAGTTACATTGTTTAATTAGGAATGATAATACCTTCATTAAAGTTAAATGATATAAAATTTTCAAATAAATTTATCGGTACGATACGCGCGCCACCTATTGTAAGTTAATTGTACTATGCCTATAACCTTCCCGCAAGTGCATTCAAAACAAACTTTGACAAAATTTCAGCGCAAACTGATGAATGGTATGGCAACGCATAAAACACGAACAAATACAATTTAATTTTTATATATTAGATAGACATATACACGTATACACACACATATAAACCTGTAGATTTATCTAGAGTAAGTCGATTTTTCGTTTTAAATTTTTCTTTGCTGAATATGTCTTTGTAAAATTCTTCGTATATTATATCATCAGGCCGTTTTATAGTTGAATGTGGTTTGATTTGTTTGGTTTGTTTTTTTTTTGTGGTTTTTTTTTGTAGATATGATAAAGATATAGAACGACGAGTGAATGCAGGAAATAGAGTGAATGGGGCTCTACACTCTATTGTGAAAAGTCAATGTGTCCAAAAAGGCACGTATGGCAATTCACAATGCTGTGTTAGTACCTACTTTAATGTATGGTAGTGAAAGTTGGGTGTGGCAGAAGAAGCATGAGAGTAGAATAAATGCTGTAGAAATGCGGTCATTAAGGAGTATGTTAGGGATGAAGCTGAATGACAGAGTGAGAAATTGTTTAATAAGAGAAGAGTGTGGTTTGCAAGATGATGTTGTGACCAGGATTAAGAAAGGAATGCTTCGGTGGTTTGGCCATGTAGAAAGAATGAATGAGGAAAGAGTGACAAAGCAAATTTATGTTGCAGAGGTGAACGGCAGAATCGGGAAGGGTCGCCCTAGGCGAAAGTTTATCGACCAAATTGGCGATATATTAAAGATGGGCCAAATCAAGAGTACCTTTAACCGACGAGCGTGTATGCGTAGGTATATGGATGTGGAGGAAGCGAGAGAGGTGTGTCAGGATCGTGCCAAATGGAAGTCCATAATCCCTGCCTAACCCTCTGGGTGACAGGCGTGAGTGTTTATGTTTATGTGGTTCCTGATGTTTAAAATTATACAACTAACGATGCCATTATTCACTACTATTCCTATACAATACAATTGATATAATATCTATTATACTATATGCGACAGCGATCAAAATCTACACTTCTGTGAAAGATATTTATACATAAATACATATAATCACGCCTCTTTCCCGTAGGGGTAGGTAGAGACCATTTCTTTCCACTTGCTACGATCCTTACATACTTGTTTCGCTTTGTCCACTTTCATTATTCCCTTCATACATGCTCTACGGTTTAGGGTACTCTTGACCTGGCCTTTTATATTTATTATAGATAAGATAAGATATTTATTATAAGTACTTATTGTTTATAAGTCAATCATTGCATTTTTCCTCCTTAAATTTCTAGTAAAATTTATAGATCTGGAGAAAATTTAACAAACCTTAGGAAGAATTCGTTCCGCGGAGAGTTCACATCACATAGAGATTGCCGCACGTCGTCACCCGCTGCAAAAAAAAAATAAAAACAGTTAAAATGTTTTTATCTGCTTTTTCATGTTTTTCTGCTTTTGTTAATTGATATAGTGATAGAAATTACATTTGATTAAATTTTGTCCCCAAAAATAAATTCTACAATAGGGTTCAAATCAATATTTTGCATGGGTAGTGTAAGAACAAGACACTCACGTGAATTTATTTTACTCATTTTTTTTAGGAATGTCTGTAACATTACTAATTCCCTTTTCACCATTATACACACCTTTTGTTTTCGAGGTTCGCACTCTGCCGTTGGGCTACTATTGTCGAAATCGGCTAGGAATACTTTGTCTTGTTTAAGCTTTTTAATTTTGATGATATGCATGTGAATACAATGTGAATGTACCAAAATTATTGAATGTTGTGTGAAAAATTATATAAAAGCGAGTTACCTGCACGAGAAGGGAACGCGACGATAGGTGTGAGCGGCGAGGGATGGGCGAGGTGGGTGTGGGGCGCGTAGGCGTTGTGGGGGGTGTGGGGGGCGTGCGGAGTGCGGGGCGTGATGGAGGGGGAGGCGGGGTGCGGTGTGTGGGCGGGGCGCAGGCGGCGGACCCCTTCCCCAAGCAGCTGCCGGGTGCACGCCAGCGGCGTACTGCTATTGCAAAACAATATGCAAAAATTAATCTCATATAGTACTTAATAAAGTCACGTTTGGCGTAATTTAAACGCGTCTTTATTATAATACGCGAGCAACACGAGCTTGGTCAGCGTTAGCGCCGACCAGTTTCAAGCGTAAGTGCTGATTTTAATGCTCAGTGCCAAATTGTAAAACTCAAAAAAGTTGCGACTCAAAGTAACTAAAAATATGTTGAGGATAGGCGACGTGAGACACTCATTGGGACAGGACAAAGGACTTTCATTTCCAGCAACGCAACATACATGATGTAAAAAGCCCTGTTCAAGTTGTAGCGGTGTTATTAGTTATTGTAGAACTTTTTAAATTCATGATTTACTTTTTGTATTTATAATATTCAGTGTATTTAATGGTATAACCTGTTAATAATTTTTAATTGGACAGAGGTTTTTACACGTTATATTTACTCTTAGATTATTTTTTTTAAAGAAATATAGGTACTGATAGGTAATTAAAAACGAGAAAAACGTCTTAAATGAAATAGTCTATAATAGAAATCCACTAAAAAAAAAAAACTTCCAAATGAGTGATATCGAGCAGATGTGGCAGCCATTGTTCTCGAACTTTTTAAAAGGAAATAGATATATAGATAATATAATAAAAAACATGCGCGAGTGTCGTGGAACATTCGGTTGGAACGAAGTTCCTTTCGTAGTATATTATTATTGATTAACTAATACAAATGAATGAATTACTAGCGTCTATTAAAATGAATTGTCACTTAAAATAATAATTCTTTCATGGCAAGATAAGGAAAAGTGTGAGGGAGATGGATATGAGATTTGATAGGGGTATGTGTGGCTATAAGTTTGTGAAAGCCTGTTCTAAATTAATTATAAAAATAAAAAAACTGTCAATCGTAGGGTAGTCCACGTTAGAAGTGCAAACTTCTTAGCTTCACAAACTTGTAAACCAGTGATGCACAGACTTACTTAGACTAGGGGCCACTCGGGCAAATTATGAACTGATGGCGGGCCGCCAGAAGTATAGGTAATTAAAGACAATAAAGAATTGATAATAATGTATTAAAATTGAAAAAGAATTAATTAATTTGAAGCGTGGCACTACATAGTGCTTACAATCTTTTTTATATTTGGCTCAAATTTACTTGTAGCAACACGTAAAACTGCTTCCAAACTTTCATTTGCAAGGCGGTTTCGATTTTTTGTTTTATTATTATTTAGTATTGAAAAGGTTTGTTCACATATATAGGTAGAACCAAATAAGCTGGCACATTTCAGAGCGTTTATGCGCAACTCTTTGTACGTATTTTTATCAATGCAGCGATAAAAGTTCAGCAAGTCTCCTTCGTTGAATTTGTTGCGTAAATCTTGGTTGTTTTGAATGTCGATAATTTCTAACTGCATTGACTCTGGCGCATTTTCAACTGAAATCGTGAAAGGATTGCTGAAGACAGAGACAGAGGTTTCAATTTTTTAAACTCCGAAAATCTGTCTTGAAAAGATTGAATCAAAATATCTAGCTTTTCTACATTACTGAAATTAATCGCATTTTGTTGAATTTTTCAGCCATTTTCTTATAATTCGGAAAATGATTATAATTTCCAGAATTCAATTGCGATCTCAAAAGTGTCAGCTTGCATTGAAAGGATGATACATGAGCGTAGAGCTGGGATACATATATCAGTTGATTTTTGCTTTGAAGCCGTGTGTTCAAGACATTCAAATGATTTGCAATATCAACTAAAAAAGCCAAATCACACAACCAATCAGGATTTTTAAGTTCCGGGACATCCCTTTGCTTTTCCGCCAGAAATATTCCAATTTCTTCTATTAAATTTAGAAATCGTTCCAGTGTCAATCCACGACTTAGCCACCTTACTTCTGTATAATACATAAATCTCCATATTCGCTTTCGATGTCATCAAGGAATTGTTTGAATTGCCTGTGATTGAGTCCTCGTGATTTTATGAAATTTACAGTCGAAACTATCACTTTCATGATTTTTGAAATTTAATTTTTTTAGAACAGAGGGCTTCTTGGTGTATAATGCAGTGAAACTGCATGAGATCTTCAGCGTTTATGTTTTTTTCTTGCAGATGCTTTTTCAGCAAAGTAACTAGCCCAGAATTGACACTAATCATCGAAGGAGCACCGTCAGTCACAACTCCCGATAATTTTGATAAGTCCAAATCAATTTTTGAACACTCATCCAAAAGTACATTCTGGTTTGACCTTTCAATGAACAAATTCCTAATAACTCTTCTAAGACTTCAAAATCTTGAGTAACACCTCGTATGAATATCAGAAGTTGAGTTGTGGAACTAATATCAGTGGATTCGTCGAGTGCTATTGAAAAAAATTCAATGATCTTAGTTTTTTCATTTAATTGTTCCGCAATATTATCTGACAAAGACATAATTCGTCTTTGGATAGTCATACGATTCAGTTGAATTTTCTCAATTTTTTTGCTGCTTCTGGACACACTTTCTTAGCGGCAATTTCTATGCATTCTTTTACAAAATCCCCATCATTGAAGGGGCGACTTCGCTTTGCTATCATTCGAGAAATTTCATAACTAACTTCTGTAGCTGTTTCTGAATCTTGAATGGGTTTTGTAAACATAGCTTGCTGACCAATAAGCTCCCGTTTTAAAGACAACATTTTTTGCTTTCTTAATTCGCCTGTAAACTTGGTAAAAGTAGGATGCTGCGTTTCATAGTGCCTTTTTACATTATATTCCTTTGCACTCGCAACAGAATTCTTGCAAATTAAACAACCGACTTTGTTATGCGACCATAGAAAAAAGTATTTCTCAGTCCAAATTTCTTGAAACTGCCGATTTTCATCTTTAACCTTACGTTTTATACTAGGCCCTGGCTTGTCCATGTTGCGTTTTAATCCTGGCTAGGATTAACACAGCACTTAAAAACAATTACAGTACCTACTTAAATTACCCATCCTTTTTTAAATTACCAAAAATAATTGATTAAATAGGTAGGGAAACACTTATTAATAACAGAGCTTTACTTACGATTTCAAAACACAATTATACACGGCACTTGACGGCAAATCTACGTTGAATGTGGATCAAAATATATGATACCGGCTAGTTGAGTTAAAATCTACACTAGAACTATTGACACTTCACTCAAATTAAAACCGAACTGTCGGTCGCTGCGGTTAGCGTGGCTTTTATACCGCGCGTATAGAGTCGAAAACTGTCTGGAGAAATCACGAAACCGACTCTGGAAGCTTCGTGTATCTACCTACGCAAGCAATTGGCAATTCGGGACTATTGCTATCTCGCTTGCTCTAACAATATAACCCGTGGATAAGCCGCCACCGCGCTGCCGTCGTCGCCGCGCCGCCGGCCGCGGCGGTTCCTCAAGAAAACGAATTTAACCGAGATCAGCACGAACATTACCGACCGTTGTTACCGATGCATGCACGGTGCACCGATAAGCTTACTTAAGAGTGCGCGCGCGAGATTGAAATTACTTTTCGAACATATTTTTTTTTTGGTTTTATTCTGGAATGTAATTCAATATTTTTCGAATGTACGAGAGTATTATTTTTGCTGTCGGCGGGCCACCAGTATTCGACCGGCGGGCCGCGGTCTGTGCATCTACGTTGTAAACATTATTTTTGTGGGTATATACCTATGTATTTGAGTGTGATGTTCACGCGAGCTTTTTCTCCATGCCAAAAGTGCCCAACATGCCTAAAGAAGTTTTTACTTCAAAAAGGAATACGAAAAAGTGGTGGATAGTTACATGATATTATTCCTTGGGACGGAGAGTGAGGCGTTGGTGAGGTTGTTTTGGTTGTCGTTAAGGTCGGTGCACAGCACGGCGGCGGCGCTGCGGGCGTGCGCGCGGCGCCGCAGCAGGAAGCGCAGGCGCAGCGCCGCCACCGCCGCCAGCGCCACGCACCTGCGCACCGCACACCGCCACCGTTACCACCACTCGCTTTTTGTACAGTATGGCTGACTAACAAGCACACAGTCCACCTGATGCTAACTGGATACTGTTAAACATCTACACCTGTTCTCGATTACGAATCAAAATGTAGATGCGTTGTCACCCCTGAACACTAAGATAGAATGCCTCATTTCCAGTAAAAAGTGTCTCCGGTTCTCTACACTCACCATACGAAACACAGCAGCATTGAGCTGTTGTTGTTCATGCAATCGTTTTAAGATAAACATGTCACAAATGAAAAAGCAAGGAAAAGAAAAAAAATAATATTAATAATTAAAAATTTTGTACAACCGACTTCAACAAAAAATATTAAGAATAACTCAAAAACTATTGATCAAACCTTGATCAAATTTATATGGGACCACATGTAAAGCACCAGTTTTAAAATAAAAAAAAAATAACAAAAAACATCGAAATCGGTCCACCCACAAAAAAGTTATGAGGTAACACACATAAAAAAAAAACATACATCCAAATTGAGTACCTCCTCCTATCTAAGTCGATAGAAAATAAAAAATACTAAAGTACAACTTGACCAAAACAATTAGGCGCATGACAGGAATACGGTAACCCGCCGTTATCCCCGCGCTTCCTGTCCTAGCGTCTTAGTTGTGATGCATCATTTATTTTGGTCACGTAGTATCATTAAAAATCAAAAGTAATAGTGACAGATTAATATAAATCTCTTGTAAATTGAATACTGCTGCTTTTTGTCCAAACTGCTACTTGTTGCTAGGTTGACATCTTACGTTAAATGTAAACGAAACGGTTACACCATATATAGATTTCCATGAAATTTTATGGCATTTTCCAAAGTCGCCTCTTACGGCACCCGCTGAGAGAAATGAGGTGATAAATGTTTTTACGCTGCCATTATACGATAATATTGCCAGTATAAAAGGTCAATGGATCGTAAAATTAAACAAAAATAATGACAAAACTCCCATATTGGTAATCGGAAACTGTAATATCAGTATAGTATCTACACTCATCAAAGCAGTAGTTATATAGTAGCAATAGAAATTCATAATTTGACGTATTCTTAAATATACATTCAGCAATGGATCAAATGTTATTCTAGAAGTAGGGTCATAGTGTTAAATCTCCCCTCATATTTTTTAATTTTACTCCTTACTCAAATTATGCATTAAGTTGAACGGATGGCACATAGAGAGAAATTTCAGTTTCTGACCTAAACTAACTAACTAGATCTGCAAGTGCAGTGTGCGTGTCCATGTGCGTGAGTGTATGCCTATGTGCGTGTTTACGTGTGTGTGCGTGTGTGTGTGTGTGTGTGTGTCTAGGTGCGTGTTCATGTGCATATGCGTCTGCCTGTGCGTGTTCGTGTGCGTGTGCATGTGTGCGTCAGTGTGCATACGCGTGTCTATGTTTGTGTGCATGTGTACGAGCTGGTGGACGGTACTTGAAGAGCCGCCTGCCGGTGAGCTGCGGCTGGTGGTGGTGCGGCTGCAGCGCGCGGTCGAGGCGCGCGTAGCCGGCCAGCACGCGCTGCAGGTAGCGCTTCTGCCACACCAGCGCCTTGCGCCAGCTCTCCAGCCGCACGCAGCGCCCGTGAAGATACCGCAGCTGCACGGACCACCAAACATCTTACTAAATATTTTCTGCTTTTTAAAAAAAAAACCTCACCCCCACACTAGGAATTTCTCCTGTATCGTGGAGGCAGTTTACAAACATAAATTGCACAAGGACAAACGTGAAAACCCGGAACCATTATTCGTAAGCCATACAAATACTAGTTCCATGAGGGATTCGAACCCACAGAGAGCCACGGAGCCGACTATCTGCATCTTCGGTCTTCGAAACAAACTAGTTTCTACGGATTTAATTGCATTTATTAACTTATTGTAAGTACAGTACACCTGATGGTAAGTGGTTGCTGTGGCCCATAGACATCTACATCTATCTTCGATTACGGATCAGAATGCAGACGCGTCGTCACCCGTGAGGACTAATATAGAATGCTTTGTTTCCAGCAAAAAAGGGTCTCTGGTTCTCTACACTCACCATACGAAACACAGCAGCGTTATGCTGCTATTTTACGCTAGTATTCTGTGAGATCGTGGTCCTTCCCCGGTCGTGCCGAGCCATTCGTGCTACAACTATACTACTAATATAGCTGCAGCATGATTCTACCACGTATTTCTGACGTTTATTTTGAGTCTTTATTGAGGATAGATGTGGATGTCTATGGGTCACAGCAACCACTTACCATCAGGTGGACTGTGTGCTCGTTTATCACCCTATCCTATAAAAAAAATCTATTTCACGAAAGAAGTCCCGTGGAAACATACGAACAAAAGTATACAATATGGAGTTAGCAAAATTTGGTAAAATGGAGACAGCAAAAATGTTAAATTACGCGAAAACATTTTAAACATTTTATCCTTTACATTCAAAATGTGTGGAAACGCATTATTTTAATTGATTGTCATTCATAATATGAAGTGCCTACTATTTTATACACACGCACACATTCGTAAGGGAGTGTTGAGTTCGGATGCAGTCGGTGGCGTTTGGCGCTCGCGCTAGGTTATAGATTTAGGTATCTAACAGTAGTTTTGACTCGGTAAGAACAAACGCGTCTCTCCTCCCTCTCCCTTCCATTACACCGCTGGGTACGTTCACCTGGCTGGCTGACAGTGTTGACTTAACCGTGATCTCATTACGTACCGAGTGTCCTATTTTTAAGTTTTCGTAGGTAGTATTACTTGTCAGCAATGACGCAACGAAAATATTTGAACCGCGAGTACTATGAAATGGTACGGTGTTATATTTTAAGCCAGGAAAGCTTAGCCCAGAGATTATACGAAAGTGAGTCTTTACCGCGTTTGCAAAGACAGGGAAGTAACGCGCGTGCACCACATAGATGGATTGGGCGTGGCGGCCTTATACCATGGCGTGCAAAGTCACTGGACCTTTATTTATGAGGTGAAATAAAGAGACAAGTTTACGTTGAATATGTTTATTGAACAGCTTATGCTTTGACGCAATGTTCGTGTCGGTTGAGGTCAGCAATGCTCGGCGCCATTCCACTGCCTTCGTAGCCGTCCGGGCGAGTTCATTTTTACCGGCCAGCGCTAGCCTCAACTATCTTTAATAGTTTTATTCTCCAATTCTCCACCTCATTCCCTCGCTCTGTAGTTTATACTTGTATTTCGAACTGTCTTTTGTGTGGGAGTAAAAATATTATTTAATTCGAGGTATGCAGAACTTTTCATTTGCATAGCATCTATCCTAGTCGCAGAAGAAATGTTTTCTTTTTTTAATTTTATATATTATGACGGTCCTTAGCCCGTTTAAAGGCAAAAGGCAAAGGCAAAAGCTCCGTGTATTGACTCATATACACACGAGTCTTTTACTGTGTTTCTTAAATTAATGTTTTTCTTAACATAAATTACCATAAAAATTTTATATTTATTTTATTTAAAAATTACTTTATAACCCAATATATAAAACCTTCAACAATATTATACTCAACCCGGATTATCTTTAAAAATGGAGCGTTTTTGTCATATCAATTGACAATTATGTCACATTGTTAGCGTAGTTATTATTTTATTTTATTAATTTTAAATTAATTTTATTTTTGTGTTTTTGTTAGTACAGATATTGAAATTTATGAAAATATCTTTAAATTTATAAAAGTAATGTCGGGTCAAACAATGGAGTCAATGAAAAGCGATTCGCCAAAGATATCAGATATGGTGTAGGTTAAAATACTTCCGTTATATAGAATAGAATAGAATATATTTTATACAATATACAAAATATATTTGGAAAGGTTACGGCCACATTATGAGGTGGTATTTTAATTTTATACACTTCTTGTGTGGGAACTCGTGGCTGTTTCGTGCTGTGCGGAATGCTTCGGTTGTTTGGACTCTTTAGAAGGAATGAATGGGGAAAGAGTGAGAAAACAAATTTAGGCTACAGGAGTAAATGGCAGAGTGCAAGGGCGCCTTAGTCGGAAGTTTATCGACCAAATTAGCGATGAATTAAGGGTGGGCCCAGTTTGAGTACCTTTAACCTAAGATCATGTATGCGTAGATATATGGGTGTGAAGGAAGTGAGAGAATATGTGTCAGGATCGTGCCAAATGGAAGTCCGTGGTCTCATCCTACACAAATGGGTGGCAGGCGTGAGTTTATTATTATTATTTGTTGTGCAATTTGTACAGTTCGTATAATGCACATACTTTGCATGAGTGATAAGAAGAGGGTCTTATCGCTTCCTAATATATAGACACAGTGCATTGATGTAAAATGATTTTTACAAAAATATAGTTATGATAATATTTTGTTACACTTCACCTGTGCATATCAAAAAAAGTTTATAAAAAGGAATATATAAAAAAATAAAACTAATTTTGAAACAACATTTGTAATGGTAAGTGAAGTGTTGTGGTATAAGGCAATAACGCAATCCATCTTGGACTTTTTGGGGGAATCATCTGGATTTTGAACCCTAATCGAGGATAGATGTGTGTATGGCAAATCGAGGGTAGATGTGTAAGCCATAGCATCAGCTTACCATCAGGTGGAATGTATGTTAGTGTGATACCATTGTATAAAAACATTATTGACCTATTATTCGAACTCAGGACTCACGAGTCGCGATAATGTATGCTAGCCACTTAGCTGCAAGGGTTTAGTAAAACGCTTATTTAACTTATGCTTGCAGCATGTGCGGTGACCATCCTTCCTTCACTAAGACAGAACTCAACATAAAGGAGACCAGACCTGGAGACAAATTAAAGATAAATGTACCCATCTCGCACTCCAGGATAACACCCACAGTAAGTATAATTCGATTGATATATCTCGTGAGATAACGACGGATGGTGATATCATGGTCGATTTAGACCACGGCTACACCTTCCGAACATTGTCGGTCAGCTGTACAAGAAATACTATAATGCCCCGAGTGAACACATATCTAAGGGGAGAAAATATTATCTGGAACAATTTTCACAGACATGCTGATTTACATGCTGTTCTTCACCGTTGAGTACGTTGTAAATTAGGGTTTAAAATTGCAATAAAACACATTTATTGATACAATCGCAGGGACTTGAAAAAGTTAGTCTTGTACTAAAGAATCATAGGCACCGCGTAGAAACTTATAATTTGCCTGAGAAATAAAATGAACATGAAAAATATTGAATAAACACAACGGACCCTTTCTTTTACCCTGTTTATAACGGAGGTGTGTGCACATCTGTTACTTTACATAAAAATAAATTAAAGCATTGTTTCTCAAAGTAAGACGCTACTTGCCCATCGACTTTTACATTTCCCGCTGTAAATCCCTTATACGACAAACACGAGTATTTGGATTCTCCTATAAAATACGCGATGAGGCGATATAATACGCGGTTTATTAATTAACAAATTGGACCCCCCGGATTATAAACCGATCATCTGGGAAGTTATCTCCAGTTTGGGAAGCGATGAATGAAGTAATCTTTAGTCGATTATAAATAATTGTAATTGTTTTGCGCAGTCATCGCGTACAGAGCGGCCGCCAGTTCGCGCGATTTCGGAGCTGGTGCCGCGGCCCGACTCGCTGCCCGACAACAAGGCACTTATACACGGTGAGGTTAATTAGACAAACTCTAGCGACCTTATTATAAAAAATAGTTAGTTATTCACAGGTTTAAATTAGAATTTATTTCCCGAAAGAAGTCCCTAAAGAATAAGTGTGGCAAGCGAACACACAGTCTACCTAAGATGGTTCGTGGATGCTGTGTCCCATAGACATCTACATCTATCCTTGAATAAGAATCAAAATGCAAATGCGTTATCACCCCTAGGGACTAAGATGGAATGCCTCGTATTCAGTAATAAGGGTCTCCGGTTCTTTACACTCGCCATACGAAACACAGCAGTATTAAGCTGCTATTGTAGGTCGGTATTCTGTGAGAGAGTAGTCCTTTCCCGATTGAGCCGATCCATTCGTGCTACAACCATAATATAGCTGCAGCGTGGGTCTAACACGTATTTGCAAGCAAAATTTTGGGAGGTACTTCTTTACTTAGAAGGATTCTTAAACCATAGTTTTAACCAGTGATTATCAATAAATCATGTTTTGTATTAACGTGGTAACAGTCAGTGACTTATTTCTTTACAAATCGAAGTGACAAACGAATTAACAGTCAACCTGATAGTATATATCTACTGCAGCCCATAGGCACCGGTAACGAACTTTAAGCAAAGCAAACTGTGGTCATCTTTGAGGATCTAATTGGAATATCTCACAGCTTGTAATTAAACCAGCTCTTTATATTCTTCAAACCGAAATCCGAAATACAGCAACACTCGTCTACTGCTTAGTGATAAAAATAGATAAGAGGATAGTATTTCCCCAAAAAGACTTGAAGGTATAAACGGAGTCTTACCACAAAGTACACCGCGAGTCGTAGCTTAGAATCAAAACATTTGTGCACAAAGCACAAATTATTGATTTTCGAGTCAGATTATGTGGTGATTGTCTTCATGTTGCTGACACAGCAGCCTGGTTAACTTGAAATGTTATCATATGACAATTATGGTCCCACACATATGGTA